TGGATCGATACGTGTTTTCTTATTGAAACAGAGCAACTCCTAGAAGACGAACTGTTGATTGATTCTAGTTACTTCGGTATCTGAGGTTTGCGTTGTTGGTGGATTGATTATCCGTTAGTCTTCTTCACTTCCTTCATCACAACAACAGATATATCATACTGTGTTGAGTATACTCGGCAAACAGGAATCTGGAAACGGGAGAAAAGGAAGAGAAAAGCGTCAGAAGAAGAGAGATTTTAAGAATTCAAAATATCGGAGAAAAGAAAACCAAACAACAAAACCATATCATGGCACAACCCCAAGCACCATATCAATCCCAATTCCAACCCCCTCTCTTCCAGGTTCAGCAATGGACAAAGTCCTTCTCAGCGAAAACAGCAACCGCAACAACAACAACAACAACAGCAGCAGCAGCAGCAACAGACGGAAAAGAGAAATATGTCATTTCCACAGACCCCTCTATCATCTCCCTCTCCGCCCTGACCGACGCCTTCAACCAAGAACACATGTACTGGGTCAAACCACTCCCCGCGCCCGTCTTGAAAGATATGATAGACCGCTCGCTATGTTTCGGGGTGTACAGATGTAATAACAGTAATGGCGCCGATGATAATAATAATCAGAACGGCACTGTCGATGCCACAGGCCTCACCCAAATCGGCTTCGCACGCCTAATCACCGATAACATCACTTTCGCCTATCTGACAGATGTGTACATTCTTCCTGAATACCAGGGGACCGGCCTGGGCTCCTGGCTGTTGGAGTGTGTCAATGCGTGGGTGGATGGCCGGGGAGAGTATTTCCGGCGATTAATGATGGTGACGGTCGGCGAGAGGGCGGAAAGGTACTATCAGCGGGTCATGGGGGCGGAGACGCAAGGGAGGACAGGAGATGTTTTGATTATGGGGAGGAAGGGGAAGGGTGCGATTGTGTAGAATTTGGGCTTGTGGATATGTGTATAGCTGAATTTGTTGGTGACATTTGTGTTGTGTAATTTTTTTATTATTTTCGGATGGGCAATTCGGCGGGCTAAGGTGTACTTCTAAGACATCCGTGATGATTGACTTGGGAGTTGCTACAGTGCAGAAATAGTCGCCATTATTGTCGTCGCTTGTCCCTCCCGTTGGGATGGATGCTGCTGGACGTGAATGCTCAAACCGTCCATTTTGTCACATCGTCTTTTTGATGAAATGTTGTAGCCAATTAACATGTGAACTGAACTGAATCTTGTTTCCAACCCGCACATCTCCATTTAATTGGATTGTAAATTTTGCTTGCTCTTTATAGGGCGACAATGGAGTAGGCATATCTTTCACCATGGGCAAGTCATTTCATGTTCATTGTCCCATGAAGAATTCGTTTTTGAAGAGGAATTTAGAATGGGGAGATTCTGCCCGATATGAAATGACTGATATCAAATACCACGGGAAATTTCAAATATTTCGAAAGCTGGCCAAGGGCTGGAATATCCACCCGGGCAGCCACTGGAATAAACGAAGGCTTCGAGGAGTTTTTGGAGTCGTTTCGTATCGGCTGGCCGCAGAAAACAGATATATACTATGACACTACCAGGATGAAAATGATAGGATATCAAGTGCCTTCTTCCCCTCCTACCAAATCTCCATTGGACCTCTTGGTTTGCCCGCCAACAGCTCTTGCAACCAACGTCCGTAGAAGGATTTCATTTGCTCTCCAAACCAATCGGGCCTCCCGTCCATTAGGGTCGTCATTCTCCTCAGTAACATCCGCATCGTCGAACGGTATCACCCGTCCGGGATTCGCCAGTAGTTTCATCCTCCCTTCACTTCCAAGCACAAAAGCTCCGCAGGATACTTTGCTCAGCCTCACTTTTCTCTTTTGAGCGTTGGTTGGGTCCTTTCCAAAGTCGCTAATATCTAATTGCATGGCGAGATTAGAATCGAAGTAAGCACCCAATGCTGCTAAAAATGGAGCAGAAGGGCCGTCGCCCTCATCGGTAGATGGGGCAGTGTCGGGATGAGGCCGCTTCTTTCCGCGGTCTTGTGTTTGGTGGGGCCGGTTTATTGTCTTGTTCGCAAGTATTTTTGTGCCGTGAGTGAAAAATGTGCTGAGAGACTCACGCGGTATAAGTACATCCAAGCTTTTCAATGCGGGTGATATTGGCGAGGGGAAGGAGAGTGTAAGTTGTGACTCTTTGATTACTTTTTCAACAAAAGCCCGTGAAGAAGATGAATTGCGGCCAGACGCAGCACGATTCAAAGTTGACAGGTAGTTTTCAAATGTCGCGCACAGAAAACTTGAGGTCAGCCGAAGAACTGAACAGCGCGTGTCGAAACTGGTCGACAAAAACGAAATAAAAGACTGACGAAGCGAGTTTGGAAGACGAGTTAGAAGTAACGGGAGAAAGGTAACATCTTTCCGTGAATCGTGGTAGCCATCCGGGCCCGTTAGCATGGCTGCTTTATATGTGATATTCTCATATTCAAGCGTAACCAAAATTCCTGCAGAGTCATCTGGAGAAATGACAAATCCCGCCTGGTCGGGGTCTTCGAGTAGAGACTCCTCTTCATTCCAGTGGCTCCAGGTCGGAAGCGCATCCCACTTGCACGATTTCAAGTGTCCTGCTCTGGAGACGGCGTCGTCCACGGCACCCAGGCCTTCAATCCCAACCTGCACACCACGAAACACATCACCCCGAAGAAGGTCGCGCAAACGCGTTGCATATAACTCCAGACTCTGTGGGTTGCCTAGAAGGGTTTCGCATTCCTTTCCATGGTATAAAGGGCTCAGGCGATGGAGTGTCCAGGAGGTGGTAAATAGCTCGTCTCCCGATGGTGCCATTGCCCTGAAATAGTACTCAATTAAGATCAGGTAGCATACGAGAAAACATATTTTGATTTGACTAAACTATAGAAATCGGGCATGGCAGAACATTGATCAGTTTGTGCCTGCATCTAAACCATTTCCTCCAGCTGTTGTTTTGATGCTCTGAACCGTTCGATAAAAAGTCGAGGTAAGGCGACAAAACAAACAGTGCAAACATCCTCCCTGACATGAATCAAACCAACATCAGATCTTCATCTCATTGCATTTTCTTTGCAAATAGTACCTGGAGGTTGATGATGATACTTTCAGGCGACTGCGACTACAGCAAAATGCTTATTTTGATCTGTATTCCTTTCAAACTAGAACCGTCGTGCTTTCAGGGCTGAGGCGAAATTTAATTAATCTCCTTTCTGACTGGGCCAAGTTCCTGAAAATGATACTCAAGTTATGATATAACGAAGCGTGCTTATGAAGGGCACTCTGCCAGATTTGTTAAAAACAGCAGCTTAATGCTGTTTTATCCTTTCTTTCTTCTTCTTCTTCTTTTTCTTCTTCTTCTTTTTCTCTCTCCTTTTCTATCTAAACTTTCTACCGCGACTGGGCATGCATTCTTCCCTGATAATAACCCTCTGGTCATATTATTCATGCTAGCTCTTCAGATATCGTGGAAAGGCTTTCTGGATTTCTATGCTCCATGAAGTAGAAACATGCGTTTCCCCCCTTTATACAGGCTTTTAGGCTGCACTGGTATTACGATTCACCGACGGCAACGGCAAGCAGCTTGCTCGCCCGTACGCACTTCATTCAACCGCCAATCTCTGTGGCTCGGTGACGGAGGATTCGCCGTCGAGAATGGGGGCGGAAGAGGGTGGTTAAGGGCTGGTTAAATCACCGCTGAATCTCAGCACTCCATCGACGTTCTCCCGGTGATGTGTTCGATGGTGAATCGTGTGCCTTTCTTTGCCTACATGGGCCAGCAATCGTTTGGCTGTTACGTTCTGCTTCACAGAAGTGATTGGTATGGGTTAGCATCTGCGCCTTCCACGTCCAAGTAACTCACTCGGGATTCACGCCTTCCCGCGCAATTCCAGCCTCATCTTCAGCTGTGTCTTAGTAAAAAGCTTGCTCAGTCAGATACCTGGTACCTAGTATATATCGCATCTCCTCCGCCAGGTCTTCCCTCCCAATCCTTCACTCCACCGCCTCTACTCAGACCAGAACTAGCTCATAGACAAGTCATAAATGGTATAATATAATGGACACTTTCGAAGGCCTCGTAATCCTCCTTGTCATTGTCCTAATCTTTACCCCTACCCCAATGACACAGGTCTGGCATTGGCTCGCCGTCCAATTCGGCTGGGAGTGGCTACGGCCGCACCCACCGCCTCCGGAATACGTCGCGCCGCTCCTGGATGAACTACGTGGGATCAGGAACGATCTCGATATCCAACTTGTGCCGGTTTTGGGCTTGTTCAGGCAGCGGTTGGAATTGGGAGGACAAGACGCAGGGTTTGAGAGAAGTGGAGGTGCGGGTGCGGATGCGGGTGCGGATGTGGGGGAGATGGTCTGAACGGGTGAAAGTGATGACTGAGTATGGAGGGCCATTCTGATATATATGGGTAAGACTCATTGTTTTGTGGATACATATGTGATAGGGGGTTCCAGGCGCTTTCTTCACCTTTGACATACTTTATTGATTTGAGGCTTGCTAACGGCACCCATGAAGCGCGCGATTTTGCCTCGTGGCAGTGATAATTCACTGGTTCCCTGCATTTAAACCGGTCCGGGGGCACTATTTAGCTACTTGTATTTCGGATTTTACGACATCACTGGCGTGTGTGAGCTGGCTTCTCGCTCCCTTCAGCAACCGTCCGCGAAGGCCGCCCTTAGCCCTTCCAGCCCCATTCATTTGTTAGATGTGTGCCGGGGTTCCTGAATTTACCGATATATTGTTTCTGGAAATGGCTAAGGTTGCTAGGTTGTTTTGTACATGACATATGATGCCCCCGCGCCTTGATTATCCGATGGCCATTCACCTGTCCACTTTGGACGCGGCCCCTTCGTCATACAGCACCTGGCATCATAATTCGCGAAATTTAACTTGTATTATATATATATAAACGAAGGTACAATAGCTATGTGTTGTGTTTGACATTTGCCATGTTCTAGTTGAGACGATACTTGACTTTGCAGTGTATGAAAATGGAAGAATAAAGCTCAATATTTTCTACAGCACTAATTTCATTAAATTATTTTAAAACATTTATAGATGCCCATGTGTCTTTCTGGTTACATAAAGAAAAGTTTGGGGAAGGAAAATAAAAAGGAAAACACCAGTGAAAACAAAATCCAATGTTAGGAAAATAAACGCTAGCCCGTGCATTCAAAAAATGAAACAAAATGAAAACAAAAAGTTCTTGAAAAACTAAAAATCCCAAATCATCACGTCGTTTTATATGCATAGCTTCTTTGTTTTACCTTTCTACGTCTTTCTCGTTCATATCCCCCCAAAGACACTCCGCTATGCCGCCCCTATATGAAAACGTGGCATCACGGATGACCCAGCTCCGCCATCTCCGTCAACCGTAGGGCCTCGTCAACACTACGAACAAAATGTGTCACGCCCCCAACAGCATCGACAATTCCACTCTTCTCCATCATCCGGTATATCTCCGTCCCGGGCTGTGGGTACCTGCAGAAAAACACCCGTACCCCCTGATCAACATACCCCTGGACAATTTCACTAAGCACCTGGATCCCTGAGCCATCAATGCTCGTGACACCATGTATATCGAAGATCATGTTTCTGTTATGCTCAGGCGCGCGCACGCGCGGTAGAGCCGGATGTGCCGCGGTCGTGCCGTAGAATTCTAGGCGGCGGAGTCTATTTTTCAAATCGCCCGTGTTGGCGAACGTTAGGGGCTCGGGGATCTTGACGATCAGACAGCCGTCGATGAATTCAACTTTCTCGGGCTGCACATTTTCTGCGTTCTCGAAGCGGTCATGGGTGCCGGGTATTTTCCCGAGGATTTGGATGCGGGGTTTGGTTGCGTGCCTGATTATTTGTAGAATGGAAAGGCCCATGCCTAGTGCGATCCCGAGATAGAGCGAGTAGAAGATTGTTGAGAAGAAGATTATGAAAATTAAGCTTAGCTCGGACCAACCACGGAGACGGAAGAAGAAGCGCAGGTCGTCTGGAGCTTCTTCGATAAGAGATATAGCGACCACAGAAATCATGGAGGAGAGGACAGCCATCTGGAGTGCGAGCACGTGTTAGGGTTGGGAGCATTGTTTTTCGAGAAACTCTCCATTTGAGTTGAGTGACGGTAGCACTTACTGGCAAATAATAGAAATAAGGCAGCAGATAGAGTATGCAAACCAGAGTTATTAGACCGAGAAACACGCCGCTCATAGGGGACTTCGCACCGGTGGCAGCATTGAGCTTGCTTCGTCCGTATCCCCCGAATGCAGGGAGTGCCATGAAGCATCCACCAATTACATTGGATGCACCCAGAGCGATTAGCTCGCGATTGGCGCTAAGCGAGATGCCCTTTATCCCGTCATTGTTTGCGTCACCAAGACCCTTCGCGGCAATAGACGACTCGAAGAACCCGAGCAACGCGACGATGAAAGACGTGCTCATTGCGCTTGGAAGATGCCGCAAGTGTGACATCTTAAATGGCCATTGAAACGCAAAACTTGGATTTCCTTCCTCTTTCAGGGAACCAAGGACATCCAACCCTCTTTTATTCCATTGCAGTTTCCATGCGAGCACGGCGGAGAGGAAGACCACCAGAAACCGATCAGGGAAGAAGACAACAGAAGGGAAACGTGGTTCTAGACGCCTTTTTAGAATCCTGAGATAAATAGTGTTAATAAAAAGTTTTCGCCGGTTTAATTCAACATGTAGATAGGAATAAAACTGTACCTGAAAATCATGATGGCTGCGAAGCTACCAAATGCAACAGCGCTTGTCAGGCTATGGGCAGAAGTTATATTTCGTAATAGAAATCCTAATTTTTCAACACTGCTGCCATTCGCTGACCCACTCTGCTTCGCCAGTGATGTAAGACCTAGTTGCGGGATCAACTGATCGACGAATATCATGAAGCCAATGGCGCTAATGAAGCCTCTTAGGAAAGGTCGACTAAGAATATTGTCAAGGAAGCCCAGGCGAGTGATCCCGCCTATCAATATCATCGCCCCCGAGAGCCCTGTGACGACACCAACTATTTGGGAGATCATGACAGGATCGTCCTCCATAGCCTCGCCGGACTTAATGGCACCCCGGATCACAGTCCCTACGAGAAGGGATCCCGCGGCTTCCGGACCCACCACCATGAGCGGGCTGCTCCCCAGAACCGCATAGACGAGGGGATTGAAAACGAATGAGTATAAACCATTCATAGGGGGTGAATGGGCAACGTTTGATGCGAGTGAAAGAGACATTGGGATATATATCGAGGCTACGGTAATTGCTGATATTAAATCGCCTTGGAGGAAGGACCAGCGGTATTGCGTTATCCAATTGAAGAAAGGAACATAGTAAGAAATATACCTAGTCAAAAGGAATGTAATCAGCAGAAAGCCCAAGATAAATATACGACAGAATTGGCAGGGTCTCTAAAAAGCCACGCACATGTTACGGCGGTTCACGCCATGCCTCTTGGCCAATTGCTTTGTCGTAGCTCCAGGAGGCAGTCCTAGAGGAGAGGGTACAGCATCATCCCTGTCGCTGGTATGAATACTAGATCCCCCACGCGGACTATCTGGAAATGCACGAGTGCCATTCTTTTGGACGAGACTGTTGCTCGTTTCTTGACTAGCGGAACCGGGACGAGGGGAAAAAGTCCCATGATTGCAAGGGCGGGAACCGCATACTGGCTCACACGTTTCATACGATTCCAGAAGTCTTGTTCTGGGAGTTATCTCACCCCGAGACGGAGAGCCTGCATCCAGTCCCTGTCCCTGCCGGCTGACGCCAATGGGTGGAGGGGACGGCGAACTGCGTTGGGCGGGTGACGCCCGAAAGACACTCGCCACACGGTCACGAAGTGACGAGGCCTGTTGGGCTCTGGTAGAGTCGGACTCAGACATCGTATTCCTAGTATTTGGATGGGCAATCCCCTGGTGGGATGGAACCGAGTCAACTGCCTATTCCCGGATTTGTGCACCTGGAGAACTGTAGGAAGAAGCTGGGGATTTCGGATGGCTCTGTAGGTCGATTTATAGTGATATAGTACTTTTCTAGCAGGTGTCCTACGGCTCAGCTAGTGAGCGGGGACGTGGTGCGTGGGGAGCATGAATTGGGCTTCACGCTTCACTTTCACGGGCCGAAGTAGCCAGTAGTTAGCTATGGGTTGCTCCAATCCCTCAGCGTCATCGTCGCTGCTGGGGGTTGGTTTCGGTTGGTTTGTCGCGAATTGTCTTGGTGCAGGCGGCGGAATGGCCGATAAGCGGTCAATGACATAAGCAGTCAAGTCACCTGACCCGCATCGCTCTCAAGGTTCTGCGGCCACAAAAAACTAAACTCGGAGAAGGGTCAAATGCGTCAAGCGTCACGGTACAGGTCGCCAGTTTGCGCAACACACCAGTACATTCCTCTATAGTTGCGGTGCCACCTTCGAAAACCGATAGCTACTCCCTTACCGTTCTTACCTCCCTATTCTGGCCTGACCCCTTGGGACGAAACCCCACGAGAGTTCCAAATTACATCTCCTTCCCCTCCCCCACAGTGCGCTCGCCTACGATAGGCACACACCGCCCACCATGTCGTTAACAAACTGCCGTTTCTATGAGGAGAAGTATCCGGAGATTGATAGTTTTGTGATGGTGAACGTGAAGCAGGTACGGCTCAAAAGAATTTAAAACCTGCAGTCACATGTGGTGTTGCGGAATCGGGAGTCTAACGGTCTATATCCCGCCAACAGATTGCAGAGATGGGCGCATACGTTAAACTGCTGGAGTACGACAATATCGATGGAATGATCTTGCTATCGGAGCTGTCGAGACGACGTATCAGAAGTATACAAAAACTTATTCGAGTGGGAAGGAATGAGGTCGTGGTCGTACTTCGTGTTGATAAAGAGAAGGGTACGTCAATGTCAACGGCACTAGGGTCTTCATGACTTCATGGGGATTTTGCGCGGGCTAATACTTGTGTATGCGGCGTTGCGAATCAGGCTATATCGATTTGTCGAAACGAAGAGTATCTCCCGAAGATGTCATCAAATGTGAAGAACGGTACAACAAGGGCAAGCTGGTTCACTCGATTATGCGCCACGTTGCGGAGAAGACCAAGACCCCTATGGAATCGCTTTATTCGCAAATTGGCTGGCCGCTGAACAAGAAATTCGGTCATGCGATCGATGCGTTCAAACTTTCCATCACGTATGACTTTTACCCACCTGGAGGTTTATTTTCAATAGTAATATAGTAAGGACACATACGGCTAACCAGAACAAAATTTAACTCCTATGCAGAAACCCGAGTGTGTGGGACGACGTAACATTCCCCAACGAAGTGGTCAAGGACGAACTCCAAACCTACATCAGCAAGAAACTCACCCCGCATCCCACCAAAGTCCGTGCGGACGTTGAGGTTACCTGTTTCGGCTACGATGGAATCGATGCTGTGAAGGATGCTCTACGCACTGCGGAATCAAATAACACGCAAGATGCCCAGGTCAAAGTGAAGCTTGTATCTCCACCACTATACGTGTTGACCAGCCACTGCTTGGACAAGAACCATGGTATCTCTGTGCTGGAGGAGGCTATCAAGAGCATCGACACCAAGATCCGGGCTTCTGGAGGGGCCTGCGTGGTCAAGATGGCGCCCAAGGCTGTAACTGAGCACGATGATGCGGAATTGCAGGCTCTGATGGAGAAGAGAGAGCGGGAGAACCAGGAAGTCAGCGGCGATGAGGATATGAGTGAGAGCGACGAGGGCATTGTCGACGCATAAATTCTACGAGCGAAAGAATTTGTCAAATTTGTGCCTCCCTGATTCTTCCTCCTTTCAGTTTCTTTTTCATACGATTTTTCCAAAAAGCTTGTGAGTCACGAGTCTATGGGATTTATGACCAGCCGTATTGGCAATGTTTTTTAAACGGGGACATAGCGGTAGATCAAAAATCAAAAGCAGGACAGCTTCAATTTGTGCGGTGTATTTGTGTGTACGGATCCCCACCTATGACATAGCTCCTAAGCCTTACGTACTCCGTACTCTAGAGATGGTTAACTGTCTGCAACAGCCTAAGGCCAACTAGCCGACGCAGCGTACGCTGTAGTAATAATAATAATAAGAAGAAGAAGAAGAAGAAGAAGAAGAAGATTCGGTTGTTAATTAAGTAAGTTGTTTTGCATAGCTAAACATCCCAGGACGGATTGACACCAAGCCCAGTGGCAAATCACGCCAACAAATACCAAGCCATAGATATCTCTCCGTTTCGTGGCTGGCTGTAACTCTCCACGTCTCAGAGGCAATTGTTTCGTCGAACTCTCCTTGGGTTTTACTAGGAGCTATTTAATCGATCGCGGTGTGGATCGACGCTAACAATGTAGTTAACGTTAACTAATAATGTAGATTCACTCCCCGCAGCAATTGGCCCAATGCTTCTCCCCCAGAACCTCCTCGTCTCACCAAACCATGACTGAGTGAAGAGATGGCTGCCCATTGAAGATAACTACTCTCTGTATCCCCTCTTCTGCTCGTCAGCAATAACCATACCCGACTTCTATTTCCACTTGAAAACCATATCGCTGCAATAGCTGCTCCAAAATGGTACGGTGGGCCAGTCTGTTTAGTTCTGACGGTCACCGTCGAGCTCATCGGGAGCTCCATGAAGGCCGCAGATGTAAGTGATTTATTTATGTCGTCAGACTACATGCCTCTCTCAATTGCTACAAACAACTCTATTTTCATTTCTCTTCCTCTGGTAAACTAAAAGTCGTACTCTCTACACATGTGCATTGTAATATTGACAGGAAGCCGTAAATAGTGCTCCCTGTGCGACGCAACGAAGCCTTGCCACCAGCGTTGCCGGCTAAGGAGGTCACCAAGGTCGCCCTCCGCTTGAAGTACCAGATCGAACAGGTTATCTCCTGCGAGCTCGACGAAGATGCTGTGACCAAGGCGAATAGCAACGTTATCACCAAGGCCGTGATCCAGACCGCACGCGAAGCGGGTGGCGAGGAGCACAAGGCATGCGTGGTGTACTGCCTGCTTGTCTGTCTGCGATGGTTCAAGCTGCAAGCACTAGCAGAACTCTGGGACTCAGATCTCCATCAACTGAGAGCTGTGGCCTGCGAAATGCTCGCGAAGAGAATGTATGTTCATTTTTATTCTATGGCTTCCGCTCACACTCCATCTGGCCTGCGTGAAAATGGGCCATGCTCTTTGTTGATATGTTTATTTATTTATATATTTATTTACATTTCACAGAATCGAAGCTGAAGAAAACCAAGACTACCTCATGCACGATGTGCTCTTGAAACGCTACTCGATGTGCATTGATGGAGAAAATACCCCTCCCGTCAACGCTGTCGAACGGGCGGTTGATCTTCATGCCTTACGAGTAATTGGGTCCTCTGGCTACCAGAAATGCATCAAGTATCTCTGGCATGGTTGGCTGTGCCAGGACGATAAAGACCCTTCCACCTTCATCGAATACCCAGAAAGAGTCAACACACATTACTGGTCACACGTCAACCCTGATAGACTGAGAGCCCCAATCTATCAGAATACGGTGCAGATATTCTTCTCTCTGTTGTACCTGGTCCTATATACGATCGTGATAAACACGATCAATCCATCTGGTGATCTTGATGTCGTCGAGGGACTTCTCTATATCATGACACTGGGCTTCGTATGCGATGAGATTACCAAGTTTTGGAAAGTAGGGCGCTTCTACTTTGGCTTTTGGAACGCCTTCAATTCCACTCTCTACATTCTGCTTATCGTCTCATTCATCCTACGCGTCGTCGCCCTCACACACTCGCCAGATAGCAGTGACGCTGAGAGAATGAGGTTCAATGCGCTCAGCTATAACTTCTTAGCCTTCTCAGCCCCGATGTTCTGGGGCCGGATATTGCTCTACCTAGACACATTCCGCTTCTTCGGCGCCATGCTCGTGGTCCTGAAGGTCATGATGAAGGAGAGTTTGATATTCTTTGCCCTACTGGGAGTCGTCATCGTTGGATTCTTGCAAGGGTTCATGGGAATGGACCAAGCTGACCCCCAGAACGCCATGACCCCTTCGATTATTCTCCAGGGAATGGCAAACAGTGTCATGCAAAGCCCGGATTTTGGCGTTTTCCAGGAATTCTCGGCCCCCTTTGGTATTCTACTATATTACTTCTTCACCTTCGTGGTGATGGTCAGTAAGTAATCCTCCCGAAACCCTCACGCCATATCGATTCTGCCTGCGTATTGTAGATATACAGCAATGTCTGACCACCGTCCATCTAGTCCTCCTTAACATCCTCATTGCTCTATATAACAGCGCATACGAGGATATCACCGGCAACGCTATAGACGAATACATGGCCCTATTCGCACACAGAACTCTGCAATTCGTCCGCGCCCCTGATGAAAACGTTTTCATAGCACGTACGTCTCCCACTGATTCCACTACCTCTCTTCTCTCTCATCAACAAAACTGATCATCACTGTTTTGCCACTAACAAAACCACCCCCTTAATCAGCTTTCAACTTAATCGAAATCTTCCTCCTCATCATCCCCTTCGAATGGTGGCTCCCCACAGCCCGCTACGAGCGCCTAAACCACTACGTAATGGGCGTGATCTACTCTCCCTTGCTCCTCATCACCGCCCTGGTCGAGACGCTGAACGCCAGACGTATCCGCCTCAACCGCCGCCTGGGCGAAGAAGATGACGACACGGTCCAGGAATGGGAAGAAGCGGCACAGGACCTGCTTATGGATTTCCAGGCGGAGAATTGGGATCTGAAGGTTTCGGAGACGAAGCCGAATGTCGAGCTTGACCCGTGCGTGTTGGAGGTTAGGGAGTTGAAAGGGCAGGTTGCTGAGTTGATGGGTGTGGTTAAGAGGTTGAAGGAAGAGGTGGAAGGGGTTAGACGTGGTGGTGGTGGCGGCGGTGGGGCAGTTGTTAATGGGGTTGATGAGGTGGGTGGAAACGAGGGGAGTAGCGTGGATGGAAATGGAGGAGATACGGAGGTGGTTAATGGGGAGGAAGGGACCGCGGCAGAGACAGGAGGGGATACAACAGGGGAACCACAAGAATGATCTTGACTTCACTGCACTACTCGGAAAGACCTTGTTGCCCTCTTCCCTACACCTGCCACGGTACACCGTATCTGAAGAAGCCGTTGGATGTGTTCTGCCTTTAACTGCGTTAATTATTTGTCGTCTTTTTGCTCTCCGAGGTGGCCTTGAGGCGGATTTTGTCTTTCCGGATTTTCTATTATGACTTGTTGTATGCCCAATTTGTTTGGATACGGGGTGGCTCTCTCCTTGTCGGCCCCTCCGGCATGGCCAATGATTATGTTTTTATCGTCATTTGGGCTCCGCATATGCTATCAGTCTGCTTGCTTTGGCTTTTGTCCCTTCCTTTCTTCCTATTGGTTCAATATATGCTTCGCTAGGGGCCGGGGGTTTGGTGTGGTGTTGATCCCATATACACCAGCCTGAGTATACCCCCGCGTGTGGGACTCTTCTACACACAGCGAATGGCGAATCACACTATCCCACAGAGCCAATATTCATGCTACAGACATCAATTTCATATTAAGTGATATGTATGTGCATAGGTATGGAAGGGGAAATCAGAATACACATATATAGTAACACCGATAAGTAACTCCCGCTAGGTCGATGCGCCCAAGAATGGAAAGAAAAGGCAGATACATATATGACAAGCAATAGCTAGCCTCCTTGTCCAAAAATAAATAGACGAAAGAAGAACGCCATTGGTTCCCTTCAACGGAATGCGTAACCTCCGGCACCGTGTCTATATATCCAAAAAAAAAAAAAAAAAGGAAAAAGAAGGCAATCCAAAAAGGACGTAAGACTGATGGGAAACAAATGGTAAGATAACAAAACCAGGCTAAAATAGGAAAAGGATGGCATCGCTTTGATGTTGTCGTGGAATTTGCGCCAAAGATGTCATAAAACTCAGAAATAAGAAAAGTCGTTGCGTTCGCGTCGTTTCATCAATTTGGAGGATAGGAAAAGAGTCTCGAGAATAAATACGGTCGATCGGGACGGATGGTGGATGAGGGCGCTGTGCTGTCCGGCGATAGTGGCATTGAGCCTAGGTTGAGTCGGGGATTATATTAAAATTTGACAATTGAGTTGATATAAATCAAGTCATCCACTTCAAAAAAGGAAAACTTGCGGTTTCTTGAGGTGTGCAGCAGAAAAGGTATATATAAAAATGAGGTACGGTCTCGCTTCAGGAAATTTGGCCGGAATATAGTCCTTCAAAGTCCAACTGGCCAATCATTCCATTAACGCGATCAATCTCTTTACTGAGGTCCTCGGCATTTTGAGCAAGGCTGCTTGCCTCATCGTATTTGCGTCTGCGGTAGGCGTCAGCGATCATTTCAGTTACGAAGAACTTCTGCTCCTCAAGCACGATGAGGCGTTCGCGGAGAGATTTTTCTTCCGTTTCAAGTGCGGAGATCGCGCTGCTATTGTCGCTAGCTAGACTAGTAGTGCTATTTACACTATCTCGGTTGCCGTATCTTATTGCGGCGAGAGCGCTGGTGCCGCCGTTCATCGTTCCGGTGTTGGTATTAGGGAGAAGCTTGCTACCGTGGGGAGTTGCATGTTTAAGGACTTTGGGGAGTGATTTTAAGGGAAGCATATGGAGATGTAGGAAATTCGTGGCTTGATGGTAGATAGCTTTCTGGAGCTTGGCCTGTGTTGGAGATTGTGTTGGCAGGTCGCGTATTCGTCTGGCGGCAACGTCATACTGAGCGAAGGAATCCATCAGGCGCCTACGAACTTTGGAGGCATCGGAAAGCTGGGTAGGGGACGGGGTTTTGTCCGGGTCTCTGTATTGGGAAATTAAGTGATGAGACTACTGGGAAGGCCTTGGAGTGGTGGGCTAAAACTAACTGTAATGCGGAAAGCAATTTTTGGAATCTTGGCAATAGCAACCGAATGCCTTTCTCAAATTGTACCAGATTCTTATATGCCCGAAGATCCGGGGGCTCTTTAATGAGGTCTTGGGCAACATCTCTTCGGTCAAATATAGTAGATTTACACTCTTTACAAAGACGAACGTCAATGTTGATTTTTTCGTGGGTCGTCGGCGGTTTCTCTGAAACTTGAATGTCTTCCACTGATCAGTACGAGTGAAACAAAGCTGGGATCATTAAACATACTTGGAGAAATTTCTAAGCCAACTTCGGAAGAGCATCCTGTTATTGGATCGCCGCAGACCACCCTCCCACATGTTCGACAGTGATGCCTCCTAAATGTGTAACTAGTAAAATCTTGTTGGCAGAATGGACATCTTGGAACGCTTGCATCGTCTTGCCAGCTAACGACGGATTGTTCAAGTTTTTTCCTTTGATCATTCTGCCACGCTATAGACCATCGTCTATTGGCCCCTGATTGAATCTGATCTGCTGGAAGTGTAGAGAGGAGTTGAGTAAGTCGAGTGAGCCGCTTTTCCAGGCGCGAGACTTCCAAAAATGCCTTGTCTACTTTTTGCCTCCGTAAGTCGGTAAATAGCGCAGTGTGGTCACGCTCCTGGCCTTTTCAACGGATTAGTAAAAACGCCCTATCCCTCAAAAAGCTTTGAAGCTTACCGTTATGGCTCTTATACCCCTCCCTCGACTTATAGCAAGTCTCACATACTCTGCACCAGAAGCCGCGAACTGGTTCATGTTGAGCAGATCGGGACAGCTTCATTTGATACATTGTATGCTCCTCGCAAAAAAGCTTCCCGCACTTGCGGCAGTTGACGCTACCGCTGGTAACTGTAAGCCGCTTCTGGCACATAGGTTCTAAACATACATCGTACATTCCACGAGGTTGCCAATGTTCTCTTGTAACCACTTCATCTGGATCCGGTATCCTTGATAGCTCAGGACCTGCCTGACCTAACGGGGTTCGGGTGGGGACGGAAACGGACACTGCCGCATTGTGATTTGATTCGAAGACATCGAGCCCTTTTAGTTTCTGATTCAGGACAGCTAACGGCTGGAATCGTTTCGCCTTCTCCACCTGTATCTGAAACCAGTCCTTCACTTCAACTTGCCGGTCGTCCTCGAGATTCGCGTGTGTATCGTCAAGGTGTCTAGCCCAAACATTAGCGATGAGGCTGGGGGATGTACTAAGCGCGGCCCATATTATTACCTATTCAGTTGCAGCAATGTAAGCTGAGAAAAGCTAGTTAGCATCATAATGAGTCTTTCCCAAAAAAATAACATAAAGTAAAATGGACACAAAAGGTTGTTGTCCAAGCACCAAATAAGGCGGATGTAAACTTACCATCTCTTCGTTGCAAATGGGGCAAGCGAGCCGGGAGCTTCCTGCCGCCGCCGAAGCCCGCGATATAGATGAATCTCCATTTTCCAGTGATATTCGAGACACTATGTCCTGCGTATCTACTGAGATATGAGAGGCAGCACCTTGGGAATTGAGAGAAACGCTGCTGGGCGATGGGGAGTGGAAGCGGGAGTCCTTCCGCGGCGAAGGTGTTGGGACAGTAGGAGTTAAAGACCTTCCACTGCCCAAGACTCGGCCTCCTCCCAGAGTCCTCTTCGGCATAATTTTCGCAGGGAGAGGGAGGCTCGTGAGCACTGAGCTGAGTAGGGATGTTGTAGATATCCCGCCCGGAGAGAGTGTGTGTGTCGAAGTATGACCGGCGTTCGGAGGTTAGTTCTGGGGGCCGGCGGGATACTTTTTGCTTGGCGGTGGAGATCGGTTAATTAGCGGCTGCTTGGCGAGAGCGCTTAGTTAGCCGCGACGAGCGGAAGCAGTAACAAGTAATATTTAATATTGGGACATTTACTATTGCAGAAACTACGGGGTCGCTTCAGACTGTGAATTATGTCAGGACAAGCTTAAATATATTCTAGAGATTCCAATTCCAGATACTCGCCGTAGAATTCATCAAAACCGCAAAAATCCGTGAACAACTTTCCACAGCCAGGAAGTAGCAGTTGCAACAGGTGAGGATTCAAGACACATAGTTTTTCATTTGTAATTTAAGAAACAAAGTAAGTGCGTGATTGGAATGGTGAAGCAGCTATCACAGTTTAGGCATGCAGCTATATAGCTGCAAGGTCAACCTCGAAATACCCATTAACCATGCGCCGATCACAAGAATATTTGCAGATAAATGACTTTTCTGATACTGACTGCTAACAGCGCAACCAAGAAAACCAAGGGTGCAACTCATAAGTCACCTCATGAAGCCACGCACTCCCATAGGCAATACCGCAACAGAATGACATAGATATATCCAAGCAGTTGTAGCCCCTGATCGTGGAAACAGTAGTACCACAGACAAACATTGGGAAAGTTTGGTTTCCACCGGTTCTCTACTTACAACGACGGCATTGAGGATGACCACAACCGTCACATTCCAACCCATTAAATGATGGTTGCCTGCATTGGCAGCAGCGGAAAGCGTATTGCGGTTTAGGGGATCGATATGATTTAGAAGTGGAAGCAAAGCTGCTTGGTTCTCGATCTGTAGCAAAATCTGGGCATTGGATCTTGGCGGGAGAAGAGAAAGCTTGTCCCATTGTGGTTTTTAGTGGTTTCGCAATTGTGAATATAAGACACTTGGAAGGAAATGGGGGGAGGGAGGAGTTAAGGGGAAGGCTGTTTGTAAAGGGATGGCAAAGTCTGTCACGAGCTCGTATGAGTGGGGTAGCTCGGCAGATGGGTAGGAAGATTGTTATAGGATATGCTATGTGGCTGAGAGCCGGTTTATCGTTGGGGTATATTTGATGCTGGCGAGGCGTGAGAAGAGGAATAAACAGGTTGCTTGGCGAGGATCAAATTCAGTAAGAATAGGGTAGCCTAAAGGTGGTGATAGTGGAAAGTAGAGAGTTGGAAACGAGAAAACTGATTCATGTGCTTATATATAAAGTTAGGTCTTTCCTTAATGGCCCAGGTATAATCAGTGACATATCCACGCAAAGAGAGTGAACAAACGGAATATGAATGGCGTTTTATGAAGGATGATTTATTTGCTCTAAGGGCATTCATTATATTATCAGCAAAACTGAAACATTCATTCCAGGAACCAAATATGCGCCGTCAAGCCAGTGTGTGTAAAGTTGAGAAAGCTAATCAGTGAATGTTAGCCTGTGCATTGCAGGGCAGTTTGTATGCTGTAGCTTTTGCCGTTTACAAACTGGAGAGTGAAGCTTCCACGGGGCGCCATTGAAAGCAGTCTCGCGGCACAGGTAAAATATAACTCTGCCAGTGAAGGTCGGAGATTGCAAGAGTAACGGCCCTCTACATCAAAATTACCCGTCCAGTCTGCACTTACACTGCCATGAGCTCTTAATTCCCATTCGGGATGGTGGTTTCCTCGGGCCAAATTTGTAGCAGGTCCATAACATCGTAATTGCCTTGGGCAGCAGCATATTGCAACGGCGTGACGTTTCTAGAATCTCGTGTATGGGAATATACATTGCTTGTTGCAAGAGAAGATTAACAATCTCCACATGGCCAAGTTCCGCTGCCTTTGACAGTGGTGCAAGGAGCTCATAGTCCAGACAATGAATGACGGCTGGCGGTACTCGATTGAGTATTAGCTGTACACAATCGGTGTACCCCTTTATGGTGGCGATGTGTAGAGCCGTCCTCCCTAACATATCGCAGCATGCTAAAGTTGCGTCGTTTTCTAATAAGAGAGGAGGGTCGTTGCTTCAATGTTCTTTAGGAAAATAGCGGTGTATAACGCATTCCCAAAGAACATATCCTCATGGTCAACGTTTGCTCCCTTTGCCAGGAGAATTTTAAGAAGGTCAACATCATTCTCGTACGAGGCTGCCGTTAAAGCTCTGTCTAGAACGCCTTTTGGAGGATACGACCTTTTGTATCTCCGTCGTAACTTTCTGGACATCCTCGAATCGGTAAGATATATGAATGTCGCCCCACAGAGAGGCTTCATAGCTCTCGCGCGGTACATCCTGGCTTTTCTGATTATCATGGGAAGATTCGCAACCATGTAGTCCGCTGTTGAACGTACGGCATCAACGAGCGCGCAAGATCCCAGAAAAGAGGCCTTAAGAGATAACTAGATAGTCACCCGAGTCATAAATGTTGGATACAGCTGCAAGAAGCCAAAAAGTCCCGGCGACGTATCTGTTATTATGCGCTCAACAAACACGCTCAGAACATGGGCGTCAAACCTCCCTACAAGAAAGTGTTAGCTGCAAAGTCAATTATCCGGGTATGCGACTACATTAACTATGTCACTTAAGCAATTTATTGTTACTGCATACATATCTCAACCGCAACAGACCCTGAGACGGCGGAGTTCATCGTGTTCAAACTCATGAACTTTATGCGCATACATCCCTTCAAATCGGATGCCGTCAAGAGCCTTCTGAAAAATCAGCGGCAATATTTCGTTGGGAAGATATGGTGTGCGCTGCTAAGTAAGTTCTCAAATGTTTCGACTAGATCAAGGGTTTCCTAGTCAATTAATGTCCGGGCTTCTGCCACTCAGGTTTGGGCGACGGGGTAAGTACCAAGGGTAAGCCGCTGTATATGGTATATGTTAAGATAAGATACTTTGTGAAGGATTGGAATAAATATCCACAAGTGTATGGTCAATGGCTGTCGGGACCCCCGGAACTTTGGTCTCAGCCCCCTATATTTAGTTTAGTTGTTTTTGTTAAATACTGGATATTGAGTCAAACAAGGGTAGAGAAATAAACAAAGAGCACAACGCTCGATTAACTACGGAGTATTTATGTGTAACTAATGCTGATAGGCCGAAACCAAGGCAAACAACTGCGGGATACATAGCAAGCACAACAAACATGGCAACCTTCCGGTTGCAACAGCGTCCTTTCGTCCCTCTAAACTCACCTGGCAACAGGCAATAACGATTGTGTTGTTTGCTATTTGCCGTGACAAAAATGTCTAAGCCAGCGAGTCCCCCCGCCACAGTCTGGCAAGGAATCGACCGTGCCTTGGCAAGCCAAATCGAAGCTACCTATGTTGCTCGACAGAGAGCTCATTTACGTGCCGAGAGGACGCCGGCTGCTACTTTCGTCATTGACAGTGCCTCGTGCGACTCGTTCAAAACACATGTGAAGTCATCGAAGCGTATCCTCACGCTTCTTGGGGCTGGACTATCTGCTGCTTCCGGGATCGGAACATATGTGGATGAAGGCAGATTCTGGAGAACTCACAATGTTCGGCGGTTATGTACATACGGTGCATTTCGCGAGGACCCAAGCCGGGTATGGTGGTTCTATAGCGATAGGCGAAGAGGGGCGATGAAGGCAGAACCCAACAAGGCACATTACGCCCTGGCCAAGCTGGCTAGGAAATTGGGAAATGGGATGCTGACCGTGTGTCAAAACATTGATAGTAAGCTATACTCAACCAGGCGGCAGGAGGCCTTGATTTTTCGAAGCGGGATTTAACAGCCACAATAACGTAGGACTTTGCCCCCGCGCTGGACAACCTGAAACTTCTACTGTCTATCTGCATGGCGATTACTTCACGATCAAATGTAGCTCAGAGAGCTGCACATATAGCCGCGCGGACGATAACGACCCAATCGTGCCCGCCCTCACGCTTCCCAGCACTCATTCCATCTCCGATCCAGATTTCCCCTTGCCTCACGTTCCAGAGGAATCGCTTCCTCGCTGTCCTAGCTGTTCTTCTTTACTCCGCCCCGGCGTGACGTGGTTTGGAGAAACCATGCCTCCTGCCCAGACTAAGAGGGTTCATGACTGGCTGCAGCAAATTGATAGAGACCCTGAGAGCAATGGCCACATAGACTTGGTGCTTGTAATCGGTACAGCTGCTACGGTTCATCCGGTTTTGTCTTTAGTTACCCAAGCCAGAAAGAAGGGTGCCAAGGTCTGCGTTGTAAATCCTGATCGGGAGTCCGCGCAAAAAGTCGGGGGCATGGATGAAGGAAATTGGTGGTTTAGGGGCGGTGCGGAAGAAGTATTGCCAGAGATTTTCAAGGAGGTCATCGGGGACGCTGAGGAAGTTTCGTAGAAAAGCGATATACAAGCGCTCTGCCGACGCTTTGCTCAAAAACCCGTAGTTTTCAAACAAGTTCCGATTTTAAAATGATATTCTCAAGGCAATCTTTCGTGATTGCTGTGTAGTATTATGTCCACGAACTCACTTTTGTGAACCCAGAGAATGTCTGTTGATATCTTTGACAAGTCCTTGGACGCTTGCCGCAGACGTCCACGGTTCGACGAATACTTTCATCCGGCCGCGCCTAAACCCGTGGATCTGGGTTCGATTACATAAGCGTCATAAAGACCAACATGCCAGAAAATGAATTTCCAACAAGTTCAAGATCGAAGCTGGTTTACAAAGACGGCACATACACAGCTTCAATCAACAGCTGCGAGACATTCTTTTTTCTCCTTGAGCTCCTGGGTCCTGCGCTTGGTATAGCTGTCATCTTGATATAGACTCTCCTCATGGGACTTGGTTTCCGCATATCCTCTCCACCTCCCTGATTGCGCGCTTCCAAAGCCAGCTCCGGCATCATGTAAGTGTCTGTCGACATAAACTGGAGTGAGCCTTGAGTATAATTCCGAGCTAACATTGGCACAAAGGCCGCGCCTTGTCGATAACACTCAGATACAGTCTGCGTCGTTACATAACCCACTTCCGCTTCAGCTCCATACCTATGTGTGGCCATTCCTGATCATCTGGCCAGCGTTCCTTGCCGTCTACCTCTCCCCCGAACGTTATGATACCTATATCCAGGGTTCAGAGTGGACATTCCTATGGGCAGGAGGAATATTTTCCTTACAGGCATTAGTATGGCTATCGACGAAATGGAACGTTAATGTCGACGCTTTGTTCACCACGACTACGGCAAAATCGGTACATTCAGCAAAACTTATCAAGGTTTCGCCGGTGGTCAACGCCGGATCTGCGGAAATTTGCCCATTGGTTCGAGAAAAATATGGCGGAAAGGATGATATCTCTTTTCTATTCCAGAAGCGCCGATTCTTGTATTATCCGGATAGAAAATGTTTCGCACCACTTTCGTACGCTATTGACGCAGAACCGAAACCTCTCCTCAAGACTTTCCAACACAGCCAAGGGTTGAAGACAGATAGGGAAATTGATGAGACTCAAAACCACTATGGTGACAATACGTTCGATATTCCTGTTCCTACCTTTACCGAACTATTCAAGGAACATGCTGTCGCGCCTTTCTTCGTGTTCCAAGTCTTTTGCGTCGGGCTCTGGATGTTGGATGAATACTGGTATTACTCGCTATTCACTCTCTTTATGTTGGTGACTTTCGAAAGCACGGTTGTATGGCAACGGCAAAGGACGCTTAATGAATTCCGAGGCATGAGCATAAAACCATACGACGTTTGGGTTTACCGAAAGAACGCATGGACCGAGATCACGAGCGATAAATTACTCCCAGGCGACGTTCTATCTGTCAATCGGACGAAAGAAGACAGCGGCGTGGCATGCGATATTCTCATGATTGAAGGCAGTGTAATTGTTAATGAAGCTATGCTTTCTGGCGAAAGTACCCCTCTGCTCAAAGACTCCATCCAGCTTCGACCGGGCGACGATCAGATTGATTCCGAGGGCTTGGACAAGAACTCCTTCTTATATGGCGGGACAAAGGTTCTACAAATTACGCATCCCAATTCTTCAGATTCGCTTCCCAATGGTCTTCCGACTCCTCCTGACAATGGTGCTCTGGGTGTCGTTGTGAAAACTGGCTTTGAAACCAGCCAAGGCAGTCTAGTGCGCACCATGATTTACTCCACGGAGCGTGTTTCTGCGAACAATGTGGAAGCCTTGTTGTTTATTTTGTTCCTCTTAATGTTTGCTATTGCTGCCTCTTGGTATGTCTGGCAGGAGGGTGTCGCAAGGGACCGAAAGCGATCCAAGTTACTGTTGGACTGCGTTTTGATCATCACTAGTGTGGTTCCTCCTGAACTCCCAATGGAGTTGAGCCTAGCGGTCAACACCAGCCTGGCTGCGCTCAGCAAGTTTGCCATTTTCTGTACCGAACCATTCCGAATTCCCTATGCCGGACGAATTGATATTGCATGCTTCGATAAAACTGGAACCCTCACCGGTGAAGATCTCTTGGTAGATGGAATTGCTGGCCTTACCTTGGGACATGCAGGTGCAAAAACTGACAAACATGGAGCCCACACTGATATTACTCCCGTTGAAAAAGTCGCGAATGAGACAACCCTTGTCCTCGCCACAGCACACGCCCTTGTGAAATTGGATGAAGGGGAGATTGTTGGTGACCCGATGGAAAAAGCAACGTTGACTTCTCTTGGATGGGTCCTGGGTCGTAATGATATTTTGACAAGCAAGGCCACCGGAGTATCACGACAACCGGGCCGGGCTCTCGATTCCGTTCAAATCAAACGAAGATTCCAATTTTCTTCTGCTCTAAAACGCCAAAGTGCCATTGCGACCGTTGTTAGCACTGATCGACAGACATCAAAAAAGCTCAAAGGGACATTTGTTGGTGTCAAAGGTGCCCCTGAAACCATCAGAGCCATGCTGGTTTCCACCCCTCCCCATTATGAAGAAACGTTCAAATACTTTACTCGCAACGGTGCTCGTGTTCTCGCTCTTGGCTACAAGTACCTCTCTACCGAGTCGGAACTCGGCCAAGGACGAATTAATAATCTGAAAAGAGAGGATGTGGAATCGGACCTGCACTTTGCCGGATTTCTCGTTTTGCAATGTCCTTTGAAAGATGATGCTGTAAAGGCACTTCGCATGCTCAATGAGAGCAGTCACCGTGTTGTTATGATCACTGGTGATAACCCTCTCACTGCAGCTCATGTTGCTCGTCAGGTAGAAATAGTTGACAGAGAAGTCCTGATTCTTGATGCACCAGAGAACGACAACTCTGGGACAAAGCTAGTATGGCGGACTATCGACGATACTTTCAGTGTTGATGTTGACCCCACCCAACCTTTGGACCGTGAAATTCTGGCAACCAAGGATCTTTGCGTTACTGGCTATGCACTAGCGAAGTTCAAGAACCAGAAGGGTTTTTCCGATCTTCTCCGACATACTTGGGTATATGCTCGCGTCTCCCCGAAACAGAAGGAAGATATTCTGCTGGGTATGAAGGATGCTGGATACACGACTCTTATGTGTGGCGATGGTACCAATGATGTTGGTGCACTTAAACAAGCTCACGTTGGTGTTGCCTTGTTGAATGGCTCTCAGGATGATCTCAATAAGATTGCGGAGCACTGGAGGAACAACAAGATGAAAGAGATCTACGAGAAACAAGTTTCATTGATGCAAAGGTTTAACCAACCCGCTCCCCCAGTTCCCGCAAACGTGGCGCATCTGTATCCTCCCGGGCCAAACAATCCGCACTACGAAAAAGCAATGATTCGTGAGGCACAAAGGAAGGGAATCACTGGCCCCGCTGCGACTGAAGGAAATGGGGTCCCAACTGTTACCTCTCCAGGCGCCCAGGCGATACAACAATCGAACGCGAACCTAACGCCTCAGCAACGTCAACAACAGCAGGCGTCACTCGCCGCGGCCGGATTTGCCGATAAGCTGACGGCCACAATGATGGAGCAAGAATTAGATGACAGCGAGCCACCCACTATCAAACTTGGCGATGCTTCGGTTGCAGCACCTTTCACTAGCAAGCTTGCAAACGTGATCGCAATCCCGAATATCATCCGCCAAGGCCGGTGCACGCTGGTTGCAACTATCCAAATGTATAAGATCCTAGCGCTTAACTGTCTAATTAGTGCATACAGCTTAAGTGTCATATATCTTGACGGTATTAGATTTGGAGATGGCCAGGCGACTATCAGTGGCATACTCATGAGTGTATGCTTTTTGTCAATTTCTCGTGCGAAGGTATGTACATACCTCCAACCCATCATTGATTTTGGTATTGTGTCAACAGGAGATCTCACACAAACCGAACTTCAAATAGTCTGTCGAAGGCCTCTCTAAGGAACGGCCACAACCTAACATTTTCAATATGTACATTATGGGGTCCGTCCTGGGCCAATTTGCCATTCACGTCGCAACCTTGATATATCTGTCCAGCTACGTTTATACTATTGAGCCGTAAGTCCCCTCTTTTAAATCGCACGCTATAAAATACCATACCCCATAGATCTGACTAACGTTCTTTAAATCCTACAGTAAAAAAGAAGAAATCGATCTAGAAGGCGAATTCGAACCTTCCCTCCTTAACAGCGCCATCTACCTCCTCCAACTAATCCAACAAATCTCCACCTTCTCCATAAACTACCAAGGCCGCCCATTCCGCGAATCCATTCGCGAAAATCGCGGCATGTACTGGGGTCTCATTTTGACATCCGGTGTCGCTTTTTCCTGTGCGACGGAGTTCATCCCGGAGCTCAACGAGAAGCTCCGCCTTGTTCCATTCAGCACTGGGTTCAAAGTCACGCTGACAGCGCTGATGTTGGCAGACTACGCTGGCTGCTGGCTCATCGAGAATCTATTGAAGAGGTATTTCAGTGACTATAGACCGAAGGATATCGCTGTTCGGAGGCCGGATCAGTTGGCGAAGGAAGAGGAGAGGAAGAGGAAAGAGGCGGAGGCGGAGGAGGATGAGAAAGAATCGACGAGGAAGGTTTGATTTTTATAGAGATGTGAGTTTGTGATAGATATTTGGGGTTGGGGGGGTTTAATTAACAATTTTCTTCTACTCTATTTCCCGAGTTTGATAATGATTTACTTTCTTTTCCTTTTTTTGTTTTAGTTTTGGCTTTTTATAAATAAAATAATATGTCTGATGTGAATATTATGGCATGGAATCATGTACATGTACAACATCTCTCTGACAAATAGATATACTTCTTTACTGTCCTGTACTTGTCTTTCTGCTACTGACATTGTAGAGTACAAGAGCGAGTGCGCAAAATGTCTATATCGGCCTTGAAAGGCCTGAGATATGCTCTATGATGACTGGAGTAGAATTGACTAGATCAGCTATTTGGTTTACTTCCTTATTTTCTGTAGCATATGAGGAGGTTTAATCTCCCCAATATCTATTTACACAGGTTTTGCACACTGCTCCGTATATATGTAACCGTTCTTCAACACGATTCATTGGCAGTGCGCATATATTGGGGTTTTCGCAGTTGAAATTGTGGCCCAAAAGGCAGCCGTGTGATGTCATATATATAATCGAATATCTATTGTGGAAAAGGGGGATCGGTTTGATCCAGCCACAAAATGAAATCGTTCCCTATATTTGAAACAATGAGAAATATTGAGGGAAATCGAGAACACAACAAAGAAAACCGGACAAAGAAGAAGGCATCAATCTATCCCACGCTACTATGATATCGCTTTCTTCACCTCTGGCGTCTCCAGGAAGTCCTTGAGGATGGACACTATCTTCTCCAAAGAAGCCGTGGACAGTTCCAGAGCTGCCTGGCACTTGGCCGGATCATCACCCAGCTTCCTGTAGAAATCCTTGCGGTAAGGGGTTGCTCCCATTGCGGCGACAAAAATGGGTTTCACAAGGAAATTGTGGTGGGGTTTCAGGGTATCGCCGTAGGCCGCACGGAATGAGGCAGACAATTCTTCGTTGGGGTGGGAGATATTGTGACGAAGGGCTTTGGCAGTAAAGTCAAGGCCCCTTCATAAATTTTTTTATAGCAGTAGTTAGTAACTACTTATCTTGATTCCTCGAGGCGGGTAATTAAGGGGTGGAAATAGGTTTGTATTCTATTTTCCATTGCCGTACACAACGTACCGGAGAAGCCAGAGCAAGCCACCGCTGGCAGTGTTTTTTTTAGCTTTTAATTCATTAAGAACGAGCGCTTGGAGAGTCTCTGATTCTGCGGGCGCAGCAAGCTGTCTATCTCTGATTTTCTGAAAAGGGATGGTGTAATTAGCACCAGTAAAGGCTAGGGAAAGAAAGGCGGGGTTGGGGGGGTTTCGGTACCTTGATGTTACCCAGCAGGTCATTTTTGACTGGAGTAAAAGCAACAGAACCAAGGAGATCTAGCGGTAGCATCAAGTATTAGCTTCGATAAGCTAATACATGTTCATATGAAAGGTAGATATACCAAAGAGCGTCGTCAGAGCCTCAGCAGCTTCGAGGAACTCGGAGGTTGTTATGGCGTTGTCGTCAGAAACGGGGACTGCATCAAAGCCTCTTTGGAGAGTATCGAACCAGGTTCCGCCTGGGGGAATGACTTGGGTATTGGCCATGGCTTCTTTAAATATACTCTAGGGAGGTATTCTATTCCAAATGAAAGGGGCCAGTCCGACAACAGCAGCAGTGAGAGTAGATGGATGTTGATGTATTAGAAAGTCACTCCGCGCAAGCAATTGTCCCCTACACAGCAAAGGATCAAACTGCGCAAACTGCGCAAACACTAGTTAGCTTGCAAACAGTGCAAATAATACAAACAGCTCTCTGATTTTGCAGCCACCGACGTCATTGTTTTTTTGTCGTTGAAGAACGAAACTAGGAAGCAGTTAGCTTGGCTTCACCCCAGACCATCTTCAATAACGAGCCGCCGATTTACCACTGCACAGAGCTCCTGACACAGTACTCAGTGGCTAGTTACTTTATCGATGTTTTACTTCCTATCCCTCTTTACTTACAATCAGCCCTTGCTGTAACATCTCTAAGACGCACCTAGGTTCTAGTTAAACCCGCAAGATGGCGAGATGAGCACTTCTCCGGACCGCACCCAGCGCCCCCAAGCGAGTGCAGAGACTGAAATCGAGGCCGAAATCGACGAAGGCAATTTTGGTTTGAGTCCCGATTCATACACAGCCCAGAAATTGGTTGGTTCTTATTTTGTCGGACTACCTTGTGTGTTTTGCAGCAGTTTGTGCTAACTTCATAATCACTGGTGCCAGCAACATGCCTCTCCAGAACATCTTCACACCACCACTCGACGGACGTTTATTGGCCCTATACCTCGAAGTTGGCTACAGTCTCATCGTAAATCGTGGTATAAAAAATGGTTTGGGCTGAAGGACTACTCGTCCCGGCAGGCTACCTTCTCCGAAGACACTTCTTTCAATATAAACACGCGCCAATTGACAGGATTTATTAAAGCTCCAAATGAACGAATTTATAAACCAAGTTTCCCTCAACCTAAAGACGTGGATGAAAGCCAGGGACCGGTAAAGACTATACCCGTAGCGCCTATTGATACTTCCCAAGAGGAGCCTGCGACGGCGGACCAACAGTCGAGCCACGCTGAAAGTGGACACCATGGCGACTTGGATCAAATGGCGAATCCGTCGGATCAACCAAGTCCAGCCATGAGAAAGTCCTCGACGGATCTTGCGACTGTGGAGGAGTATTTTACACCAAGTGAGTCGCTGGGGGTGAGGAGCAGGCCCGGGTCTTTTGAGTCAGTGGACCACCAAATTCGGCATCGGGGATCTTCGAATTCAAACCAGGACGTTCCTCGTCGACATACCCGGGACTATAGTTCGATGCCAAACCCACTAGATGAACCATTACAACTAGCAGCAACCCACGAGAGCACATCTAGAACGGATGAAACCGAATCTACCGCATCTTTAATACCCCATAAACGGCAAGCCTCAGCAAAACTAATATCCAAGGAGTCCTCAAGTCTCCTTCAAGCAGAAGTATCCCGTGCTGAAACTGCTGCAGCTGGGGAGGGGTACCCCAATCAGCCTCCAACGGACCAGGCATTATTGAGTACTGTTTCCTCGGGAATGGTTCGATTCCAACAAGATGGTTCAACTGGGGTAAATATGCAACCACGGAAACGACGGACTCGCCAGAGAGCAAAAGGCCGACATCGCAGATTACTTCCAGGTCGCGATGGTGAAATCATTAGAGCAGAGCGGATGCTAGTCCGAATTGACACCACAAAAATGCAGTCACTTCCAAATGATTTTAGTGAAAACAACAGTATTAAAATAGAAACCCGAATTGCCGAAAAGTGGAGGGAATATCTCGTTGTGTGTCGTCAAGGAACTGATGAGGAGACTCCTATCACTCTTCATCTCTACAAAACCAGAGTGATCCCCCAGGTTCAAGTTTCACAGGTGAAGAAAAGTTCAACCCGCGATATTCCTCTTACTCTGGGATTTACGAAGGTTAATCTGTTTTCCTCCCTGGATAAAACCATTGTTATTTGGCACCCTGATCATGAAGGATCTGTTTTGTTTATTATGCGAGCAAAATCATGGACCCATTCAATGGAATGGTACACATTTCTTCGTACGACGCTTGGATGGCAACGTCCCACAGACCTTATAGTTCGTGTTCCCGACCTCGATATTGCTGTGCTTCTCAAGCACCCTTTTTCTCACCTACAGAATTATCCCACTCCAGCAGACCAAGACGACAATGAGGAATGCTCGACACTTCTCAAAACAATGGCCGAGGAACGGGCCGTTGCAGCTGGCATAGTTAAAACCTGTATGAGTACGTTATCGGAATGCCCAGAATGGGCCTCTATACTAAAAGTATGGCCGGGTTCCGAGAAAATGGGTTTGGCCTGGCGAAGGTATGACAGGCTAGAGTGGGTTCATGGCGCCAATGAGGAACGAATGTATGGAACAATAGCGATGAGGACCTCCCATGAGCTCGAACTACGACCAAAGCGCCATTATCCGACGACTATAAAGCACGCTGGGGAGGAAGAAGTAACTGAGGAACCCCCTCCAGTTGAAGGATTCCTCATATTGCTTACTTCACAAAAAGGCAAACGCCAACGACTAGGAAAGGCGTATTCTCGGCGGTTATACTTCAACGTTCATGACCAGTATCTATGTTTTTGTCGACCAGCGAGAGCTATCCCTCCCCCTCTGCCACGGCCAACAACGATTGTGGGATCTGATATCCCAACTGCGTCTCAACTTTCCAAGGATACTCCCATTATCTATTCTATCAATCCATATCCCCTGCAGGATGGGGCAATCTCGTGGCTTTCTAGAGTAGCGCAGAACAAGCGAGAACAACATGATGCTGAAGCCTACCGTGAAAACAGAAGAAACCTAGAAAATCTCGAAAGAGCTGAAGGTTATTTTAATCTCTGCCAGGTGTCAAAAGTCCAAGTTGCAAATAAACATTATTTTCCCGAAGAATCACATGTCAATGGGGGCGATGTTGATTTCCATGAAGAAGCGAGAGATAGTACAGCACGAGGTGGGCCAGGAAACGATCATCAATCCCAAGCCAACAGGTCATTTGAGCTAGTGATGAGTGGGGGACTTGTTGTAAAGTTTCGGGCCTACAATATGCAAACAAGAGATGAGTGGGTTCAGCGGCTCTCGAACCTTGTTCGATACTGGACTGCGCGAAGGCGGGAAGATGTAGGTATTATGAAATCAATTCGGCGGCAAAACCTTGAACAACTAAATATAACTGAAGACCAAGAGTTCATGTTTGAACAATTTGCATCTGCTTGGGAGGTATCTAAAGCACAGACATCCCCAGAGCTGTTCAATATTTGTGGGATGTCGGGTTGTCGAGCCGTTAGGGTAAGGATCATAGCATCCTATCTGATGTATCAATGCGAATTTTTGAGCATCAAACTGACTATCAACCTAGATGTCTGGCACGCTATATTGCAAGCCCCGACGACGGTCAACATTTACTGCCTGCGATGTGATCCTCACTGAAGGCCAACTTCTTACCTTCCAGAGCCTTATTCGTAAACTCTCCGGCGAAGAGACACCACATACCCATCACGAACGTGAATGGGTACTAGATCTCCACGACTGCTATATATACAGTGGTCTAATAACGGACTCTGATCTTCTTTACCAAAACCATACCATCGATACCAACTTACCAAGTCAGCATGCTTCGCCTCGTTTGTATCTCAATGACGGATGGACATCGTCTGATGAAGATGTAGCAACGTGCTTCGTGCTTTGGCAAAATGCACGGAAGACCGTGTTTCGCAGTCAGGAGGAACGAGAGGATGGTGCGAGGGCGAGAAAATGGAAGAGGGTATCCACCTTGGGTGTCCCCGGTAGGTCCATCGTGTTTAAGACGAGAAGTCGGGCTGAGCGAGATATGTGGGTGTTGGCCATTGAAACGGAGATTGACCGGCTGCAGCAGTTGGAGGACCTTCGAATTGTCCCTAAAGACCAATGATCCGTTCTCAATCCATCGTGTTTCTGTTTCTTCAGGGTTCCCTGTATCCGGCTGGTTCATGAGGGCAATTGTACAGTATATTTTTGGTTCTCTTTGTGTCCCGTTCTTTTAATAGCGAATGCATCGCAGGGGAATAGTTCAGCTTTTGTTTTTTCTTCTTAAGGAGGTGCATGTTCAGAAAGATTCTGTTCATTTCATAATTCCTTTCTCCCCTATATGATAATTACCAGACAACTAACTGCATGGGTTATATATATAAACCGTGCAGGGGCTGGCTCGATGTGCCAATTCTATCATTACATCTCCAATGAGGAATATCTATAAGCCACCAAAATCTTGATGCCAAATGCAAGCCCCAACTTCATGCATAGTAGAGAGCCGTCCAGATACTCTCTTTCTCATAACAACAACATATATATACAGATAAATGGTATAATATACAATATACAGTAACCAAACTGAAAAAGCTTTGAGAATTCCAGCCATTACTATGCGCCAATATACGGCTTCTCAACCTTAACCGCATCCTCCTCAACCCTCGATCTCTTCGCAGCTGGCTCTCCTCCCTCTCTTGCCCAATCGTCCCACTTCAACAACCTCATCCGCGGCCACAGCACACACATTACCCGTCCTGATATTAAGCTCATCGATACAGGCCCGTACGTATTACTGTCCATAGTCTTCTTTGCGTCGGCTACATCACCTTCCACCCAAACGTGATTCCAGGGGACGATTTGCGCGCTGCCGTCCGATTGATTGCGCGGTGTCACGCGGTCTCCTGCAAGAGCTATTATGCGTTTAACGGTGGTTTGGGAGGGGTTGAGGTGGGAGCTGTTTTGGTTCGTTGGCACATTTAATTATAAATTTACATGAATGACAAAATATATTTGTTTACATTCAAAATACTCACGGGAACGTAACAACCATCCCCCTCCTAAGATTCTTCGCCGGTTCCCACTTTTTTACTAATATCATGTCCTTGACAAGATGTGTCTCGCCATACCCCTCGTTCAAGCAGGGTGTCATTGACGGGCCACTCACCCACATCACCTGCACGAGGTGGTCTGAGAGAAGAACAAGGCCGCCCATTGCGAGTAAGCTGTAGCCTCCAAAGCGGAGAGCGGCCCTGCGGAATCTGGGTGAGCGGAAGAAGCTGGACGAAGATGAAGCTGTGGCTGATGCCGACGGGATTTCTGAAGATGAAGCGAAGGATTTCCCATTATTAGAGGAGTGAGACGGAGCGGCTTTGTGGGATAACCGTTCAATGATTTTCGTATACTCTGCGGCTTCCAATTTGCGGTTTACGAGGTTGGTCTTTACGTGCGTTTCTGCTGAAGGGGCGTCGTATGTAGGGTGAGGAGTGGTGGAGGCGGTAGAAGGGGAAGGGGTAGGCGGTGCTGACTCTTTGTGTGGCTTTATAATTGTGCCTTTGCGAGCCGGAGGGGGTTTAACTGGAGCAGGGCCCTGTTTGGGGAGCATGGCTACTAGAGACGCCCGCCGGGGGAGATCACAGACGACCGGTGTTCCTTTCCTGCTTCCTCAGTTCATGGGTTGGGTTATTGGAGAAGTCAGCAGCCAATTGAAGAGGGTTAGTTAGACAGTATTTGAAGTTGAGGGGCGACCCCTTGATCATGCGCAATGCGCCAACATCGCGATGCGTTTTCTGGCGGAGCAGGAAGTTGGGTTCCGCAATGTTTGTTCTGTTTGTTTTGTTTGTTCTGTTGGATCTGCTCCAAGCCAAACGACGTCGATAGGGCTGAAGGGTCGATCAGATGACATCACACAGCAGGACAAACATAGCCAGCTACCTAGGTAAAGGTACGGAGTATAAAGGGAGGGTGATTGGAATAAATCCTCTAAAAAAGCAGCGCCCTTAATTTTAGGCATGGGAAGGGGGGATACGCTACTTTTAACAGCGTCTTATTTTAACAGCTCATGATGGTCGTTCCTAGTTACAGGGAAATAAAGCCCTGCGGATTAGATTCTGAACATGAAAATAGAAGCACAATATCAACATATGAAAACTCCTAACTTCCTGTGCCAGCATTGCTCCAATCCCATAAACTGAATTGTTCTTCCACCCTCTGTTAAAGTAAAAAAGTTAATGGTGAAAGACATGGCTAAAAGAAAATCAGTATATAAAGAGACGATGAGTAATGCATGTGGCAATGCCTAGTGATATAGTTATCAGTCGGGTGTCAATATCTCATTTTAGCTTCCCACATAACGACAATTCGAATTCTGGTAAATCAACTGAAAATTGGCAGCGGGACGGTGACGGTGAAAGGACGGCGGTTGGCGAGTAGCGAGATGAAAATAAGGTAGAAATATAAAAGAAATGAACGCAAAAAAAAAAAAAAAAAAAAAGAGAGAGAGAGAGAGAGAGAGAGAGAGAGAAGCAAAGAAAAGAAAAGAAACGAAGGCTATAACTATCCATGGCTCTTTTTCATTAATATTCTCATTTCTTCCCTTCCGCAGAGTTGCTTTCCTTGAGGTCCACAGTGCTGGACACGACGCTTTGGACATCTGCCGAAGTAGGGGCATCGTCCAGTTCAACAGGCTCATCATCGAGGCGCTCCGCCGATGTGTTTGTCACTTCGGCTTGCTCAACCTTCTCCCAGTCATCCTCACTTCTCTCGCCATCCTTGTCAAGAACTCGACTCCCTGAAACATTGGTACCAACCCTGGGCTTCTTAGCATCTCGCTGACCTTCCAAGGTAGGCTCTGTGGTAGGGGCATCAGGCAGGCTAGCTGCGAGTGTCGCTGGTGAGGATGACGGGTGGGATGACTCTTTACGGTCTTTCTCTGTCTCCGTTGATAGATCTTGCTCTGTTGGTGGGAAATATTCTCTATAAAATTCACAGTTAGTGGCCTGGTATACTCCAGAATGCCAATGGAGAAAAACGTAGCTAGGTCACTCACGGGAGAAGCGTGTGGTAAGCATCTGTGTCCTTTTGTTCAAAAGTGCAAAATATCACCCGTTCTAGACGCTTGGAACTTGTTTCTAGAAATTGCTTTACTGCAGAAATGGCGACCTCTGCTGCCTGCAGACTCGGATACCCGTAGACACCTGTGCTGATTGATGAGAACGCAATGCTTTTCAAACCACTTTCTGCAGCGAGTGCTAAACTGCGCATATAACAATTGCGTAAAAGCGATTCCCTGCCCTCATCTGCCCAAAACATGGGACCGACAGTGTGAATGACCTTTCGACAGGGAAGGTTATAAGCGTTGGTTATTTTGGCATCTCCTGTAGCGCAACCTCCCAACGCACGACATTCCTGAAGAAGGCCGCGACCAGCTGCACGGTGGATTGCCCCATCAACACCGCCACCTCCTAGCAATGACTTGTTAGCTGCATTTACTATGCAGTCGACTTCAAGTTTTGTGATATCGCTCGCAATCAGACAGATCGAGTTGTTGAGGAGTTGAGAGGGATTGGAAACCCGGGGACTTGAGGCGGGGATCAAATGTTTAAGCTTGTAGAGGAGAGATAAATTGGGAATTTCTGATATTGTTATTCGAGACGACGTCATAATGGCCCTCCTGTGAAATCTAAAGCACCAGCGTACAGATGCGAAATGGGGAAGAAGGTTAAGGGAAAGAAATAGAGCCTTTCGTAGGCTGAGTGCGGGGATCTGGGACTAAGAAGGGTTTAGAAGAGTCTGCGGAAGAGAAAATAAATAAATAATATCACCGATCCAATCCTTGACTAAATAAGAACAACTAATACCGTACATGCTGAGCAGCAATTTGGATAAAAAGATGATGTTGGATCGTAACATCCACTAGTTACTGGAGGTGGTGAGTTTGGGCAACTGTGAGATGGCACGTGATCCATGGCGATGATATCATTTAACTAAACGTACGTTGGCTGCGGGGAAAGCATCTTAACACTCCCCCCTACATTCATGTATCAACGTCTCCCCTTTGAGAAGCATTAACCTTCTTAGAGATACGCAACAACATCCTCCAGAATTCCACTTGTCCTTACTGAAAGACCAAGAGTACTTTTCCAAATGCATCTCAAGGTCCGCACCGCAACAGAGTCAGACATTCCCCAAATCTACTCCATATTTACCCACTATGTTCGCAATACTGTCATAACGCTCTTCGCCAATACACCTCCTTTCTCATACATGACCAAAAGATTCCACAAAACGCAGGAGCGTGGCTTGCCTTTCCTTGTTGCCGTTGAGCAGCTTGAGCAGGATGACACCTGCCATGGAGGAAATATGGCAGAAAAAGTCTGTGGATATACTCTGGCTTCACCCTTCAGGGGCTACATGCTCTCCTACGCACCCACAGTTGAGATGTCCCTCTTCGTCCACCCCGAGTACCACTCGCGAGGGATAGGAAGTACTCTTCTCTCGTCGCTGATAGAAGCTTTGCAAGAGGCAAAACATCTCTCCTACCAAGTCACCGGGCATGCAGGCTCTGAAGCACGTGTGCATGCAGAAGCGAAGGTGAAGAGCATACTTGCTATTATGACAGTCAATCCTGAAGGTAAAAATGGAGGCGAAGGTTTAAGAGACTGGTATGTTCAAAGGGGATTTGTAGAAAGAGGAAGGATGAAAGAAGTTGGCTTCAAATATGGTAAATGGTGAGTTTGTCCCTCCCCCTTCTGTCATATTTGCTTCTGTCGGATGATATTCCTTCTTTGATACTCTAATTTCAATTGTGGATTGAGCCACAACTTTATATATAGAACTCATTCATCTCTGTCATCCTCTTTTCCACTGATACATCTACGCTCTAGGATCGACACAATATATCTTCAATACACCCTATAATGTTCGTTGCCAACCGAGCTAGTGTTTGGTCGCATTTCAGCCAGCATCTGCTAGAAACGAGGAAGTAACGTGGAAATCGCGGAAGGAAAGGCTAAGGTGGCTGGACTTGTTACTCAGCATTTGTTCTACGAAGCTGGAAAAGACCATTTCTTGCTCTTCGCACTCCTATTGAGTCGCATCCACGGCTGGTGGAGAATTTAAGATTATCGAATTAACATTCAAGGTAACTTTCTAACTACTTCTATTCGAACCTTCTTCGCCATTATTATATATAGAAAGATAAATTCCGTTCATTTAATAGTGACGGGACAAAATGATAGTGATAAGTGGTGGCCAGTAGATCGAACGGCCATACAGTCGAATCCACAGTTGTGGGCTTTCCACCTAGCATCATGCCCTCCAAGCACAAGCCTGTCATATCAAATTGGGGGCCATTAAAGCTTTCCACCGAGCGCCATAGTTGACTTCCAATTAATGATTTGCCAACTCACAGGTTTCGAATTCCTCCGGTTCCCACCACGACAGAGAAAAGGGATTACATAGAAATTTGCAATTTGCACAGCCGACAAGGCAAATATGGGCCAGTAGGCCACGGGATCGTGAACCGGCTTCACAGGGGGAAACTAAATCATAAAGGAGAGTGCTGGATGATAAATCAACCTTGAGACTAAAACCGCTGGCGAAAATTCGACTATTCCTCCATTGAACTCCCAAAAGGTCCCTAACCTTGGGCTCATCTTCCAATATATTTCATTGGAGAATACAAGGCAGAATACCTGACAGATCTATTGCCTTCATGGAAAATTTCTTGATCAGGAATGGTGATGTAATTAACTCATTGCTTTCGTTTGGATATTTAACTACCCACGCATCTTAATCGTTACCCAAGAAGAGAAGAGCTGCGCCTGGCCGTTCTTCCAAGCATGCACAGTACATTGTCTCTCCCACTTGTCCCGTCTGAAGGGCGCATTGGATAGTGCGAATCGGAATGTGTCCAAAGCAGGGTTACAACGCAGGGTAACAGCCCAAGCATGACACCACTGAGATTAGCATGATGATCTGAGGAACTTTAAATAAATAATAGGTCAGTTATCCAAGACAGAGCGTTTGTCAGGGACCTTCTGCTGCCAGACCTCTCCCAGTCTAGTCGCACTCACTGAAATGAAAAGCTACCAGGGTCATCATTCAAGTTTAGCCCACCAACCACCCAAGGCAGGCTTCCGCGGTCCCCGCTGCAATCCTGAAGAGGAGGGCGCATGAATGATGGGAAGAGGTTGGCCCTCGGCTCTAACCATCGGATACGTTGTGTGAGGTGGCATCCCCTCACTGGAAGGCGGCTCGACGATCGTGGCGGGACGGCCTTTTATCTTGAAACGGCGGCGTGCGTTAATAATTCGGCAAAATGACTTATCACAAAGAGAATTCACCAATAAACATTTTACTTGCAAGCAGGGTCGGTGCGTTTGAGGTTGAAAGGCTCTGGACAGCGCGACATTGTGGAGAAAGCGGGATGAGAGGATCGGCTCCAATCCCCGCAGCACGCACGTTCCTAAATATTTGGCAAAGAATTTTGTCTTTGGAAACCGAAATCTTCCATTGCCGAATTAGCTTCTGGAAGCTGTTTTCATCTCGCCGCCCCACGTTTTCCGGATACATGCGACAACGTTTGGGGTATTTATTCTCTGACTATTTTGCAATCCAAATAATTAAGGGAAAGAATCTAGCACTTCGCGGCGACAGGTAGCTTGTCCTCAAGGGCTGATCTGCACGTCATGAGATATGAACTGGAATCTCAGCCAATAATTTTCCAGTCCAGGCTTAGTGTCAATGAACTGTCATTTTTACTATGTTAGAAGCGCCTCCTAAAAAGCGGAATATGTGAAGCCATATTACCGTCGCGAACAAATTGCATCAAATGGAGTGCACTTCCCCAATGCTGAGGAATACATGCACCACTACGGATTACTGGTTGCCAATGTGATGTTATTTTTAAATCTCCTCCTTCGTCCATCTGTCTCGGAATATTTGCTAGCTAGCAGGAGCCGACAGGGTCTTCTTTGGTTGGTTCATTATTTCCGTGAGCCGCCCAAATCGCAGTATCTCGCCGGACATGGAATGGAGTTTGGGGAGGAAATAAGATTCTAGAGCAGCGCATAACGGCCTGACTTGCTCATGGTCTAAGTGGGCAAATTTCTGCAGTTACGCATTAAACTTCCTTGTCCACCTTCACTGATTCTAGTTAGCATAAACACAACCAATATGTTAGCGAGATTTTAATCTTGGATACAACCTGATGGGTGGACTCTCAGAGAGATCCTTGGAAACAATGCCGTTTATCTCACCTGTCCATGAAGTGTTGATGACAGCCAATCGGATACATGAGAAGAATGAATCTAGTTCAAGAGTTCGAGCTTTTGAAGATCCGAAGGAAAAAGTGCTCAGCTGCAGCAAGCCGATCTCCATAGAGATCGAACAGATGGTCCTCGTTACATTTTTCTGACTATCAGGGGGCAAGGATTACAACGGATCCTTGATCCTTCCTTGTCCCAACTCACCGACAATATCCCGGCCATCCAGAAGGCCAAAAGAGAGCTCTCGAAGAGGACATGGAGCTTTATTATCTAGCTTAATTCATATTTCCTCCATGTCAAGAGGTCCTGGTTTGGTCCCGTTTACGCTATTGTGGCAGTAATTTTCAGAGATTACTGTCTCAGAATTCATACTCTCGAAGGATAATTGGGTTCGAGAGCGAATGTCCTGACTTCTTCAGCTTTGTATCGCGAGAAAGAGAACGAAACGGCCGGGGTCTTCGAAGCTCTTCCCTTCAAATCTTTCAATAATCGTGGCTCGTCAGTAGCTACGGGACAGATTTGACCTGCCAGGTCAGGTCCGCAAGTTCTTTCAGGTCCCTTTGATTTCATTGAATTAAATAGGGATGTACCCATCCCGGTTGCAATTCTTATCAATCAATGCCTCAATAGTGTTTGTGGCCGAAATGTGACTTTAATCAGATAAGAAGTCGCCGATGAGATTAACCTAATTTTGCTGTTTCTGTCAGATTGAATCCTTGGAGAGCTCCATGTCGTCCTGTCGCTATCCGAATCAGCATGCCATCATCCAGTATGAGACGCTTTAGCTGCTCTTGTACTGTACCTCGACGGTTTGCTGCCTGGGATGTCAAAATATAGGGCGGATCTAAACATTCGTTCATTCTGTATGGTATGCAGAGGGCAGAAAACCAATTCGTAATTACTAATATCAGTTTCATGAACGAGATAGTTTGTGACACTTCGGGCTGGCTTTCATCAGCAGCAGGATCACAAGGATGATTTATCAAGTCCGTAACAAATAGCGTTAGTGGGTTGGATGGATTCTCCTCGGTATGCTTCCTCCTCTGTTTCTTTGTCTTACTTACACCTTCCTATCCTCAGGAAACACTGATCGAGACAAAGAATTTCCCGATGCTTTCACCTAGTTGGACTATTGAAAATATCGGGCCACAGGCCTCCAAGGGCTGAGTAGTGTATCACCTCGTTTATGGACGTAAGAATGTGCTCACTCTGATTCCAGATCTATCGCAACCCGGCGCCCCTCACACAATTTTTTATTTATGTATTTATTTATATTTTTTTACAGCCATACGCAATATAAACGACGCTCACAAGCTTCCAATCAATAACTACGAGAAATAGTGGGGGAAAAGAAAAGGAGAGCGCCAACGGTCGTGGCGGCCAGGGACGACGACAGATACGCTTGGCGATCGATGGGGCTGCGTGGCACGATTCGGCTTTTTGAAACCGTGTCCAGGAGCATACGCTGGGCAAGGATGATCGTATATATGTACTGTACATGAAATGTACATGTACATACATTACTATGTAGGAATCCTCTAATGTATCTCAACACGGAAATCATTGGGAAGTTAATGCAATTTCACCATATGCTGTACTTGTGCATCCTAAGCATCTACGCCGTTTGAAAGCTTGTATTTTATACAAAAAGCTTTCTTGTTTGCTAACGGTCTTGCTGTCAGGTTCTGCATGTGCAGCATGCATAGATCATTTTAGCACGCTCTTACACAGTACGGAAGTCAAGATATTCTTGCCAAGTCTCAGGCTGAATCATCATTAATGCCGGGGATTCAGGTTGTGGAAGCTGGCCCATCCCTCCTTCAGACAAGCTCCTATGTAAAAAACAATCGAGAGAAACTCGCTCGTTTTTGCCTTGGCATGCGCAGTACGGAGTATCGTGTAATTAATTATGACGACGGGCCGCTGTGTAATAATACTGAGGTAATGCCGCATGCATGGCGATACGACTGAAATCTGCATGATTACGATGAACGGCTATGACATTACGTTGTAGGATAGCGATCTTGGCAAGAAAAATATCAAGTTTCCATGCCACGCCACCTACTTTTGAGCGCACACACCCCGACCCTGACACAACAAACCCCGTCAAGAAGAAGCAAGAGCGCGGGAAATTTGACCATTTAGGTAAGGGCCCTGGCAGAAAACCATGACGAGTTTGCAGGATTGAAATGGCATAGTGTATTTTATCAGCGTCCAAGGGGAAAGAAGTAGGAGAAGAAAATACAGTCCGGGAAGTTGACTGTCGCGTTAAGAATAGCGTAGGGCTGATAGTCTCGGATTATTCGGCGATTTTTTGTTCTTCGAGGAGCTGTACGTCCCCAACCGAGCTGGAGTGTGGGCTGGACGGGACGGGGACCGAAATGTGCTCGGCACCGCTCAGCTTTGATGTGATGTGCAATTTCATGAGGAGCAGATATCCCTTGCAACAATCATCAATCATGATGGGAGAAGTACCTCACATGTGTAGCAGAACAACAAATAGCTAGCTCCCTTTGGCTTTTATCTGATGAGAGAAAATCGGGTGCAAAGTTCCCTGAGAGCACCCATATCTGACAGGACCAACTGATGGGAACCTAGCCAAATTAGGTCAACGTAGCCCGGCAGGAGTGAGATAATCATCTCCCGAAAGCAGAAATCATTGTCCACTTTCCTATCATATTCATGTACTCCGTACTTAGCTCCTTTCAGGACAACCTAGACTTGTCTCCTCCCAAGATTGAAGACGTTCTGACAGCGAAATAAAGAAGGCTGAACAAGGGAAATATCATGTATGTCCCCCGCGGAAACAAGAGGTTACTCCATCCTAATGGGGCATGGTCGAGATCTTGTCATGACCATCCCAGAACTGTGAGGAACTTAATGAAGTGGGACCAGCTTTAACAACGACAGAATTCAATAATCAGTGTGCGCAATTCCCTGTTCCTCTTTTTTTTTTCCCCTAAATATCCTAGGGAGAATTCCTAACCGCTTGGGAGGGAAACCGGAACAAGCTTCAGCAATGTTATAATTAGCTTATGCACTCTGCTGCTTGATAGGAGTGAGATTTTGGCCATGACACAAAACGCGATTTCGGCACTAAATCTTCGTTTGCAACCCTAGCAGGACCAAGGAATCTCCCCCCACCCAGATCCCTCTCTTCCTTGGACTCAGAAGTGAGGTCGAGACGACAGGCTGAGGTGGGGCTCACCATCCATACCAAGCCCGTTCTCTTCCCAGGGGCCAGGGCGCCAGGGCCCAGGGGCCCCAGACACTGGCCCCAGAGTACCGAGAACTCAGAAGAGATTTCGTGGTTAAAGTTTCGGGATTTGCTTGATTGACCCCACGCACGCGTCCACGATCTCACCAGCAACGGCCCCTTGTGAAGTTGTGAGGTTTTTGAAAATTGCTGATCTTCCCCATTTATCTGGAGTGGATCGATGGTGGTTTCTCCTGGGCTTTTCAGGATTTGGATTGGTCCGATTATGGCCGCTCCAAATCCTCGTTGACTTTCTATGGCCCACTATCACAGGTATTCTCAGAAGGATGGGATTTTGCCTTTGTCTGACCCCTCATCTCGCTGCTTGTTGTAGGAGGGCCCAGGGGAGGGAGGGAATGATAATTGACGGAAAAAAACTTAAACCAGGGCGGAAATACTTGGTTCCGGTGAATGACTGGCTACGGTTTAATCTTCTTTCCACGTCCTGTGGCGCTTCGGTTTTTCAGATTACTTTGCTCCCTAGTGATTTCCGGTCGGAATATCGCAATTAAACGGGCATGGAATGAATGTGTGAGATACCTGCCTCAAGTTGTATGCACGTCCGCTGTTTCATGTACGGAGTACTGTACACACACTTGAAGAAATAACGCAGTCGACATGCCCCTACCACAAATCAGGCCCGACTTTAAGAGGAGCAACGACATAAAAAGATATATGCGTGCACAAACATATCTAGAGGCGTTGGGAAAGCTTGGACAAGTTGATAACAAGTATCTAAATGCCTTACGCACAGTAACTCTGGCACAAGTGCAAAGGGTGAAGCAAGCTCACACTTCAGTAACTACTCTGTACAATGACTTGCACTAAAGTCACAATAACTTGAGGGCGCGGGATGCTGCAGAAAATGGACCACAGCAATGCGGCTTGAGATTCTGAGAAGCAAACTTTGGTCCTTGTTCACTGCTCCTCCGAAAACTTAGATCTCCTTTTCATGAGGAATCTAAAAACTATCCTACTGAGTAATCCGTACTGTCCAACCAACGCAGGACCATGTTCACGCTCTTTTCCATTTGTCTTACCAGGAATTGTCTGATTTTGTTGGCTTAAATTACGATCGCAATCATAATCTTGAAACCAGCAAAAGTTAAAGTAAGTTAAATATTTCGCCTGACCCGGCTCAGTGCAGGCGTAAAACCATCCATGACCTTCTGAAATTCTGGCCCCACCACGAACGGCTGCGCCTCACATGGGGATACTTCCCGCGTGAAGCGTACTGCAGATCCTCGACGCGGGAATTATTCAACCAATAAACGGGAGTGGTTTTCTGCGTTGCTGTGGCTCACAATTTTGCGGTTGGCGGGTTCTGAACCCTTTTTCCTCTCAGTGGAGTCGGGAATGATAAATGTCTGATACTATCTGACACTTGTATTATTATTATTATTATTATTATGAACATGTTGTAGCATACAGGCTGCGGAATACTCAGTAACGGAAACAAAAGCCCATCTTTGTGGGAACATGCCAATTTCACTCGGAGCTCCTACTTTCTTTTTTTAAGGCAAATTTTGTGAATAGAATAGCGTCAACTTGAATGTCTAGAGGCGCTAGTAGCTTCTGCTTTTTAACTTGTATTGCACCTATATTCCGTTCCTGACAAAAGAGAAGGTCTTCTTGGAAGACTTTATAAAAAAGCAGGTGTGTATCAGCGATCATAAATAAATCTCCGCTCATAACATAATACCTATTATATGGAGGGTTAAAGCCATGTGTGCTTGCTTTTAAGTTACTTGGTACCTCTTGAAAGTTACCAAACCTTTTAAGTTCTTTTAGAGTTCTAGAAGACGAGATCTCATCTCCGAACGAAACATACCTGCTCCACCTCGGCCCTTACTTTGCAAGATCTCCACTAGTGATAGATGCTTAAAATAGAACAAAAAGACCCACCGTTCTGTTTTTCTTGGGTTACCTGACACCCGTGAAACGTATTATTGGGGAACTGTCAGCGATTATTGAAAGAATATTGCGAATTTATGAACAATAATACTAGCCTGTGGTTTGGGAATGTAAGTTAGTTACATACATAACGAGCTGATTATCTTTCTTCCACTTTTGATACGAATCATCTCCAGCAGAGAACAAGAAAATCTCTTGTATTTTTTTATCCACCCGCTCTGGCGAAATTGACCTGAGATTGTGACGATACCGTGCATTCGCGAAAGACAAGGGCTCCTGCAATGCCCGTTGTTGGATAAATACAAACAATCTGCACCAAGACCCCTTTATCTCGATCTGTTAGCACAGCCTCTCTCGTATTTGAATGCGCCTGACAGATAAATTACGGCGTATTGAGTGAGCACTGGCGCCGTTTCGTGTTTCACATTTCGGTATTGGTAATTCAACCTGCTTCTCCCATGAGGCCCTGCTGGCCACTCATGCCCCAGGAGGAGAATTTATCATGATGCGACAATGCTGTTGCCGCGACGGTATGGTATACACAACATCTTGTCCCATGACGGTGGACTGGCACATTTGAACCACCCGAATTTTTACAACGTTTGGGTGTATCGCCCCCCGCCTCCCAGGCATGACGACGGCCAAGGTAAAACATCCGTCAATTACATCTATGCTTCCCCGGAAGCTTATTATTGTCCTCAGAAGTGGTCATGTCCACAGAGCTGGAATTCGTTAACTATTATTGCGATCTTCCAACATATCAAACGCCGGCGATAGCGGCTCGATGGGGGGGCGAAATGTGTTGCACGGGGGGGGTCTCGGCTTTCTAAGTGGGGGAGCCAACAGAGCGGATTGGATCTCGAAGTTGAGGGTTCCCGCCTCTGTTTTGCTAGCACTTTACAGACGGCTAAGCTCCATATGACAACCATTGGGATGCATCAAGGTATCCTCAAGACGCGGAGTATCTCAGTATGTTTTATGCATCGTTCAGCGGTGTTTCCAGGCTGTACAAAAATTCAACTGGTAACCTGAGTGATTGTAACTCACTCTGGGCTCAGGCTCCTAGATATTGAATTATATATCCTACATGGTTGGTATTCTCCTAACACTATCAGCTCTAACCTTGGAGAATAACCACTTATAATAGGATCGATCTTAGCTCATACTTTCTGCTAGTCGGGACAGAAAAACTGTTTTCGGTGCATGCATATCTGACACTTGAATGTGAATTGCTGAATTGATCTGTATGCGCTTGGCATCGCTTGGCTAAATTCAAGCCATTCTCAGCTTGCATAAACATGCATGATTGTTCGGAATATTTTTGATGTGCATATGACTGAGATGGGCGATGTGCAACACTGAATGATAGTTGCACCGGATTTTGCTTCCAATCCACACTCGCCAATAGCAAAGTTCAAGAATAAGGACAGCGAGGAGTGGAACGAACACCCGCATAACATCAAACAAACACGATTGCAAGTGTTTCTTTCTTTTTTCTTTTCTTTTCTTTTCTTTCGTTTTATTTTTTCTTGGTGGAACGTGTCATAATCATCGAATTCCCGGGCCGCAGGTGCCGATAAAGGAAAGTTCGGTGTTGGACATGTGGCGCCAACAGCGTGCAATGTGATACATGATTCGAGAAAGAGAAAATGTGATAGGGATGATTGATTGAGAGGGGCGAATCAAAGCCGTTGAGGGTAACACAGCAATCATCGATCCCATTATTTCCATAAAACATCACCGCCACGTCCCACGCTCCCAATTTTGAGACTAGTATAGAACTGCAAAACTCTAGTTTCAAAATTCCATGAGCCTTATTCTTGAATATTACCTACGGCGAAGTGCGGATGTTCGCGATTGAGTAGCTTTTTGGATATGGAAATCAAAAGTTGGGTCTGCTACGCTGTGGAGAGCTTGGGCGGGAACCGTCGAAGGCGTGGCGCGGCAGATGCCAATAACAAGGTTGGTTTAGGGCCAGGGTACCGAGCCATCTTAGTGTCACAGCTCAAGCTGTTGCCAAGTGTGATTCTTCTTTTGTTCTATGGGCCCCTGGGGGCGATCAGATAGTGGCTTTGCACATGCATGTGGTGGTGGTGTATAGGAACTGGGTTGTTCATCCTTGATCGACTTTTCACTCCTTACAACATGCCCAGGCAAAGTTCGCTCGGTGAAGGTATCAGAGCTGGAACTCGGACAGTAAGTTGCCAGCAGCAGGAAATTACTGATCCGAACGGCAGTCGGTAGATGAGGGAGTCAGTCTGTGAAGCATGTGCTTGACTGGGAAATCTGCTCAGCTGGCCGGAGAATTCCCACTCTCGGATCTTCCATACGCACTTCTCCAAAAACGTAAATGAATTAATGAATCTTACGGCAGCCATAGCCACGGTAAACTAGCGGGAGCTAAGCTGCCTTTCATATCTAGATATCCTCCTTGCATTGAACTCGGACATTGAGAGGCTTGAGGAGAAATTGCTATTCTTGCACCGTCAAGGAGCAGCGGTCAAGGACATGTAACACCACACCCCCCCGGATTAGGACTAGCAGGGACCTGGCGCTAGTAGGCCGTTGTGGTAATATCCCATTGGCGGGGGGGGGGGCGCGAACTCATTCCTTCAATATCCACCACAATAACGGCTACTTGCTCATAATATATCTAATCTATAATATCAAGGTAGGTTTGGGTACAGTACAGAGATGATGTGTATTGTCAGCCAGTACCGTACCGGCAGTTTCTCAGTAACGTAAAACGCCATGGTACGGAGGCTCTTGGCCGTCAAGGCGAACTTAAAATATAGCGCTAGCCTCCATCGCATCTCCAAGACCAAGCCCACTTGGACTCTGAACCACGATTGCGCTAGTCAGATTCGCCCATGGCAGTGAGGATGACTGGCCTGAAGCAATAATTGCTAGTCGTACGCGGTGGTGAGCCGTGCAAGCCGACTGATCTTAAGGAGGAGAGAAAGAAAATTAATGAGCATGCGTGCGAGGTTTTTTGACACATGGAGGGGGATGGTTTTCGGGGATATGGAACCCTTGCGTTGTACCCAGGTATTCAATCACGGTGACTTTTTGAGGGTCTTTCTGAGTTTATTCAGGGAACTAACCGGCGAATCCGCGAGACCATGCTTGGGTACATTCATTCCACTTGAAGCGTCGGAGGCCTTATTTAATTAAGAGCGCAAACTGCTTCACACCCCGCGCAGAAAAGCGTGGAAAAGACTTTGTTGATTTAGGCATGAGGGATAATAATGGTGCAAATACGGAGTACGCAGCGCAGTATATAAAAATACTCGAGTCAGGGAAGGGTGAGGTCGTCTGTTACGTATTTCCGAGTTCTGGAGTGGAGCCACTATTGTTCGTGAAAAGATACTCCGTACCTCAGGAGAGATCTCGGTCACAGATCGGCGTGATCCCGATCGCGCGCTGGGGTTGGAAAAAATGCTTTTTTTTTGGTTGCAGCGTGGAAGAATATATCTCCCAGTTCGCGCTTGAGCTCACCTGGAATTTCCAATTCATACACTAGCTATTCCATGGCTACGATTCTCCTGACACGTTGTCCCGATTTCAATCCGATCTTGCTTGCAACCACTTTTAAAGTTGCTCGATGATGATAATGAACCTTGATGTCGTTTGAAGTGCCACATCACAACAAAATGCGTCAACGTCAATCATAAATTCAGTTTGTCAACTAAGCTTATGCGAAACGACGCCTGCTCCGGCACAAACGTTCAAGTATCGGGGAATGATTCAGGTGAGGTTCCAAACGAATCGGCGTTATTTGTCCAAACTATTGGATAATTACCCCAGACGAGCGTTTTGTTTTCCAGATATAACTTACCCCTATGACCGTACTGCAGTGGCCATTGGATTGCAGCTTGCAAGTGATTAACCCTGGCCAACTTTTGAACTGCCGAGAAATCTTGGAATGTTTTTAGTGGCTCCGCCGTCGCCGTTGGTCATTGTGGTGTAGCCGTTGGTATGGACTTTACGCCTGTCTCAATACTTGTATGGTAAGTTATGACATGAGCTAATTTCATTACCTTAACTAACTACTACAAAGCCAGCCAAGGAGTTATTATATAGTAACTTACATAAGTTAGCTGCTGTATGAACGCACGGATGTATTAATGTCATGCGTTTGTTTGTTGCATGGACTGGGCTGACACGTTGGGATAAAAGGACATGGGGCTCGAGGGTGCAGCGCTAGAATTTCCAGCGCTCTCGGAGCTACATATTATATTCAGTTGTCCAAGCCACTGGTTCCACTGGCTGGGATCTGGCATCGCTTTCCTGTGCATGCCCAGGTCACTTTTCCGTATGTGGCATGGCATACGATCCATCGATCTTCTTACAAGTTACCACTATCTGGCTTTCCCACCTGGGTGGGACTCTGGGTCCTTGGGACTTGGAACAATCGATGTCAAGCAGTCGAATCGATTTGGCTAAATCAGAACCAATTCTGAATCAGATCTTTTTACACTTCAATATTTTCATCAATATTAAATATTATTATAAATTAAAATACAATTATTAAAATAAAACTATAAAGTTAAACTTCACTTAAAGCTTTTAATTTCAAGTTAATTTTAAGCTTAAATCTTTATTTTAAATAAAGTTAAACTAAATAGAAGTTTTTAAAATCTTAAAAAAATAATAATATATAAAGAAGTAAAAGATTTCATTTTATAACTTATATTTATTTTCTTTTAATAATAATAAAAGTTTTATTTATTTATATATTCAATATATTTATATATTTTATATATTTCTTATATTTTTTCTATATATTAATATAAGTTTTATTCTTTCTTTCATTTTAAAATAAGACTAAGTAGTAGACTGACTGCTGAGACTATGAATTTCATATTTAATTTTATTTAATCTGATCTTATACATTTCTTGATATGAATCTTACTAAGACTAATCATTAAAAAAATATATAAAGTAACTATATATCAGATTTCAAAATGAGATCATGACTTAGAAAAAATAAGACAGTGATCTTATTTACTTTCATTTAATCTTATTCTTAGTATAAAGTTACTATTTTTAGACATTTTAAGGTTTTTTTTAGACTATTTTTAATTTTTTAAAAAGTAACACTTTTTAATAATACTTAAATAAGATTTAAAGTCATTTAGAGCAATAAAAATAATTTAAATTAAGAAGTGAAAATTGTGATCTTATTTGAAAAATATGATAAGAGTAGATAGTAAGTCTTAAACTGACTGTGTGATTATATCTGAGACTAAAATCAGAATTTTTAATAGTCTTATTATTAATTTGACTGATCTCATTACACAGTTTTAACATTAGATAGTAGTCTTATACTGTCTCAGTGAGACTTACTATCTACTCTTATTATATTTTTTAAATAAGATTATAATTTTTACTTTTTAATTTAAATTATTTTTATTGCTTTAAATGACTTTAAATCTTATTTAAGTATTATCAAAAAGTGTTACTTTTTAAAAAATTAAAAATAGTCTAAAAAAACTTTAAAATGTCTAAAAATAGTAACTTTATGCTAAGAATAAGACTAAATAGAATTAAATGAGATTACTTTCTCATTTTTTTCAAGTCATGATTTCATTTTGAGATTTAATATATAGTCACTTTGTATGTTTTTTTAATAACTTGTTTCAGTAGAATTCATATCAAGAAATGTATAAGATTAGATTAAATGAAATTAAATATGAAATTTATAGTCTCAGTAATCAGTCTAGTTAGTCTACTAAGTAGTATAGATAGAAGATATACTAATTATAATTTTTCTAATTTTTAACTTAAAATAATACTAATTTTTCTTTATATATTTTTTGAATAAATTTATGTATAAAAACTCTTGTAAAATAAATTTAAATAAAGAAAAAAATGTATTAGTAAAATTATAATTATTAAAAATTTCTATTTCTTTAAAAATAACTATAAATTATTTAAATTATTTAAGATAAAAATATCTTTATATCTCTATTATAAAAGAATAATACAAAATTAATAAAATTATAAGAAAGTATACTTTTCAAGTATATTCTTAATATACACAGCTTGGTGTGAAATGTACTAGTAATTAAAAGTACTTTTGAATCATAAAGATATTTATGATAAAAATACCAAGTGTAAAGATTAATATATAATAGTATTCAATTTAAGTTATAGACATAGTAGCAATGCTAGTTTATATAAAATATATAGATAAGGTCTACTAATTTCACTTATTAAGTGAGTAATAAGAATGAAAGTAAGAAGATTTACAAGTGTAAAATTCTACTTCTTGTGAATTCTTTACCTTTATTTCTATGTCTTATATAATTAATAAAGTTAGCAGCTCTTAATTACATACAACTATATAAACTAGAGTTCATGACTACTATTCACAACTCAGCTTGAATACTATTATATATTAAATTTTTACATTTATCTTTCTACTGTGAATACTTCTAGTAATTATTAGTATATATTATATCAAGCTGTGAATCTCTGAATAATTGTCTGTAAGTACTTATTCTTATAATAAAACTATGAGAAGTATAATTTCTTATAAAAATAAATACTTTTTTAAATATATATATATATATTAGATTGTCTCTCTACAGGCTGAGTTAGAGTCAGTAGTCTATATATTTAATATGATTTTTAATAAATTAAATTTTTTATCAACTTTACAATAGCTAAGAAAATGAAATTAGATTTAAAAAATAATTAAATTAAATAATTTTAAATTTAAGTACTATTAATATTAAATTTTAAAGTTAAAATACTTTTAATAAAATATAAAATAATAAAAATTTTTAATAAAAATTTTTAAAAATTTAAATTTACTTCTAAATATTTTTTCTAAAAAAATAAAAAATACTAAATAAAAATACTGAAAAAAAAGACTGAAAATTTTAAAATAAATATATATATTTTTTTCTTTTTTTATAATTAATTGTATTAATACTTATTTAAAATTAATTCTAATTTATATATTTTTAAATTAAAAATTGAAAGAAATAATAAAGAAATAATATTTTATTATTTAATTTCTAAGTAATAAATTATTTTCTTTATAATTATTTTTATATTTAAAAGTAAGTTTTTATTTTATCTCTTTTTATTTTTTTTAAAGTAAAAAAGTATATTTTATTTAAATTACTACTATATTATAATTATAATTTATTATATAAAATAATAATAAAATAGTTTTTATTATTATTATAAAATATTTAAATATTAATTATAAATATTTATTTTTAAATTTAATATTAAAATTTCTATTAAATTCTTTAGAAAATAATATATATTTTATAATATAATATTTAATTCTAATTAAAGTAATACAAATCAATTAATGCAAAGTATTTATTTTAAAATTTATTTATCTCTTTTCAGAAGTATTTTGAAGAATTTTCAATTTCATATTTAAATTTTCTATCAAATTTACTACAGAATGATATATATTTTATGATATATTATGCAGGTTTTAAATCCGAATTGATTTGAATCAATTCTGAATTACTTAATGAGATTTGATTATTCCGGAACTGCCCTGATTCAAATTTCTGTACACACAACTGGCAGTGTCAAGGACTCAAGGGCCCTTTGCTTTTCTTAGATCCCTGCCAGCACTGATGCTGTCCCCAAGGCGGCCACACGGAACAGAACACTCTGTTCTGCTGGGGCCACTAGCTGGATTGACAACCCATCAAGCTAGCCCGATTTTATCAGGTTCCTCCGAGCGGCAACTTCAATTTGTTAATGTGGGTTGACTCAATCAGAAGACGCTGCGCCCTCATGGACCATATCATATCCAAGATAATAATAAGCCTGTTATCATTTTCCCGAGACTCGAAAGTGAGTTTGCAACCAAGGTGTGCTGCACTATGAAGCGGAGAATCAAGCACACACACACACTCATACGCAGAGGAAGTCGCCAGGACAGCCGTTGCGTTGCCGAATATAATGTAAATCTTGCCTGTGAAAATTCGAGCCCCACCTTATTCCAGAACACATACATTATTATTATTATTATTATTATTATTAGGGGTTGTTTTCACTGGATAAATGAGAATAAACCCTCTTGCTCAGGAAAATACGCCGGAACCGTACGTCAGATAACTATACATACACTTGTATTATTACGTGGAACATGCTCCAATCTCAGCCCGTGTATGGGCATACGGACGACGGTAACTACTCCGTACAGAATTATTATTAAATACATGACATTGGAAAGTTCATGCAAGCACGTATAGGCAATACCAGCAATACCAATACCAAGCCCTCTGCCAATCTCATCTGCAATCTTGCAACCTCAACCTCTCCCGCTTGGCTCGACACGGGCAACGTGGGTTCGGAGCTTGTTCATCTTTCTTTTTAGTCCAACCGCCGCCCTGTTTTCGGCTTTCTTTCTCCCGCTCGTCAACCTCGTTTTTCCTGTCTACATCAAAAGTGCCATCCTACTACGTTAACTTATCAAAATCGAGCTTCTGTATTTGGGTTCGTCGCCTCCCAGTTCGTCTAGGCCCATATTCTGCCGTTCCCCGCCCCGACCTTCGTTACTTTCCGGAGACGAAACCCCGGTATATATTGATTTGGTAGCTTCAGGCCTGGTTTCCTGGATAAACAGGAGGTGATTTGCGGAATTAGCTGGATCTGATCAGCGATAATTCCGTCCCTCCACTCCAGCTTGGATTGAATTCCCTCGCTTTCTACATAAATCTCGTGCATTTTTATCTCCCACTGTTGCCAATATCAATCAACGAACAAACTTAGGCGTCCGGCCCCACAGCCGCCCAATTTCAAAGCGCCCGTTATTACTTTGGTACCTTGCCGTCCTTTGATCTTGATCAGGTCCAAATCCTCCTGCAGGGAAGGAGGAGAAAGGCCTGCAAGATACATTTTGAAAGGGTGTTTGCTTCCTTACTCTCTCTCTCTCTTTCTTTTCCTTTTCCTTTGTTGTTTTATTTTCCTTTGTTGTTTTATTTTGTTTTATTTTGATTTTGATTTTCCTTTTTAAGAGATAGTCTAATACTCCTTTTGATTTGATCCGAGATATCTCCTCCTGCGCCTAGAAGACTTGAGCATTGTGTGACGTTGGAGCTCAGCAGCTAAGTAGCTTTGCCTGGCCCCTTTTGAGGTCATTGCGCAAACAGGGAAATTGTTCGACAACAGCTTGCGGCAGCACTTTAGGCGGTCTCCGGAGATTAAAGTGAAGTCTCTGAAGAGCATACTTTGTGTGAATTTGTTGGGGGGCCATAGAATACGTGGATGGTTGTGCTGGTGTGATTCCACCTAGGAGGTCGACGAAGTCAGTACCCAAAACATACCGCAGGCAAAATGGTCACAGGGGAGGCGGGCAGGCATTGGCCCGTCTATGGAGTTTCAGGTTCAGCAACAGCGCCATTTCAGTCACCGAGACGGGAAGCGGACGGTGTCAAGGAGCACGGGAACAGTTTACATCATCAGAGCGATGCACATAGAGAGTCGTTACCGTCTATTGGCCAGCTGGATTTAGAAACCGCCAAGAGTGACCGTCAACGGAGCAGCGCTCAATTCCCACCAGGCGCGGCGGGATTGTCTGTTTCAACTGCACCGCAAGTCAATCCGACAACTGTTAATCATCCGGGTCACCACTCTTATAATTATTTGTCGTCTGCCGGATCGGCGCAGGTCTCTCCTACCGATACAAGACACCCCGGGGACGAAGATAAGGACCAGAAATCGCCCAACCAAACTCTGCATACCATTCAACGGCAATCTCTCCCTTCAATACATGAAGCATTAGGTAGCGACACTCTACCCTATTCTCACACAGCTTCGTCTTCCTCTAACCCAGGACAACCCCCTGTATCATCTGCCATGCCGTCAAATATCGTTGCCCGCCCAGGTGCAGAGGGACCTAGTGGCCCTCCCAATCCATTTTTAACCTCAACATTATTCCTAAGGGATAATCCATTCAGCGCACATTCGAGCGCCCAGAGCGGACCACCTCATCCTGAAGGGCAGCGATCGAGTTTTGCGTCAACGCAATCCCAGGGTTCTCGCAATCCATCAATCCCATCCCTAAGCTCGGGGAAGTCACCAACTCAAAGCTCTAAAACAGGGACACCCTCCCTGACAAACTCCCAAAGTTCCAGCTACGAGTTCAGTGGACCATCTTCTGCAGGGGCGATGTCGTCTTCTAATAACTATCCTCCATACTCTCAACCAGCACCATTTGGCGCCCACGCTCCCAACGGCCCACCTTCGCTACAATACCATACTGCGCCCTATGAATCACGGTCAGGTTTTGTTCCCCCTTGGAACCAAAACGGTATCGATCCAGCCCGCATCGAGGATATGCAACAAGGGGTACGGGTTACTAATGGCACTACCGCACCTCATAGCGAGTCTGTTAAACGGCAACTGGACGGATATGATGTTGAATCGTCCTATCTCGAGGTATGTATCTAGCTATATTTTGGTTCATTACACCTTTTCGTTAACTATTAAGCAGATTGTCGAAGGCTGTAGCAGAGTAGCTGAGTTCGCAAGCCACTTTGGTGCCAAAGCTCACCAGAGTAATCGGCCGGGGCCAGTTGTGGGATTGATACCGCAATTGGCGGAGATTGATGATCTGGTACTGACGCTCCGTCGAACATCTGATGCTCTGGCTAGAATTCGGAGTCTGGCTGTTGAACAGGTTCTAGCGGAGCAGCAGGCAGAGCAACGAGCTCAGGGACCAGTTTACAAAACTAACGGCATCCGTAAGGAAGGACAACCGCCTATGTATCGGGAAGATTTTAAAGGAGGGGGTGGATTTGCCGGCGGTGATACTAAGAAGCGGCGAGGGGTATGTACACCTACCATTTTCCTTATCTTAAGCACAGCACATCGCCTACCTATTCAACTTAGCATAGCCATTTACTCCCAGCCATCTTAGCCAATGCTAGCACTAACGATCCCCAATTTACAGAAAGCTGCCCCTCCTGGCCGATGCCATAGTTGTAATCGAGCAGAAACTCCTGAGTGGAGACGCGGACCAGATGGCGCTCGCACTCTTTGCAACGCTTGTGGCCTACATTATGCAAAACTTACTCGGAAGGCCGGCAATAATAAACCCTCCTCGCTGGGCCCAAATCTCAGACCTAAAAACAGTGTGGATTCTCGATCATCAACTCGTTCTTAGATGCTGGTATATACATATACTCGCCTACCTTATAATGTGTACTCTTAGTACCGAAAAATGGAGTTAGGGTTTGGGATTTATTATTATTACTATTATTATTTACTAAAAACTTCTGATATATATCCATAGGGATAGACCTGATTGGCGTTATTTAGCTTCCGTGTCCTTGCTTTGTTTTTAGCAATATCCATTCCTCCTTTCTGCATCGGTGAAGCCAAATTGTGAATTCACCTACAGCCTGTGTGCCTGTTTACCTCTGCTCTCTACTTCTTATTTCTTTCTCTACTCGTCTTGGGTCGGTCTTTTGCTTGGATTGTGATGCGTCAGTTATTACTTTTACTTTGGGGTTCCGGATCTTCAAGCTGGGAGGTAGTAGCGACGTTGCTTTTGATATTTCTTTCTTTCATTTCTTTCTTTCTCATTTTGAAGGCCACTGTTGTTCCATCGGATAAATTATTTACGTTGTCATGCAATTGCTGTTCTATTCTATTGGTAGATTCTAGCCGAAACGTTTGGTGGAATGTGGGTAACGAGAGAAATTTCAACAGCCATTGATTGATCTTCTTCTTGGTTTCTTGTAAATTTTTATTTCCCCTCTCCTTTTGTCTCTTCCCGCCCTACCCGGCTCAATTCTTGCTAGGAAATTAGGCACTCGGCTGCAATATCATTGACATTTGATTATCGATGAATGGAGACCCAATGTAATGTAGCTAAGATGAAGCCCTTGAAAGCGAGGTTTTCCGTGGGCTTGAGAGCTTTTTTTTTTACCATTTTATTCGAGCCAACAATAGAGAATATTCGTAGAACACACAAAAAGCTAGAAAAGATTCACCTAGGAATTCTGATAGGGGATGCTCTCTCTTTTTTTTTTTTTTTTTTTCTGCACCAATTGATCCTTGTGTGTATGTTTTGCGCAGGATAAAATGGCGATGATGTAACTAACTAATCGTTGAAAGGATCTAGCCAAATCGGGCATGACGTCAAAGGGAGCTCTCTCCGGAATATTTGTGACATCAAAGGAGCTGGCCTGAAAGATGGAGATGTAACGTCTTCCCTCCTCCGGAAAGAGACAGAGAGAGGGCAGAAATGAAGAATTCACCAGGCAGAGGAAGCCAGGGGAAAATACAGGATGCGGGGAGATAGGCAACAGGAGTCACAGCATCAGGCAGCATGATAACACCCGCCGTGGCGCCCTGCAAGCAGGGTCTCTGCCAAAATTTCTTCCATCTCCCCGTTTGAAAGAACAGCCTTGGGAGAGAGAGCTTGGTGTGGAGCCAACCATTGCTGAGCTGAGGCTTGTCGCCCAACGCCTCTCGGCTCGTGTGGCCCGTTAGACTGGTGTTGCACGCTCGGGCAGAGAGATGGGTTCAAGACACAAACAGCCATGGTGGATGATGGCTAGGCCCCAGCACTAAAAAGGCTGGAACAAGTATAAAGGATGCCTTGGTTCCGCCGTTTCCTGTCGAATACTTTTCGACTTTCTATCATTATTCATGCTGGCTGACATTGTGGCGCGGCATTTTTATTAACTTCGCCAGTAACTTACCCCTTGTTCTGAAAATTATATATGAGGAAGCTGTCTTCTACGATACATACATATTAAGTGATCTTATTAATCTTCCTGTCTCAAAGTCAAAAACTAGCAACCATGTCCCGCCGCCCAAATCACCTACTACCAAAATGCGGGTGTTGGTATTCGGCATCCGGAACGCGCCAATACATCCCCCAAGTCGACCTCAAAGCACATTCCACCATACTGTCGACGTCTTCCAGGACAACCTTGACCCAGACTTTCATTAATCCCACATCAGGAGAATTAGGAGATGTCAAGTATACTTTCCCTTTGCACGATGGCGTCAGCGTTGTGGGTTTTAAGTGTGAAATTGACAATCGAGTCATCCATGGGCTCGTGAAGGAACGGCAGGAGGCTAAGCTCGAATACCAGGACGCTGTCAAAAAAGGCCAGGCCGCAGCCCTGTTGGAGCAGTCCGCCCTGGCGTCTGACACTTTCACCACTAGCATAGGCAAAATCCCCGTGGGTTCCAAAGCAGTTGTGCAGATTACTTACCTGGGCGAGTTGCAGCATGACTCTCAAGCGGATGGTGTCCGTTTCAGTATTCCAGCCATCATCTGCCCCCGCTATGCAAATTCTTCTGTAGACACTGGTGAATTGAGCCAATCCCTGGCCAGCTTTGTAAAGAAGGGTGCCATCAATATCACGGTAGACGTTTCAGTGGACAGAGGATCCACCATCCGCGGCCTGCATTCTCCAACTCACCCCGTTGCAATCACGCTGGGCCGGACATCAGTTGCTGCCCAAGACTTGTTTGAACCAAATCTCGCTTCTGCGGCACACACTATGCAGCAAGGAAATGCATTTTTCGATACGGACTTTGTGTTGATCGTCAATGCAAAAGATCAGGATGTACCAAGCGCATTTGTGGAGAAACACCCGACTATTCCCAACCAGCGAGCTGTGATGGCAACACTCGTTCCCAAGTTCAACATCCCGAATAATAACCCGGAAATCGTTTTCATCATTGATCGAAGTGGGAGTATGACAGGAAATATTAAGACCCTTCAATCAGCATTGAGAGTTTTCCTCAAATCCCTTCCAGTCGGTGTCAAGTTTAATATTTGCTCTTTTGGCTCGCGCCATTCCTTCATGTGGAACAAAAGTAAAACATACGATGCTTCCTCCCTAAAGGCGGCCCTTCAGTACGTGGATTCGATAGCTGCGGATTTCGGAGGGACAGAGATGCTCGAGCCTGTGAAGGCTACGGTGAAAAATCGTCTCAAGGACCTGGATTTGGATGTTCTGTTACTCTCGGACGGTGAAATTTGGGACCAGAAAACGCTCTTTGCCTACCTTAACGAAGTGGTGTCTGAGCAGCCCATTCGACTGTTCAGCTTGGGTATCGGCAGTGGCGCATCCCAATCCCTTATCGAGGGCATTGCAAGAGCTGGTGATGGCTTCGCACAGTTCGTTGGCGATAACGAACAACTGGACAAAAAGGTTGTCCGCATGTTGAAGGGAGCCTTGACGCCTCATATTAAGGATTATACTGCTGAAATTGTTTATGAGAATGATGGGGAAGAGGATTTCGAGCTTATCGAGAAACCAAACGCAATTCCCACCGGAGAGAACTTTGGTCGTCCCGCAGAGCGTTCAGCCGAACCCATAGAGGTGGACGCACAGAAAGAAACCCCACAATCGAAGGAACCGATCTCGCTGTTCGACCCTTCCTATCAGGAGCCTGACATCAAATCCATCACTGTCCCCCTTGACGCTAATCTCCCTAAACTACAGCCTCCCAAGGTTCTCCAGGCGCCTTACAAAATACCTACGCTCTACCCATTTACGAGGACCACTGTTTATTTCCTTCTGTCTCCGGACGCTCCTAGTGCAGCCCTCAAATCACTCGTTCTCAGGGCCACTTCGAAACACGGCCCTTTGATGTTGAAAATTCCGCTAGAGGATATTGGCCAAGGCACAAAGCTTCATCAACTGGCTGCGCGGAAAGTGACACTTGAACTAGAAGAAGGCCGAGGGTGGATATACCATACGAAGAATGAGAAGGGGCAGCTAATTGTCAACGAGCATGAAAGCAAAAAGGAGGATATTGTGAAGCGCGAAGCTGTTCGACTCGGGATTCAGTTTCAAGTGGCTGGGAAATATTGCTCCTTTGTCGCTGTGGAGTCAACCACGGATGGGGGCAAGGCGGACAAGAAGGCAGAAGCAGGACTGCCAGGTATTCGCAATCATCCTATTTCTGAAACTGCTGGCGACCGGGATCATACAGACGATGAGGAGTCGTTTGACGGCGATACAGGTTTTGTCATGGATTATGACCAGGAGGAGTACACAGAGGAGCTTTGTACTATGCCTCGTTATTCCACTATGTCTGGTAAGGCTTCGCCCAGTCCACGAGGTTCTTTCTCTAATTATTCACCCCCACTTCTGTCCCATCCTGCTGCTCCTCCGCCTTCCCCTAACCCGACATCCTTATTTGCTTCGCCTTCTCTAAATCCATCAGCTTCAAATACCACCGCACTTTTTGGCTCAGCTCCAGCATATAACCTTCCGGGTTCAAGCGTTGGCGGACCTACAGCCTTTGGAGGTTTTGGATCTACTTTCTCAACATCTAGCTCCACTATAACCCAATTGCCCTTTGCTGCACCATCTCAACCTCCCCCTCACTCTCCATTTGGCTCAGTTCTAACAAACAACACGCCAGATTCACCTTTGGGAGAACCCTTAGCTTCTGGTGGTTTCGGGTCTCCTTTCTCTACATCTAGCTCTTCCCATACACAATCACGTTTTGCCGCCCCTCCTCAATCTGCCTCTACGCGTTTATTTGGATCAGCTCCTCCGCCTCCAGGGCAAGCAACCAGCTCACCTTTCGGTGCGACACTTATCCCTCTCCTTCCAGTCAATGAACCAAGCCCCCACACGCCCTCTTACTTTGGCGTCTTTCTATTCATCTCTACATCCCAAACCCTCATCCCTTAATTTGCCGTTTTCTAGTACTAATCGACTCTTATCTCCTTTAGGCCCACCAGCCGTGTCAACCTCATCCGGTATTGATATTCGTAAGTTCTCACCATGCATAGTTTCCACCTTTTGCATTCCCAGTTTGTGTATAGAAGCGTGTGTTGTCCGCCTACGTTTGTGAATAGATTGCTTACAAGATGGTTTCTACTACTTAGCACTCAAACGTGGCGAGCGACTGGACGGCATAGTGAGCAAAAGTGACGATTTGGCCAAGTCAGCAAACGTTTTCGCCAGGAAAAGATCCAGCGTGGTACCATCAGCGAAACAAAAGCTGGCAAGATTCTTTAAGTCAGAGTCCGAACCTAAAGAGTCAAAGTCGCCGCAGGATAAGGTCCACGCCTTGATATCGCATCAGTCCTTCGAGGGATCATGGATGTGGGAAGACAATGTATTTGCGATCATGGATCTCAACGCGTCGGAAGCCGAAAAGAAACTAGATTGGGCAGCCATATTGGGAAAACAATCTGGAGTCGGCAGCAAGGATACAAAGCAGAGATCTATTGTTGCGACACTTGTTGTCTTAGCGTATTTGAAGAAGAAGTGTCTGGACGAGAAGGATACCTGGGAACTTGTCGGGGACAAGGCCATGGGCTGGGCTGTTGAGAGGATCAAGGAGATTGGAGGCAATGCAGGCCAGGGGTCTGATGAGCTTTTGAGACTGTTTGATGGTCTATTTTGAGGGAAGGATTTTTTTTACTGATGGTTCTTTCAATCTGGACACTATTTTCTTCGCTCACTGATAATCATGAGTGCTTCTATACTTATATATGCATAGGGCGATAATAATTTGTTGATACGTCGAGCAAGGCCCCTTAATTGAGAGAGAGCTGGCTTTCCTGGTAATTTGATATTGGGCGGAATGCCTGGGCGCGGAAGTCACAGCCAGCGCTGAACGTTTTGGATGTTATCACGTAATTTAATATACTACAGGCCAACAGCATTTATCACAGGTAGTTAGCTAGCTTAAGTCAAGTTTGCCTTGCCATTGGAAACCCTTGGAAATGCTCTGTTTCGCGTCATATTGCGAGGATGTACTGCTGCTATTTTCAGAAACGGTGCTGGAGCATCTTTGTTTCTTCTCAAGCTCAACCATGGGTATCCCTTGAACGGGGGGGAGAGTCGGCAGAACCCCGGAGAGCTCAAGTAGCTTTCACGGAATACCAGAGATGGATTGCCCTCATCCTAGATACTAGGGAGGTTGATCCAGGAGGGAAACTGAGGGGGAATTTCCGTGGGTTGAGTTGTTTGGTTTATGAAATTTACCAATATGGTGAGGTGTTCTTCTTGCTTGAGTTGATTAATGTAATGTGTATATGTATGTACATGTACCTTGCTGGTAGTCAAACTTTTAGTAGTTATACTGGCGGTGTAGAAGGATTGGGTAGCTAGCCAATTGCGCAATTGGGACCGCATATTTCATGGAGAAGGATGGGCTGAGGCTAACTATACTCAAGAGATTCTGATGCATAGTACGTCCGAGACAGAAAGCCCCGTTGCCCCTATCTCTGTTTCCCATCATATGACAGCTTCCGTCTGCCTGCTGTTAGGTAGGAGGATGATGGCGGCAGGCTCTTAAACTCAGCTGGCTGTGGCTGTTAATAGCGTCATGCTTTGATAACCACCAAGGCTAGCAGTTTGCCAATTGAACAACCTGGTAATAGGAAACTTGAACAGGACGTACTGTAAATGCAAGCGTTTCAGTCCCGTAACTTAACAATGAAGCAAAAAGAAAAAGAGTAAGGAAAAGAAGAAAGGAAAAAAAGAAGGTTAGGGGGGATGTTAGTGCCGGTGTATAAAAAAGGGGGTTTAAATACATTAGATTTACACTTAGTAGGAATTATCGTGTTGCGATGAAGTAGTCAGATGTACTCTGTATGTACAGAGTATAGGTCTTTTATGCATCTTCCATAATGAGATCTTAAGCGTGCGTGTGAGTGGGCATGAGACAAGAGCATGAAAGAGAGGAACCAAAGGGGGGTTGGCGAAATACCCATCCATCTCTAAACTAATTCATAATCATGATTTCCCCGCCAGAAATGAATGGTAAATCACATCGTATAGAAAGAAATGAAAAATGTTAAAAAAAGAAGGCAAAATATCTTTGGTCATTGATTCCACCATTGGGGGTGAGTCTAAATATTCCTAGCAAAAAGCAGTTACCACCGCCCCTGAATGAAGTAGACAATTATATCGTTAGAAATGACATCATGACAAAGATCTAGAGCAAAAAGTATGAAGAAAGCCAGAACGCAGGAGTCAGGACGTAAACAGCGTTATACAAGTAACAGTAAATGGGGGAAAAAATGAAATAGAAAGAAATGGAAAAAAGGGCGAAAGAGAAGTGGGCAAAAGGGGGAAAAGAAAAAATCACTCCGTAGTCCTACTCAACATCTCCCACCCAACACTCCCACCCTTCCCTTCCTTCTCCGTAACCTCCTCAACAGCATTAACAAGATCAAAGCAGATCTTCTCCGAGACCACACTATCATGCTTATACTCCGGGTGCTTAGCCACAAACTCACGGATCCACTTCGCATTCGTCCACAAACTGCCATCTGCACGCCGCCGGATAAGCTCTAGGTACGTCGCCAGCTGACACCGCGTCTCCACATCGACATTGACGCCGTTGAGATACGACTCGACCAGCGGGATCAGGCCCGGAAACCCGTCCTGTGTCCCGTTGACGATCTCTGCGATGGTCATGAGCTCGTACTCGGATTCGACGGGGCGTAGGTTCGGAGTTGAGAAGCCGGAGGAGCAACGGGAGCTGGACTCTGAGACGTTTCCGCTGGTATTTGTTTGGTTGCTGTAGGAAGGCTGCTGTTGCTGTTGCTGTGGGCGCGGGATACGGTGTGGGAAGGGGTCTTTGCGGAAGTAGAATTTCTGCTCGAGGACGGCATCGCGAGCGTGGGCGGTTTCCATGTTCTCAGTCGTGCGCGGGATGGGGATGTAGAGGTTCAGATCGAAACTGAGGATGGCTCGGGTGATGAGCACCATGAATACGCTGAAGGCGGCGTTTTCGAAATCGGTCATTTGGATCTCCATGGGGCGGAACTCGACGCGCCAGCCGATGTCGTTTTCGGCCGGCGGTGGCTTGAAGCGGATGTGTTGCCAGTTTGTCGACTGTAGGTTCTCGAAGTGGTTGGTTTGGTTGAGGTCAAGTTCTTGGAGGTCCTCGGCGAAGATTACGATGGGGTCGCGGATGAAGAGGTGGGCGAAGTGGGTGGCCAGCAGGTCATCCATGCCGCCGTCCAGGAGGCGTCTCTTGATGTCTTCGTCGATGACAAGGTCTGGGTCCATGTATTCAGGTCGCAGCCGCGGATCCTGGGATATGTATGTGGAGTTGGAGGCATATCTCGACTTTGGGATGCGCCAGCGGTCATTTTTGAGCGGCTAATTTCATTTTCCCCCCCTCCCTGTTAGAACTAGAATCGTAACTTACTGGAGGAGGGGTTAAAGTATTTGCTCCCGAATTAGATTAGAAGTGTCAAAACGTACCTTTTCTCCCAGCTCTTCAGGAGTGCGGCAATCAACCGCGTTGCTGATCTGGTTCCACCGCACGTCAGTGTCCACTAAGAACCCTTTGTAAATCGGTGTAGCAGCGGTCAATGCCAGCATTATCGGGCCCAGTGGGCTTAACTGGTCATAAAGTCTCCGCCCCTCTTTAATATTCTTGCACTGAAAGGTGATCTGCAAGCAACAACTTCCCATTCCAAACGCCATGGCATCCATATACACATGATTCTGTTTCACAGCTCCCTTGCGGACATCATCGTCCTCTGGCCAGTTATGGAGATCGTAGTTGACGGTAGGGTCATTAAATGGCCATGGAGTATTCGTATCTCGAAACACCGGGACATTCAGTCGCACTTTTCGGCCTCTCCGGGACCGGATATTCGCTGCTAGTGTGGGAAAGCGAATATGGGGGTTTGCGATTTCGTCGGGGACGAATTGGGAGCGGAGCGCACCGCCGGAGAGGGGGTAGGACGGATATGTGAAGTCGTCCTTGGTGCCTAGCCGTGGGAATGTGGTGAGGGTTATGGGATACTCATTCGGTGCCATATGCTTTTTCGCAATAACTCTCCTGTTCACCATACGCACATGTTAGCAGGTTATACACAGCGCATTTGAAGCTCGAGCGCTTTGATAGAAATTTTTCTTAGAGAGGGAACGCACCTCCACTTCATGTTAGACTCCACCTTTAAGAGATCTTCGAATCCGATTCCCCATGGCTGACCTGGGGTCGCCTCCAACATAAACCGTCCAAACTCCGGGTGGAACTTGGGAAGTGGCTCCTTTCTGTATCAACAACAAAACGGGCGACATTAGCAGCAATGTACCAAATTAAAATCCTCCCCACATACGGATCAATGACAACGTAGGGATAGCGCAAACGGAGCACGTTATTGATCATAATCACATACACTCCATCCAGAAGCCCCTGCACCAACTTCCCATTTGCCTGCGCTTCCTCGTGAGCGAGCGAATCCAAGATATCCGCCTGGCGGAGGGAAAGGCGCACTTTCTGTGCCTTCTCATCCACGGCTACGACAAGGTACTCAACCTGTTTTTCTCCGCAAACAGAAAATCACCATCAGCAAACCAATCAGGAGGAAATCATATACTCAAGTTGGATAATTGATCTCATACCTCATCGCCCCAGAGCAGGGCATCTCGTTCCTTGCCCTTCGCCTTTCTCCAGATGGCCAGAAGTTGCTGAGCGGAATAAGCGTTAGCGGCATAATTAAGGACATTTTAATCCGGGCTGGAAAGGAGAGACGCGCGCGCATACTTCAATTCCCCATTCCCTGACCTGCTTTGCATTCTTCTTCGCTTCCGGCCAGGCCAGCGGGGTGCCAAGCGCTCTATATGAGACAATTTAGCGGTGAGAAATGGGTGCTTCGTTATAAAAATGCGAAGGGGGAGGGGTTGGAGTTGAGGGAGGGGTTTTTTTTTTTCTCTTTTCTCTTACAGCAGGCCCATGACGACAGAAGCTAGTTCATATATTTAGCTCGTCGGGATGGTGAAAGAGTGTAGACAGCTGGAATACAGGCGGCCTCACAGGCCTAGGGGAAGGCTAAAAGGAAGGGCAAATTATGCGGGAAAATTGTCGTTGCTGCGGGTGTTTGATGGACGGAATGGAATATATTAAAAAAAAAGAAAGTTTCCTCTTTCGGCCGGGGGGAGGCAAAAAAAATATAGACTGTTCGGGATTTCGAAGCAGCTTTGCCGAACGGCGCAAGAACACAAAAAAAATATATATATATAAAAAAAGGAGGAATTGGATTGTGTGGAGGAGGAAAGTAAAAATTAAAGTATTTAAGAAGAATTATTTCCGATGGCCCGCTTCCATGTCGAGATCTTTTATATCACACGAGAATGAACGCCGGTAAGTTTTAACTTCTTAGTGTTGTTCGTCTTTCTTAGTGGATTGTAACCGCAGCACCAGCAATAATAATAATAATAATAATAATAACTAACCATAGGCCCGGAGCAGAGGGGGTTTCTGCGGAGCTCCATGGAGGGGTATATCGGGGCTGGATATTTCGCATTATTCCATATTTACAGAGCTATTTAGACCGTAAAGTTACGGCACTAACTACCCATTGACTGATTCCATATCTGTTGTTGATCCAAATCTGCTTCCATAGTACTCCGTATGTGTAAGTAAAGAGAAGATATCCATCCATGCATCACCAATAATATAAAGCCCCTGCGCACAATCAACCCTAGACCTGCAACTACACACATTATCATGGTCAAAGAAACTATCTTGTGGCCAGGTTATTATGCTCGGGTACAGCATGGATATCGAGCTAGGGCAAAAATATAACTATCATGTTTCTTCACCCCCAATACCACTCTGTCAGAGATGACGGATAATTTAATATTATTTTTAACACAGATCGGCTAATTGAGGAGCCTTCGCTCACCCACCATACGGAGTACATGCACTCTTGTTAGCTTGCCGTGGCCCTCGAAAGCTGATAAATACAACATCTGGCAGTGGAATCCTTAATCCTTTGCCCATGATATTCCCTCCAGACTTCTCCCGGCTTCCCTCGTCTCCGCTTCCTGCTTATAAATCAGCCATTGGGATGCGGGCTGAAGTTCGAATCCGGGCGGGACACGGCGGGATAATTAATACTTTAATACGCTGTACAGCATGCTTCTCTTATAATCGGAAGTTGGTTGGGTGTCACTAGAGCCGATCAACCTCATAATAATCCTACGTAATCTGGGACGATCTTTGAAGCCCAATAAAAGTCCAGTAATACTATCCATGCTGGCTGACAGGCAGGTTTGACGCAGTATATGTATGCCCATCGCGTTGGTCGCTATAAATATCCTCCGTCTTCGCTCTTGGCCACAAATCGCCGCCATTGGAGTTAGTTGCATGGCGCAAGAGAGTTGCGATACTGCATTGAGAATATACAACAAGGTCCGACGAGATAAGTCTTATTTATGATTCTTTTCTTTTGGACGGAAAAAAGGTATCAAGTAAAAGAAAGTCTTTACTATATATATACAATACAGCAACAATTTTTCCAATGGAGAAATTCTCAACATAATGCTCAGGATAGTGGAAAATGCAAACAGAAAACACGCAAACAGCAACTCCAGATCCCCCCCTCTAATGTCTAATTGCTCCTGGCACCACCCTTGGCTGCCCGCAGCTCGTCCATCTTCGCAACCCGCAGCTTGAACTCCTCATACTGGCATTTTTCGTAGGAATGTCTCTCGTTCTAACCAGCGCAACCAGATGCTGTCAGTATATGCTATTTTGAAGAGGTGGGGAAGGGGAAGGGGGGCTGCGCGATAATTGTATGTGAATTGTGCAATTGCGGGATCGTACCTCGCACTTCCAAGGCAGATAGTATTCTTCATATCGACATCGGTTCAGTGGGATTAGGAGATGTGCACAGCTGTCTCGGTAGGCAAGAGGTAATCTAGCCTGGGACATTTCTTCTCTGGTCGCAGCTATGTTGTCCATAAATCAGGTTAGGAATTGGATCATTCATTCATTCAATTGGGGGTGTGTTTGGTTTGTCGGTAGGAATTGAACGATCTGGAAAGAGAATTAACTCACGCCTGACATCCTTAACAGCCTCGGCATGTGCCATGATTGCAGCTCCTGACTACCTCTCAGCAGAAACCGCTGCGTGTGTTTCCGTATGTGTATATGTGTATATGTGTGTATGTGTGTATGTGTGTATGTATCTTGAACTGCGTTGCCGTCGTCAAGCCGATTAATTGTTCTCTCTCTCTCTCTCCCTTTGTTGTTTCCTGTGGTTCCTGCGTGATGCGGCTCTGGGGTTCTCGGAAGCCCGGCGCCTTGTTGTTCCGGGCCCAAGAAAGCATCTTCCACTTTACGCGAGAAACAAGGCTCCGTCGCGTCTCCCAGTTGTCCCGCAAATCGCACTCTCGTCTGCAACCATCTATTGTAGTCGCCGTCAAGGGGAAAAATGCGCTGCCTCTGCTGCTTTGCGTTTGCTTGCGTGGTTTCGTGCACATCACTAACTCTCTAAATGCCATAGTATCTATCCCATCTCATTTCTTTTTAAGGGGTCCTTGCTCTTCTTCCATTGGTGCATTTCCGTCACCCGCTGCGCCTTGCCCGCTCATCTGTTATTGATTACTTTCATCATCCATCCATCATGGCTGCAGCAAGTACGTGGGGTAATAAAATATACTCTGCTACGTACAGCAGTGTGAGTGTTATTTTTTATCGTGCTATGATCCCAGGATTCTATTTTCTTTCTGCGAGACCTGTGGCTAATGTTTGGTTACTTCACCTAGGTGCCCGTCTATGAGTTCAAAGTGGGCTCTGATAATGTTATGCGACGGCGTGCAGATGACTGGATCAACGCGACCCATATTCTCAAGGTAGCTGGGCTGGATAAACCCGCGAGAACCCGCATTCTCGAGAGGGAGGTCCAGAAAGGCGTCCACGAGAAGGTCCAGGGCGGGTATGGAAAATATCAAGGTATATTTTCTCTCTGCAATAGACTATCTGTAGAACACTGTGCGCATGGTCCTATTGCAGCTTTGAGCTGACCCCGGTGTTCAGGAACATGGGTGCCGCTTCAAGAGGGTCGAGAATTAGCTGAGCGGAACGGGATTCTTGATAAGCTCCTACCCATTTTTGACTTCGTTGCTGGGGATAGGAGCCCTCCACCAGCTCCGAAGCATACAACGGCTGCATCGTCGAGACCAAGGGTACAAAAAACTGTCGCCCCCAATAGAAGACTTGTGTCTGAAGAGTTGTCATTCTCCCCAAGGAAACAGCAGCAAGCTGTACAACCGCCGATGTCACAACCAAGCTTTAGTCAAGAGCCGCATTTCTCGGCTGTTAACCAGTCGTTCCGTGACGATGAATCAGTCGCACAAGCAAGCATGGAGTCGTCCTCCATGATTGCAGAGGAGGATATGGCCCCGATGTCCCAGCACTCGACGCAATCGCGGAAACGTAAGCGTGGGCTGAATGAAGTCAGTCTAAGCATCATCGAGCAACAGCATATCATCTATGGTGACCAACTCTTAGACTACTTCATGACTGTGGGAGATGCCCCCGCAGCAACAAGAATACTGCCCCCAGAACCACCGGCGAATTTCCAAGTTGACAGGCCCATCGATGATCATGGAAATACCGCTCTTCACTGGGCGTGTTCTATGGGCGACATCGATATCGTTCGAGACCTAATAAATCGAGGCGCGAATGTAAAAGCGTTGTCAAATCATGACGAGACTCCACTAGTTCGCGCGGTTTTATTCACCAACAACTATGAAAAGGGGACCATGCAGGATTTGGCGGACCTCCTCCAAGAAACGATCACGTTTAGAGACTGGTTTGGGGCAACTGTCTTCAACCACCTGGCCGCAACAACAAGGAGTAAGGGCAAGTGGAAGAGTTCGCGATATTATTGTCAAGTATTGATGGATAAACTAAATGATATTCTACCTCCTCATCAGATCTCCTTGCTTCTATCTTCTCAAGATTCGAATGGCGACACAGCTGCTCTAGCAGCGGCCAAAAATGGCTGCTACCGGCTAGCTACCATGCTTTTATCACAGTGTCCCGAAGCTGGTGATATTCTCAATAAAGCGGGAGAAAGTGCCAACGCAATCCTTCAAACAATTTCCCGTCCCCATAAAGACAATCCACCAGCGCCGTCATCAGTGACCCACCACAGTGTTACAGACACGGATCACGCTGAGTTGAATAATACCTCAGATAATACAGCTGTCTACCGACCTTCAACCAGCTCCGAAGTCACCGCATCACTTTTATCAAAAATAGGATCCATCGTGGATGAGGCCAGCAGAAAGCTAGCCTTAGCTTATGGCGATATAAAGTGGCCACCCCAGGGCGAGGAAGACTTTGGAAACCCACAAGGGCTGTATGAACACGTGGAATCGGATCGGGAAAATATTCGGAAACAAGCAGCATCTCTAACCGCAAAGGAGAACGAAACCGATGACCTAGAAGGCAAACTAGAACGTTTCAACAAGGTAAAGCGAGACTACGAATCTCTCCTAGAGCAGGTTCAACGACTCCATCTCCTCAAACGTCTCCAGAACGCTAGGGTCGATCCGGAGTCCCGGGCTGCTCAGATAAACTCTAGCGGAGGCGGAGAGGGCTCGGGCTCGAGTTCCAATAACAACACCACCAGCAACAGCAACAATAAGACTCCCGAGGACCTCAACCTCTTATACCAGGTTACCAGCCAGCTCTTCGAGGCCCAAAAAGCCCGCCAAAAAGCCATCAGAGAACTCATCCAGCAAAAAGCAGATGCCGGCGTGAGCACCAAACTCGACGTTCACCGCAAGCTCGTCTCTCTTGCAACCGGTCTACCAGAAGAAGAGCTGGACCCGATGTCTAGCGAGTTAGCCAATGCGCTCGAATTTGACCGTGCAAATGAGAAGAGGCCGGATGATCGCGATCTTGGCCTGGACGGTGCTTTGGATCGGGACGAGCACCAGCACTTCGAGTATCAGCAGGAGAAAAAGCAACAGCAGCAGGCGCTAGTAACCCGGCGTGACTCTATGGGAATGCAGTTGTCCATGTCCATGTCTGAACGGGCTGTTCCCGGCTAATGGGGCGGGTGGCTTTTCCGGCCCGTTTCTTATCTGTTTGACCTCGGGGAGGGGGGAGATTTTTTTTTTTTTTTTTTCTTTTTTCCGGTTGGCTTTAGACATGCCACCTCATTTTCAACGGACGTGTTGTATCTACTTCAACATCGACTTCTCTTTCGAAAAAGCCCGATCTCCTGGATTCGCATAGCACGTTCATGAAAACTGTAACGTGGGAACCTACCTACCTTCTCCAGAAGCCTGCCAGCATATCTCCCGAATCTCCCATTGTATTTCTTGACATTGGTAATATCAGGCATGTCTTGTAACCTACCTACCTTTCTGTCTATCTAGGCGATCTTGTCCGCCATCTTTACCTACGTTTGCATGGTCAGCACCACCTTCACTTGAACGAACATCGGCTATGTGTATCCATCGGGTTCGTTTTCATCTACGCCCTCCCTCCCTGGACCGCAAAATGAGGGTGTTTCTTGTTATTATGTCTATGTCTATGCCTATCTACCTGTTCCCTTTCCCTTTTTCCTTTTTTTCTTTTTACTCTCTTCACCCCTATCGGTGTTTACGATTTTTTCTCTTACAGCAGCCAGTTCGCTACTGGGTATGCTTTGTAATGTACATGTGAGCATGCGTGTATGGGTGTCTATAGTATGGGTTTTCTTTTTCCTTCTCTTTTTTAATTTTCTTTTTCTCTGTACAGTACATTACAACTATAATATTTAGGGGGTGTGTATGGGTCTGAGAAAAGCTCTCTAAATATAATCCAACCCTCTCTTTATCCTTTCTTTTTTCTCTCCTATTCTCCTCCTCCTTTCTTCGCCTTTATGTTTTTCTTAAGAAGGGCTTTGTTTGGTCCTCTAACTTCCCGAGGTGTTTTCAATTTCGCGATTCCTTTCCTTGTTCTACTTTCCTAGCCCTCTTCCCACCCTCCAAGCCTTTTGAATCAACACTCTCCAGGCCGTTGTTATGTACAATGTGTGGGCGGGGTGATTCCTGACCTTCATCCATTGACGGTCCTTTTTGGGCTCCATCGTCCCCGATTTTCATCTCCTCGTCTGATTACATACATAATTTCGTTTACGTTTTGTGACGGAGGAGCGTTTCCCCGCGCGCGTAGCGGATGAAACGTGATATCACTATCTCTCGGGAGTTATATCTTGATCATATCATTTTATTTATTTATTTATCTATTTATATATTTTGTAAAGGAAATATAAATGATGTAAATGACTCACTTGGTCAACACGGGGGAAAAAACAGGGGGCCGCTTCCACTGGATCTCAGTACCAGGACCCCCCCGTTCATATAACCTCTAGTTATTCTATTCCCAGGTTGGTACATTACATACTCCCCCCCTCTTCCATCCTCTTCTCAACTCCAAACCCACATAATGCCGTCAAGCTTTTCCCTCGATCAGTCGCCAAGTATGGGCAAACAAGGAGGTTTGGCTCCTTCAAAAACCCACAATCACAGATTCACCTGATATCAAACGGGGCGGGAATCCTTGGAACCCGTATTCCATTTCTGTTTTCAAAAAAAAAAAAAAAAAAGGGAGAGAGGGAGAAACCCAGACAACACAACTTCCATGATGAAACCACCCACATCACCATTATAAATAAATACGTAACCTGGCCTTGTGGGAGGAGGGGAGGGCGGAATAGCACCAGGTCACCAGGTCAGATTTTGTGATAGATTATTTAATGAGTGAGTTAGTGAGTGGTGAGGTGCGAGGTTGCGACGGATTTGAGTGAGTTTGGAGAGTGTTGTGTTAAGTTGAGTGGATGGGAGATGCTGGCTGGGAGAGCGATGTAACTAGAGATGTAGTAGGAACCTTTCGGGTATGGTTCTTTTTGCGGGTGAGGGGGGCCAGCTAGAGAGGGGAGAAGATATTCTTTTTATTTTTGAGATGATACATATATATATATATTTGAAGATTTATCTAGTGGTCAGAAGTACAGAGGAAATGAATGTGTGCAGGTTGAGCTGAGCATGCATAGAATCTTTCTACAGCTTAGTATAGTAGTATTCATCAGTGTTTCAGAATAATTCTTGCAATCATTTCATTTACTGAATTTTCTAACAGTGATTATTAGATCTGACATCTCATCTGGTACATCTACTAACCAAGAAATACAATGTTGAGATTTTTATTTGAATAAGGAGAGAAAATGTATTATGTGTGCACATTCAATGAATTGGCTTGCTTTGCTCTATTCCTCTATTGAGAGATGTGATAGAGAACAGGGAACACACTCAAGATAGAAAGATAGAAAAAGCAATCAATAGCACAAACAAGTGAGTATTCTTGGAGAGAACAATCTTGATAGAGAAGAAGGTTGGCTGGATGAGCAGAGGCAAAGCTGCTTGCTTGCCATGTTTCAAATCTCTGAAACCAATTTCCTAAAAAAAATAAATAGAATAAAAACAAAACTGCGTGAAAATGAAATCATCATCCATTTTTGCCTCTTGGGGGGGGGGGGGGGGGGAATGTTCTAATAGAGACCAAAATAGAAACTCGGGAATTTTGAAAAAAAAAAAAGACTCGAAACACATCCCCGCAGCCTGGCGGCTGGGACCAATGATTTCTTTGAAAGGAAGAAGAGAGAGAGAGAGAGAGATGGGGTTGGTTTGTTTGGAGCGGAGGAATGACAGCATTGACAGGCAGGACAGCTTGGTCTAAAAATAAGCGTCCTTTTTGTCAAGCAGAACGCCCCCCCGGTCGTTATTAATAATTGGTGCCAGGTGTCTAGCCTGGAATTTACTCCTCCTCCCTCCCTGAAGAGGGTATTATTATTATTATTATTAGATAGAACTTGAGGAGGAGAAAGGGAGTGAGGAAGATAGCTCCTGCAAATCATATGTTAGATTGTTCGGGTGCGATGGCCGCCGGCTGGCCGCCCAAGGTGTGATGTGCATGCGGCTAGGGAGTAACCTAACCTGCACGCCTTGAGCTTGGGAGAGAGAGGTTGAAATGGGCGTGTGTGTGCTAGACTGTTTGTGAGTGACGGGAGCAGAGGTTTGTCGAGGATGCCAGGGAATGGAGGGACCTTTGAGGGGGGTGTTGTGGACGATGTGGTGATTGGCGGAGAAGAGGAATACTCGAAGCGCCGAACATGCAGGATTGGTAGATTTGCTTTTTTTCTTTCTTTTCTCTTTTGGTTTTCTCTTTAGCTTGCTTTGTTTCTTTCATTTTGCAGAGTGCAGGGAGGTTTTTGGGATATACACAGTATGTATGGTATGAGCTGTGTTTGTTAGTTTTTCTGGCGTAACTATCTATACTCTGTTGCCGTACAGTTATGGTTTGTTATGGTAACAAGGTCAGGTGAGAAGCAGAGATTGTGCCGAGACGTGCTGAGTCAGTCAGCCCGCACAAGGCCAATACAGGTACAGAAATACAATACGACGCTAGCGGTGTTTCAGCGAGACTTGATTTGCCACGCTAGGCCCAAAGGAGCGATGGGCAGCCAATCAGCGGACGCAATGGGCGCCTGGCCGGAGGTCTGGACCCTGAGTAGAACAAGCCTCACTAGGCCCAAAGCGGCGCCTTAGCTAATCAGTAGGCGGCGGGATACTAGCTGTATCCGAGCTGTATTGTGTATTGTTGTATTGGGTTGCTCTCTCCTCTTCGTCTTCCTCTTCCTCTTCCTCTTCCTCGTCTCGTCTCGTCTCGTCTCGTCTTGTCTCCTCCTTCCTCCTCCTCGTCGTTCCTCGTCTTCTCCTCCTCCACATCCTCTCCTTCTTGTTCTTCTTGTGTCTCTTCTCTCCGCCCCTCTTTTGGTCCTCTACTCGTCTTCCTCTCTATCTTCATCTCTTCTTCCTCTTCTTCCTCTTCTTCCTCTTCTTCCTCTTCTTCCTCTTCTTCTTCTTCTTCTTTCTTCTTCTTCTTCTTCTTCTTTTCCGCGCTCTCCCTCTCCCTCCCTCGCCCCGTCGTGTCACTTAGTATTCTTCGCGCGTCTTTCCTACTGTCGCCCTCTCTCTTCTTCCTTGTCTCTATCCAGCTTTTGCTCACCTTCTTTCTATCAAATCCTGCTGCTGCGTCCGTCTCTCTTCGATCTCGGCTCGCCGTCTAGTCTGCAACCGAAAGAAAAAACTTCTTCCTCCCTTCTCTGTTGCCTCTTTGGGCCTCCTTTTATTGCTCTTATTCCCGAAATCATAAACCGTCGAAATCCAGCAACTCCAACATCAGCATCAGCATCCTACTTCAATAAACCCGGAAAGACTCCTTGAAAAAGATAAAGAAAAAGATCCATCGGATTAAATAAACTGCTGTTTTTGATCCCAGTGGGTGAAGACTTGGGTCTTGTTGTTTCTCTCGACTTAATATATCTCGCTTTATTCCCCTCTCGCCGTTACTTTTTTTCTTTACCGTCGATTCCATTAGATCGCGTCGCTCTGCCGGTTGAACCCCGCCTATAATACTCATTGAATATCCGCCGCGTTTTCGATCCGCTTATTCTATTGCCTTTCGTCGTTATCGTCGTCTTATTGTCTCTCGCTATCTGGGACCTAATCCTTGCCTCGTTCCTCTCTCATTGATCTTTTAATTCTGCAAATTTGCTTCGCCGTTGTTTCTTCAAAAAAAGAAAAAAGGACAAAAAACAGCTAAAGAAGATCAGCTTTCCCTTGGTCTTTTGGTCGCCGTTTTCCGTTCATCCTAGGGAAAAAAGAGAAAAAAGAAAAAAGAAAAAAGAAAAAAAAAGAAAAAAAAAAGCTACTCGCGTTCAGTTTGCTCTCTGGTCGCTCCTCGCTGAGATTGCAGTGCAAATCTCTCCATCGTCGGAAACCTTTTTTCACACCAGCACACACGCACATATAATACACAGACATCAACCAACACCCACGCACAAAACAGCATCCAAGTACAATTTCCACTTGGACATCTATTATTCTCATTAGTTCCCACTGCGCTTGCACCACTTATTATTATTACTACTACTCTTATTGCTATTATCCTATTCATTCGCCAGGCTTTTAGCTTCGCATTCACTTACTCCTTCGGCCGGCCTGCTCGCCTAACCGACGAAACTATATTCACCTGTATATCTATTTTAATCACCTGTGGGTTCGCTTCTGGGTCTCAACTTTGGCTTTTTCTGGTATATTATCCAAATATCCATCTCCTATTCCCACTCTTCCAGTCTGCTAACTCTAGCCTACTCTCTTAGAAGCGTATTTTTGATTTATCTACGCCTGTTTAAACTCGACCGTCGACTATTTCTGTCAGACAACTCGATCTCCCGTCACTCGCCTTTCCAGCAGTGTTCCTAAACGAATACTTTTTTTTAATTTCTTAATATATCCGAGTTTCGGACCCAGCCCATCCCTACATAAGCTTCCAGCTTGTCCTAAAGGACGACTTTTGTTTGTGTGGAATTAATCCACTCTCAAACTGGTTTTCTTTCATACTACCAGCCGACCAGTTTTGCAACATCTTGTTGGCTCGCAAGCTAGCTAGACTCCCTCGTATAGACGGGCCCGGGTACAACACTTCGTTCTTATCTCGGAATTGTTTTCTGCTAGATACAATTACCCCTTTCCTGCCTCTCTACGAATAAACGCCCCTTGCAAATATCAATTTCCAAAAAAAAAAAAATTCCCTTTACTTCCACGACCTTGAGTATGGACGCTGGCGTTCTAGCTCAGATGACTTACAACAACAACATGGCTTTCAACGGTGGTTCCCTTGGCGTTCCGGGTTCTGGTTTCGCATCTCGCGGGAAGGGTTCTCATATCAAACGTCTCAGTGTTCCTCACCCGTCAAACATCGGATCGATTAACGAGTCTACGTCGTCTCCCTCTGTTTCCACACCACGCACGAGTCGCTCCCATCTCCTGGCTGGGCTGAGGACTGCTCCCATGTCTCATCAGCAGCCCCATTTTTCCTTGGATCACGCCAGATACGGTTCGCAGCAAAATTCCTATGCCCAACGGGCACCTTTGACCTCCACAGGAGCATCGTTCCCCAACCACCTCAATTCTTATGGGTCTCAGCCAAATGGCAGGCATCAAATGTACTCCTTGCCAGAGCACGTGCTTCCTCCTCCCACCATTGATCTCCCAATTGACGAGAATGGAGAACCGATTGACGAAAAGCTGTATGCAGAACTGGTCTCGACAAATCTTTTCCTTGCTGCGCAACAACAACGTCTACAAGAACAACTTGCCTCCGTCACAGCTGCTGCTCAGCAGTTCCAAGGGTTGAGTCTTGGTTTTTCCATGGGCGCTCAACAGCAGATCATGTCAGCAACAACCCCGGGAATGGGCTATTATCAGCAACAAGCACAACAAGGCATGCAACCAGTTGTGCAGCAGGTGCCTGGCCATCCTGGTTTGTTCTCGGTCTATAATCCCATGACTGGGCAACAAAACTTTGTCATGGACAACACCGTGCAGTCGCAGCAACAACAGTACGAAGAGCCTTCATCGATCTACCAGGAGCAGTTCCAATCTCCCATGGCGGAAACTCCAACTTTCCGTGCTGAAGTCTCCCCTCCTCCGGAATCAAGGCAATCACCTCCTCATTTCAAGCCTTCTCCCTCGCCTCCAAGGACTGATCCATCCCCTCCGCAGGAAGTCACTCCTCTCCCCCCACCATCTGCCAACGCCTTCCGTCGTAATCATAAGAAGACTCCCTCCTTGGTTACCTCTCTAAAAATCAATAGCGATACAAACAAAACTGCCCCCAAAACCGCTCCACTGCCCACTCCACTCACAGGCACTTTTGGCCCCGGCCAAGCACGTGCTGGCGAACATCCCATCCGTCAACCCCGCGGGCCCCCTTCGCTCGAAGAACTCATCGAAAAGCCAACCTCCAAACATGAAGGGAGCAAGAACTTCGTTACCCGCCAGCGTCGACGTGCTGTTCACAATCTCGTGCGGGCTGGCTTAGAGAGGCGTGGTGAGTCCCGCAGTTCTCGCCGTACTGGTAGCAACAGCGGCGGAAGCGTTACACCGTCCAGCGATGTAGAGTTTAACTTTTCAGGTTCCGACGGTGATGACTCTACTGGTGGGAATCGAAGTGGTGGCACTTTGTCGAGCAAGCCCAGCTTAGGGAGCATCCGTGCAGCTGCGAATGGGGCTATTGGATCGGAAAGGAAGGAGAAGGAGTGGAGTTATCGTGGTTCTGGCTCTGGATCTGGGACTTCTAATGGCCCTAAGCGTGGCACGTCGACAGATAGTCTGTACACTGCTGCGACTGTTAGTAGCGACGATGGCGGGCTTGTAGGTGGGAAGCTGATGGAGATTCGCGCTGATGATACGACTGCTGTTGGAGGCGCTTTCGGTGGTAGAATCCCGGCCTACACATTGTCACCGTCGTCAACAACACCAAGTACGGCTGCTGTATTGGCTGGCCATGCTTCGGCGCCGAATATGGGGCAAGGCGGTAATGGACGACGGAAGATGCCGATGTTTGTTCTGTCGAGTGCTGAGAAGAGGAAAAGTCCTATTAATTGAAAGAGATGATAGGGGGATATCTTTGCCGTCGCTCCTTTCGTTCTCTTCTCTATTTTTCTGTTATATTTTTTTTCTGGCTTTTTTCATTCAGTTTGGGGAGGGATGGCATTATCACTGGAATTATTATCATAGTTTGGTCCCTTTTTCTTCCTTTTTCTTCCTTTTTCTTTACTCTTCTTTATCCTTTTTTCTTTCTGCCCGATTCTGTCAATTTGTGAGATGCGAGGGGAGGGAATTGGAACGCATTCATTGAACTTAGCCCAATAACTAGCTTTCACCCCTTCCTCTTTTCATCCTTCTCTTCACTTCTCTGTTCTCTAAATTTCTATGTTCCGGGCAGCGTTTCTCTTCCTTATTTCTACTACCTATGTTGTTCTTACTGAATTACTGACACCCTGTTTTCTTGTCTTAACGACTTTTGTTTTTTTACCCTCCCATTTTCTGTTCTATTTTATTACTTTTTTCCCTCATCCTATTGTCGTTTGTCCTCGTGCTGTTTATACGGTATTTTTCATATTCTCGCGTGTGCCTACTTAGTTAGTAGCAGCCCCGCAGTCCTTACAGGTTTACCCCAAGGTGCCTGTCGTCGAAATTGTTAACGAACCATGAATTGATTGACTTGACTTGAATTGATTGAATCCTGCGGCCTTGAATTTGATACTTGGTGTGTTTTTTGGGATGGTTTGAATCGGCTCTGTTCACCGTTCTATTTTTTTTCTCTCTGTTATTATCACATATATGAAGCTGGTGTTGGTGTGTTTTTTCGCAAGGAGAAAGATGAGGTGTGGAGCAGAAAGAAAGATGATACCTTTGAATAAAAATGAAGAACGAGAATGCATGGAGAATAAATATATGCTTTGTCAGTTCAGTTCTATTAATTGGCTGTTTTTCCCCTCTTCTCTTATTTATTTTATTATCGTTATTATTTTCAAGCAAGTTCTGGAAACCTGTTTATCCATTCCTTTTGCAATGGGTTCATAGCATGTTCTCTTCTCTTACTCCTCTTTTTGACTAGAAGAAATAAATAATAAATGTATAACAAACTACTTTAGCTACCTACTTACTGTTCCTGTGCTGAGTTGTTATTTTTAACCTGCCACAAGCCTTCTTTTTACCCACCCCTGAGGCCTAGCTGTCATAACCATTACCACCCATCTCAAGACGGGCAGAGGGTAAAGTAAAGTCCAGCCACGCTAACACTACGCATCATCTTATATCCATTACCGCCAGTCCAAGGCCCGACTGACAACGCACGGCTGGCTACCCGCAGAGTGGGTGGGAAGCTCTACTCTGCGTAGACCAACCAGATGACGACGATGAGTGTTTTTCCGTTTTCGTGTAATTAATACCTGTAGCTTGTGGGAGTCGAAGGCTTGTGCACAGCGAGGCGTTGAGGTAGTTTAACGGGTTGGCGGACGGGACGTCTGGACTCTGGAGGAGAAGATCGAGCGAACTAATTAGTTATTTAATCTGCAGTTAGCCTCACGTTGTGTTCCTCCGGATTATTATCACTGGCTGGCCTTGATATTTTTTCTTGTTCGTGTCTTGTCTTGTCTTCACATCACCTCTCTTTTCCCCATCGTCCTTATTTTGTTTTATTTCTTTTTATTTTAAATTCACTTTAGAGCTTTTGTTATCCGCAATTCAGATTCGGATACCCCTTTCTAGCGTTCACGGGGCAGATTTATCGTGAATTCCAACTAGTTGGCGTGGTGATGCGATTCTCCCAGCTGCTGTGCTGCGGTGGACCCGACGACGATGGCCAGAAGGACGCCTCTCCTCCCCCAGCATACCGTAGCATCGAGGGAAATCCAGCTGCGACACAGTCCCTCCCCAATCTGCAGCCCAGGAAAATAGCCTTTTACATTTCGCCGTCGAGTGGGCTGGCGAATGATCGTGATGGCGACGGGGTGGTCGAGAAGGCGGAACCTGTCGACACCAAGGGCAAGGGAAGGCTATTACGCGACGACAGCGATCGCGACGCTCAGGAACATAAAAGGGACCAAGATGTATCTCGTCTGCGGCAGGGTGCGGCGCAGAGCGTCTCCGGCAACACCTTCCTGATGCCCAATGGCCGGGAAGTAACTCTGAACACCAACGACGATTTTGTCCAGGCGACGCTGGCAGCGGCACAGACGAGTGACCAGGCACTCGACCAATGGCTCGCGTTGGGCTATGGAATTGAGATCAAAGACTCGAGGAAACGATCGGCTGCCACCTGGGCAGTGCTTCAGAATCACTCTGGAGCTATCCGTCGCTTCATCGACCGGGGTGCGAATGTCAACCTGGGCATCTCCAACACATGTACTGAGCTACACCGCGCCGTGTCGGAGGGGAATGAGAAGCTGGTTGTCACGCTCCTGAAGCACAAGGCGGATGTCAATGCCATAGACAACGAGGGGAATACTCCTCTACACTGCGCGCTGAACCACTGGTTGAAGACGGATGAGAGCGAGGATTTCTCTATCTTCAAGCTTCTGGTGGAGAAAGGTGCCGCTGACCTGGAAGCTCATAACCGGTATGGAAACACGGTATTGCATGAAGCATGCATCTACGGCGACGGAATGCCCCTGAGATACATGCCCGGTTCCAGTGCGCCCCCGCCAGCAATCACCTCCCGGCGCCTCGTGCTGGCTAAGACACTCCTCGACCTGGGCATACCCATGGACACGCGCGACAAATGGGGGTCCACCCCGCTACTGCGCTGCTGCACGATGCAAACGCCCGATCGCGATGTGATTGCCCTCCTGCTTGACAGGGGCGCGGATGTAAACGCGCCCAATAACCACGGTGACACGGCGCTGGACACCGTCTGTTTCCAGCGGGATACGGAGCTGCTGAAACAGATCGCGGCGCGTGTTATCAATATCAATATCACTGCCAACGACAAACGTAATGACGATCACGATAATGAGAACGACGATAATGATACATATGACGATAACCAACCAGACCCGACAACTGCAGCCCTCTTCAATAAACCAACCGTCCTCTCCACCCCGCTCCACTACGCCGCCCAACACAGCGGACCAGACCGTCTGCTCTTCCTCCTGTCCCATGGCGCAAACCCAAGCACACCCACCTATGCCACCGGCGCCACCCCGCTCCACCTCCTCGCTTCCTCAAAACCGATCACGGCAGACAGGCCCACCTCCCCCTCCCCGTCCTTCAACACCCCTCCAACCCCACCAACCAAGACCGTCATTACTACCACCACCCGGCCCCACCAAACCGACCACATAACCCAAAACATCCACCTCCTAACCACCTACGGCGCCGACATCAACGCCCGCGACCTCACCGGCGCCACACCGCTACATTACGCCGCACGCAACGTCGAGTCGCGCTACCAGGAGCGCATCGTCACGGCGCTGCTGGCGGCGGGCGCGGAGCCGAACTGTAAGGATTCCAAGGGCCGGACTCCCCTGGGTGATCTGGAAGGGTTTTGGGTGCTTAAGGGGGCGGTGGTGAAGAGGCTAGTGGAGGCTGGGGCGGAGAAGGTGCCCGGGATGGAGGGGTTGGGTGGGTTTGAGTATATGGATCGTGATGGGGTGGAGGGGTGAGTGGTTATGATGGGTGTCGTTGAGGAGCGATGATTGTTTGATTTCTTTCTTATTTTCCGTATTATTTCTTTATTCTCTTATATCTTCTTTATTCTTTGTTAATATGCTTTCTTCTACAGGGCCTCTTCTACCTTACACTTTTTTCCCCAGCTTTCTAACCCCCAGCTCCCCAACCCCCTCCTCTCCTCTCCCTCTCCGTATTTTTCTCTTCCCTATCTCCCCTTTTTTCTGTTTTCTGTTCTTACTTCCTCTCTCTTAATTTTTTTTTTTTTTTTTTTTTTTTTTTTTTTTTTTTTTTTTCCCCTTTCATCCATTTACTGCAATTTGCTTCTGCGATTTCAATCCCTGATATGGGCGGATGAACGGATGGGCCTTAAAAGAAATTTACGTTTACTTCAAACCTAGGAACGAAAAGGAAAATGTGTTTTATGAAATGAGTTATGTGATGTATCTATAAATATGAATATATAATATAGTATATATATATACATATATTGCTGACATGCATATATGGGATGGTTCAGCTTCTTCAGCACCAGGAAAGACTAGTGGTGACTGAGCTCATTTGTCCGAGTGTTCTGCATCCATATATATATGTATATATAATTGTGCAGCCAGACAGATCTATCACTGGTTGTTGCTTGTGACCTACTGATCCCCTCCTCCCCGGGCCTTTTTTTTCTGTTTTCTTTCGTTAATTCGTCTTTTAATCCCCATATATATTTCTTCTTCAACTCTTGTGATACGAGGACTTTTTCTCCCTACTTATTTTTGCTCCTGCATTGGTGGCGGAGCGAGTGGAGCGGATGCGATCGTTAAAAACATCTCTGATACTCCGTACTCCGTAGTTTGTATTTACCCACTGGCTTTTCTCCGGTGATCCATCCCACTGTGCAATCCGAACCAACTGATGGTCGGTTAATGTTTGTAGCCTACTTGTTTGTCTCCATCTTTTCCGATATCTTTGATCAATCACAGCTAACTAGGGTATATGGCTGACCTATGCATCGTCCCAAACATGTTTGTTTACTCAGTATAATAGCAATGGGGCCCTTGTTTGATTATTGTTCCGGGCTTTAGAGCTTGTTGTAGGGGAATACTAACCATAGATACATTGATAGCCATGGGAACCGTGGACTGTTTGATCTCGTTTGTCTATTGATGAGGAGAAGGTTTAGATACCTAAAGAACCCCTTGAGAAAAAATTAGAGGAGTGGATGTGGCCGTTCCTCCGTTTTCATCCTGGGTCGTTTGGTATTATTTCCTGTTCTGCGATTGGTTGCCTATTCATTTGTTGTGTTGAACCATTGACCAGACCAATATTAAATGGGAATAGAAGGAGAAAACTACAACCCGTCCCCTTTTTGATGCCAATGCCAAGCTCAAGCTTGCTTCTTCGGGCTTAGTCGTTGGAAAATAAGGTTAGGTTGAGATTGACGTAACAATTAGAGTTTATTTAGGGCTGACAACGCCGCTTCAAACCTTCCAAGGTTCCCAAAGTCCATCGTCTGATGTGTCTTTCTCAGTTTCAACATGGCATAACTACATACAACGCACCAGGGAAAGTGATCATAGACAGGTTAGTTAATATGAACAACTGACCGAGAGAAAATCAAAATAGAGCTAAAGCTCCCTGCCAACAATTATGTTCCTGGCTCGGGCGATGTGCATCCGATCCGTCTGCTCGGTCGCTTATCAGTCAGTCCCCACTATATAACCTTCTTCTACAGTTCCAGAAGCTCGAATAATGGCGTGACGGGTGGCGGGTGGGACCTGTGGATCTCAGTCCGTGCGTACAACTTTACCATGGATAAAGGTGTGATTACATGTAAGTTGGCTGGCGGGCTGGCTGGCGCGGGACAATTTTTACCGAAAAGCCAGGAAAGTGACAGCTTCCCCTTAAACCCCCCCCGGGCAGCTTGTGACGTTATAGGTTGAACTCTAACTATTTTTTTCTTCTAACTTTGAAGAAGAACCAAACAAACTCCCCCCTAAAACTGGACAATTCTATCGATGAGGTTGTCTATTCATGGACATCGCTGAATGCCTACTGCCCCTCTTCTTTTTCAGTACCTGTTGTCTGGGCCCTTTGATTCCACTTGAATCAATCAGATGCTTTCTAGCCTTTGCCCCTCCCATTCCTTTTGCCTCAACTGGTGGATCCGCCTCCCTTGTTCTAGCTCAAGTCACGGTCTTAGGCCGGGCTTTCGGGGGACCCATGTGGATTATACCTAGGTAAACTTGAGTGAGACCTTCGACGACCTTGTGCTCCTCCTTCTATTTTAATCTAAGAATATCTCTTGCAAAGAACGTGTTCGAAAGCTGTCGAGGAGCGGGTTCTAGGCTTAGGGGTAGTTAAACAGTGTCTAAGTATTACGTCGGCTCTTAGCTAATTTGAAATCATGTTCTTCTTGATGATTTGCTCATGTTTATTAACACAGCAAGGGGCGAGGAGCTCCCTGGTGATAGTTCTTTTAATCCTTATTTATTGCCTTTCTTATTTTTAATATTTGTGCCCGCTCTTCTTTTTTCTTTTACTCTCTATATTTCTTCCACCAGTCGCTTCCTCCGTTTGAGCCTTTTTTTCCGGCTCCATTTTTATCTCCCCCCTCGTTTCATCATCATACATAAGTCTTTTAGAGAATACTTGTTACCTTGATTCGTCATACAACCACTCGTTTGCTGGCGAACGGCTTTTTTCCGTCCTTTTGAAGAAAGGCTTTCTGATTCCCGCAGCTTGTCGAACATTGTGATGACTTGATGATCACCTTATATATATACTTCAGGCCAATTCCTCAGCAAATTCTCGCTATTCCCAAGTGTTGAAATCAACTGGGAGAAGCCTCCCCGATTTATTATTGTTCTGAGGTAAGTTGCAAGATAATGGGTTCCGTTTTAAGCTTTTTCATCTCTCCTCCCCCAACCTGTCCATCATCCGAGCCTTCGCCACAAAGCGTAGATTCTACGGCTTAATCCTACCCACCCGTCTCCAGGGATGTGGCCCAAGTGCAGGGTTCTAGAGCTTCCCTGAGTATTCTGTCTGTCACAAGAAGTGGGAAGGGAAGAGGGGGGTGACGGGTGGTTGAAGATGACATCATATCAACTCGAAATTTTTCGACGTTAAAAATATATGGACTGACTTCGATATAGGTGACGATTTGCAACCTTGATCGAGGAACCCAAAGCTCAGGAAATCCAAGTATTTTCCATATGCATTCTTCGAGAGAAGATATTTCCAGGTCTCCAAGCCCAAGGGGCAGAGCGCCTCATATCTCGTTGACAGCCCCTCAAAATTCGCCAGATCAAAGTCCTGATGCACGTAAAAGCACCTCGCACGTTCGCTCAACCAGCGAAGGAGAAGCTCATGGCTCCCGATCTCATCCAGTGGGCCGTGTGAAATTCATTGGCGATGAAGAAACGTCACAACGAGGCAATGGCCAAAGCCCTCGGGACGCACTAGGTATTGAGGGCAATCTCCCACGAGCGCCGCCAGTAGCCCACTGCTATCCGCGGAGAGAGTCTGAAAGCGACGTATCGGATGATTTGGTCGGTTATTTCGATCACCAGGCATCATCAGGGGCCTCAACGCCCATAGGCAGCAGCGAACACATATCAAGCAGGGTGAACCTTCTCCATGACGATGAGAACGCGAGACAGGAAGATGCCGGTGAAAAGAGAAGGGCCTTGCATGGCGCCCACGAAAGAGCACAGAGACTGGCTTCCTTCATTCGTCGACCTTCCGCACAGACCAAAGAACAGGGCGGCCTTTTTCATAGATTTTCTCGCCGGCAGAGGAACAAGGCCGCACCGCCGCCTGAGCGACCCAAGCAGTCATCGTGGGATGATCTGGATATAATGGAGAAGCAAGCATATTATTCCGACGAAGATGATCGTTCTGATGATGCGCATATAAATGCGGATCTTCGGGTTCATGCTGATAAGCTGATGCGAAGCATGCCGATGGAAGATTCTTACCCTCTCACCAGAGTTAGCGCACGAAGTCAGGACCTCACTTCTGGTCAGGTCACTCCCCTCGAAGAGAGAGATCCTCATGATTACGTTGCCCGACCATCACATTATAGACCCGGAGTCTTGGGAGCGTTGCTCAGGATGTACGGAAACAGCGTGCAGGAGGAGCCGCAACCGCATGATGAATGGTCGCCTTCACTCCAAGCTCCAAATCGAGCAATAGCCGGGAGAAGCTCGTCACGACCGCCAAAGCAGAAATGGTACAATAATAAGCCCGGTCATCAATCCGTGCCTTTCCTGGACTCATCCTCCCCGCTAGGAGGATCACGGCGATCGTCACTTACAGATAAACAATCAACTAGTGGGAAGATTTTCACTCTTGCGAAGCAAAAATTTAGCGGTAAAAGTCGTCTCGAGGAAGAGATCCAGCTCAGGGTCCATATTCGAGAAACTCGCCAACGGAAGAAATATCTTGACAAACTCTGTCGTGCTCTAATGAATTGCGGGGCACCATCACATCGACTAGAAGAGTACATGAGAATGACGGCTCGAGTCCTCGAATTAGAGGGCAGCTTTACGTATTTTCCTGGAACCATGCTTATGGCATTTGAGGACAGTACGACGGACACCACAGACTTAAAAATGGTCCGGTCGCATGAGGGCGTTGATTTGGGCCGTCTACGTGACATCCAGATGATTTACAAGGAAGTTGTTCACGACATCATCGGTGTGGAAGAGGCTATGCAGCGGCTGCGAGACATCATGAATGCGAATCCGAAGTATAGTGTCCCCTGGGTGATATTCCTGTACGGGTTAGCCAGCGCCATGGTTGGCCCCTTTGCCTTTGGTGCACGACCAATCGACATGCCCATTTGCTTCCTTCTGGGCTGTGTACTTGGTGTCCTGCAGCATGTTCTTACCCCCCGCTCCTCGCACTATGCCAATGTGTTCGAAATCTCTGCCGCTGTCATCACCTCCTTCTTTGCTCGAGCATTCGGAAGCATAACGACGTCAAAGGGGCACCACCTTTTTTGCTTCGCAGCGCTGGCTCAGTCATCCATCTGTCTAATTCTTCCAGGATACATTGTCCTATGTGGCGCACTGGCATTGCAATCGCGCAATATTATCGCCGGCTCTGTCCGCATGGTCTACGCCATTATCTACTCCCTTTTCCTCGGCTTCGGAATGCTCATCGGCACTGCTCTTTACGGTGCTCTGGACAAAAACGCCACAGCCGCATTTGCTTGTCCCGCCAGTCCCATCAAAAACGAGTATCTGCAGCGCTTCCCCTTCGTGATCGGCTTCGCCATCTGCTCCTCCCTCATCAATCAGGCAAAATTTAAACAACTCCCCGTCATGGCTACCATCGCTGTTACCGGTTACATTGTCCGCTTCTTCGCCGCACGCCAATTCGTATCGACCCAGATCTCCAGCGCCCTGGGCGCCTTCGCAATCGGCATCATGGGCAATTTATATAGCCGGCTAGGACATGGGCTGGCCGCTGCCGCCATACTACCTGCTATATTTCTGCAGCTACCCTCAGGCTTGGCATCCAGTGGTAGCCTATTATCAAGCCTAATCGTTTCAACCAATCTCAAGTCCACTGATTTAGCGACGGAGCCGCTGAGCGATCTAGCAAGTGACTTGTTGGGAAATTCGTCTACGGCGAGTACAGAAGAGATAAAAAATATGATGGAGAGGTTAATGATGAACAGATTTTGGGGGAATGTGGTATTTGATATTGGCTCTGGGATGTTGGAGGTTGCTATCGGGATTTCAGGGGGATTGTTCATGGCGGCTCTGGTGGTTTACCCATTCGGTAAGAGGAGAAGTGGATTGTTTAGTTTTTGATTTTTTTCAGACTCTTTTTTTTTTCTTTTTCTTTTTTCAAAGCGTGCATACACGTGCTGGTCATGATAGCGAGGCTATTTTTTATTTGTTGTTTTGGCTTGCCTGGGCAATTGGCGTCCGGGATGTTCATTATTCGGCTAGCATGGTTTCAAGGCGTATACGGACGTTTCCTGTTCCATATTCATATAGAAATAGATTACAATTTAGAGATATATATAGAAGGCATTACTATTTATCTGTATAGCAAACCCTGATTTGTGAGAAATGACTTACAATATAAATTTGCGGAACATGTATGATTCATAAGAACTCCCTCCCTTAGATGCTCTCAGTCGGCTTTCGCATCAGCACAATATCCACTTCCTCACCTGAGCCAAGGGCGCTTTTAATATCAATACTCCTGCCATCGCCAACTTCCCGTTGCTCTACCAGGCACCCTCTCTCATACACTCCCCGAATGACCTTCGGAAGGTTCCTTACAACAAACTCCACTCTCTTTTCTTCTCCTACTAGTTCCTTAGCGTAACAACAATCGCGCCAGCGCCAGCGCCAGCGTCAGCCTTCCTTTTTCTTTCTCTCTTTCTTTTTTTAGTTTTTGACTCCTTGACTACTGCAGAGGAGAGTACCACCCACCAGCAGCATATTAACTCACCATGCGGAAAACCGTGGACCGCGTGCTCCAGTGGTAGTGCCCTGACGGAGAAAAAGTCAGTCGACAAATATGCCATCTTGTCCGATCATATTATTTCTTTTTGTAGGGCTTCCCGATACTTCTCGAGAACGCCTTCGATGACATCTGTTCCATGGCGGACGTCGTTATAGCGCATGGCTATGAGCTGTTCGCAACCCAAGGAATTAGGTCTCAAATTCCTTTAACAAAAGAAAGGTTTTCGTCAAAGGAATAGGAAAAGAGAGAGAGAGTACCTACTGGAAACTGCTTGCAAACCACAAAGACTAGATTAGGCTCAGCGCGGACCCCAGCCCGCCTCCTCTCTCCATCTCTTTCAAGATAGCTTTCTGCAAACTCGTATTATCATACTCGAACTTCTCCGGTCCGAATCCCCCAAACACCGGATCCCAATTAAACGTTAAACTCCCAGGCTTCTCAAACCCATCGTCATCAACAATAGATGACCACTATACATGATATTTCCTGTGATTGTGGGGTCCGCCTAGGGTTTGCGTAGCTCATGTAGCTCAGCCTGGGATGTCAGGCACTAGTGGCTCCAGACCTCATTGCGCAGCATTTTGTGGATCAGGTTGCGGATCAACGGTTTGAAGAGACTGCGCATGACTGGGAGGACGATGGTAGTGTGCCAAACCAGCAGTGTAGGCAATGGGTGCGAGCTGGTAGCGGTATGCATCTAAGAATGCTTGGTCCGGATCCTGTGTGACCATATGTGGCCAGTCACTGTCGAGACTGGTGTGCCGATATTGTAGAAGTGGCGGAGGTGACCGGCCTGCTCTGAGGAAAGTTTGGGACATTTGGAGAGATCTAGAGGCAGGGTTTTTGGGAGAGATGCGATTGTTTCCTAGTGGCTGGTAGTTGGTGGCGTGAAAATATCTGGGCAAACGAAAGAAAAATGGAAATAGAAAGGGAGATGCGTGAATCTTGATTGACTTGGAAGGTAGAAGAATGGCCTTTCTTATATCATGGTGATCTACCGGCTGTGCGCAGGGCTGGTTCGGGGATAGAAGGCAGGCTACGGGTGTCTCTGGCATGTTATCATTGTCGGAGAGCTGAAATAGCCAGTCTACTCGAGTTACCATCAAGTTGAGAACCGGCCATATTCTCCGTAGAGGCATCTATCATCAGCGCAAAAATAACATCCTCCTGCCAGACGTACTTTTCGGGCACTCCTCGGGGAAATCGATCGTTGTTGCCCACATGTCCACTCCACTCAAAGGATTTAGGCCCCAGGGCTAGAAAAGTCCATCCATTCCTCCCCCACCCCCAGGTGTTCGTGACATAAGAGGCGGAGCCTGTCACCACGTTCACCAGCTCACAAAAAGGAAAAGCATTGATATCTATCATTCCGTTCGTCGAATACCGCATCTGATTGCCGAGAGCTTTTAGTCAGCCATTTGACAGACCACCGTTCTCGAGATATCATCGAGTCCCACCTAAAACCATTTGACAGGGAAGGTGCTTGATTGGAGAGAAAGCTAGTGTTTCGACCGGGCATGTCAAAAAGATAATATGAAGGTAATCCTCAGCCCTGAGGGAGAACATGCCAGGTTAACATAGCAAATTGGAATGGAACGTGTAAGGCGAAAACAGTATGGACCATGATGTAGAATAATGTAGAATGATGCGAATATCATCATCAACGGCAACAACCATGGACGATATTGAATGAGACAGTGGCGCTCAAAAGGGCGATTTAGAGACGGAAAACATGGTGAGGCCTTCATCATTCAGACAATGAGATGATCGCCAACCATCTCTGACATCCATCGAGATGTAAGACTACAACAGAGCGAATTGGATTTAAATAGTTCATTGTTAAGTCCGTTTCCTCAAGGGCTTTGTTGACCATCCCGAGGTCATTCCATAGTTCAATGGGAACGTATACAGCGTGCTCTCCCGAAAAAGCGACCTTTTCGGGAATCAAGATAAGTTCCGCGCTATGGTCTTGAGCGCCAACTTATTTTTTTCCTTCCTTTTTTTGTGCCTTTCGCTGGATCTTGAGACAGCTCGTTGGTGGTAGGAATGCGTTGCATAGAAACAAACTGTGACCGAGCTTTCTAAGGTTCAGATGCGAAAAGTGTGGGAAAGTTACTTTAAGCTTAATTAGGGTCTTGGCACTACATGGCTCTATTTTTAGGACATCGATCCACGCCCCAGGCACTCACCAAACATGAACACTTGTCCTGCTCAATCAAGGGGGAAATCATATCAATTGAACATTTCAGAGCCTCTTCCTTTGGGACACGACTCAAGGGTTTCTATTCTCCGCTTTCCACAACATCATGTTATTCGGGCTTTGTAAGGACTCGAGATATGGACAACCATCCACTAACTAACAATTGTCAAGAAAATAACAGCATCAGGATAAGTCAGAAAAGTGGACATCAGTAGCTCATTTTACTCCTGAGAAGCTCACTGTGCCTTCTGCGATCATGGGCTATATAGTTCATAGTGTCAATGGATCAACTAGTTGCTGCCCTACTTGTGCTAAGTCTGGGCATATATCTGCGGAGTGAGCATCATGACCCCTCAGCCAAATATGGTATTATGGGAAAAAGCTAAGGAAATGGGGTTTGGAATTTGTTTAGATAAGGTTTCGTACGAGAAGCGACAGCTAAGGAGGTAGGGATAAGGCTCTCTCTCACAGAATACTACATACATCCAATTTCTGCGAATTACAGGACCATGAGGGGCTTTGAAATTAGAAGCCAAGGCTTTAGTTGAGCAGATTGTAGTAGACCTTTCATAGCGACACTTCAAATTCTACAACCGCTGCGTAACCCAACCCTACTAGGCGGGTAAGTGCGGAGAAGTGTGGAATGGTTAAAAAAACAACTCTTCTATGGCTAAAAGCGAGAGGGAGGACGACTTTCTCACTTTCCAGTAGGAAGTAGGAATAGCACTTGAAATATCACAATCAGCTAAAAGAGCACATTTCCCGGGGCGAGGATACAAAATAGTGAGGTTACTTTATGGTATCTAAAAAACCCATAAGATGGCCAGGTAATAGCCCCCACTACTATGTAGATAACTTCTGCAGTCAAAGAGAGAGCAGTAGATCTACTTAGCAAGCGGGGTGGGGGGCGTTGTAGGTATTTGATATTTTGATCCCCATTCTTTTTTATCAAAATGTTTTGAATAATCTCTCTTTACATCGGTATGGAGCCTTTCTGACACTTACTTTGCCAGCGGTGAGGATGAGGAAGAATGAGGTCATCAATGACGATTGATTCTCTCGTGCACTGTCCTATACAAGACATGTTGACTTAGGAGTATGTCGCACGCAGGACGAATAACTCTGAATTGTGGATTGGCGTGAGGCTTTTGGCCCTTGATGTGCTGGATGCTGACATCGGTATTTAAGGATATCCGGCAGAGAGAGGGTCGAAGGGCCCCATTATTAGCTCTCCACACCGATAACTTGAAGACAGGATCTGAATTGCGGAACCAACCGGATGAGCAGCATGATGTGATTGAGATATGTGTGGCTTGTTTCAGGGTGTCGGCTGGGAGCTGGGATGTGAAGGTGGGGTGGAAATTCAGCCACCTATGAACGCAGGAGATGATTTAACGAGGAGGGAGAGGAGAAAATGTGGTCTTCTCTGATTCCTGGATTTTCTTTTTGCTTTCGGCTTTTCTTGACTCCATTGGGGGAGATTCGGGCGATAGAAACAGCTGGACACAGGCTCACCCCCGTGCTTGGATTAATTTTCATCGACCATCCATACTGCTATTGGGGCAGAGAAGGTGTTTTTAGTAAAATTCTAAATACAGCTTCGGAATGCGCAGTCTTGGTCTTGTGGCATTTTTTTTTGGCCGTGGAGAAACTTGAGTTTACCCCTCCATTGACTGGCCTGTTGAGCTGCCGATTCCTTGCGCTGTGGGACTAGTTGGAAAAATCCGGCCGAGATATGCACACCTGCAATTCTTATTAGAGAAGAGGGCCATATTTATTAGTAAAAGCGTGCATAAACTCTCACTTGAGCGTAGACACATTCCGAGGTAATATATTATAAGTGTATCAAGTGTAACATCCATATCATAACAATCGCTGGGGTTATCAGGACAATTTCTCCTGGATGTGTCCATTCGGATCGACGAAAATAGGTCTCTGAGCCTTTGAGGCTGCCGTTTTCGCTAGGCATCGATTCAGCTGAAGATCAGAGATTCAGGCAAGGGTCGATTCTTTTGGCCTGGTGTTGGAGGCTTGGAAGGTTGGAGGCTGGTGAGATTACTTGGGGGCATCATCGGGGCAGCATCGGGGCCGCATCGGGGAAGCGGCACGCCTGGGCAGCCGGGACTAGCCCCTATTCGCCGCTGGGTTTCTCGGTAGCCAGCAGCCACTAGCCACGCCCAAGGCTTGGGGCTTAAGCCTGCTGCGACTGGAAGGCTTCTGATAGGCCAGCTGGGCACGCTTCAGCCTCCCAACTCCGACTAAGCTCCGGATTAGCATCTGGAGCACTTCCCACCACACTGACATGACCGCAGACCAACCACCAGCTTGTTGTTGCTGCTGCTGCTGCTCGCCCACAAAACATTGGCCTCTTCCGTAGATTGTGTTCATAATTGTCTCCCCTTTTCGTTCTGCTGCTCTGTTCAGTATCCCTTCTTTGCTTCTCTTGGTGTCTGTGGTTGCGTGTGTCGTGTCGTGTTGCGACGTGTTGTTTTTGTCTTCCTAAGCTATGTCCCCGCTGATGACGCCCGCTGTTGCTGGTGTCTGACCGCTCCCTCCACCAGCTGGTCAACAAATAGCCAAATCACGACCACAGACCCAGATCGAGATTCAGATCCAGGAACCTCTCATCCTCGTTTATTCCTCTCCTTGTCAACCCCCTTCTTCTGTCGGGTTTATCCCTCTTGCGTGCATATAGAAATCATTCCCCCTTTCCACATTCCACCCTTCCACTTCTTCAGCTGAGACACTCCAATTCTTGTTCTTCCCAAAGACAGCTGTTGGTGCTTCATTGTTGTCTTTTAGATCTCCTATGCTCGTCTCTCTCCAGGATCGCTGAATATCTCCTCGAGAATCGTGCTGTTTCCTACTACTACCACCACCACTACTACTAGGCACCTCCACTACTACTAGGCACCTCCAACTTCCTCGCCCTCAGCTCTCGCTGGGTCGTCCCGCTCACCTCCTCTCGTTGACCGTTAAATCTGGTTGCATCCACTTCCCCGCCCCAAGCTTGTGACGACCGTTTCTCCGTCGAACTCCGTTCGCCTTCATAGTCTTAAACACATCCCAACATGGTTCGGATATCGCTGCCACGTCGCGTCGGGAGCCATCTGAGCGCCAAAAGCAATGCTATGCCTCCTTCGGGCGATCTCAGTCCTGCCCTTACGCCCTCAGGCACCGATACCAAACCGCTGATTCTCAAGGCCACTGTGATATCTGTATGCACACCATTGGTTCCCCTGTCTATATGCGGGTCTATGAGACCAACAGTACTTGTGTGTGATGGAGCAGAAGCTAATTAGGTTGTTTATCCGTAGGGGAGAAACCTAGCACCGAAGGACAGAAATGGCTTGAGTGATCCCGTGAGCTTTCCCTACCCATCATACCCTGTCACCTTGTCCGATCTTGCCGACTGATTTTGTTTTGCGTCTTCCTGTTCTTGATGTACGCAGTACTTGGTTGTAAGCTTAGGCGAAGCTCGACAGTCCACTCCCACGATAACCAAAACGTTGAATCCAGAATGGAACGTCTCTTTCGACTTACCAATCCTTGGGGTACCCCTCCTCGAATGCATATGTTGGGATAAAGATAGATTTGGCAAAGACTACATGGGGGAATTCGATATACCTCTGGAAGATATCTTTTCTGCTGGAACGATCCAGCCACAGGTGGGTTCCCCTGTTTGGGAAGAGGTCGCGTGAACCATACTTTGTTTGCATGCGGCTGATGGTTGGTATATAGCCGCAATGGTATACGCTTCACTCTGGGAGGAAAGCGGGAAGGAAGAGTGGCGATGTATCTGGTGAAATTCAGATGCAATTCACTCTCTTTGATCCTACGAACCCGTCTGCTGAGCCAAACGAGATCCTTCAGAAATTTAAAGTATTAGTGTCTAGCGATGATGAGGACGAAATTATCCCTGTTACTTCCCCTGACACAGACGACCTCGAGAAGGAGGACGAGACAACTGATGGAACCGATGATCCCACCAAGCCAGATGTCGTCGAGAAGCGCCGGCGCAAACTTCGACTTGCCCGTTTGAAACGCAAATCCATCGCTGCTAGAGCTTATGAGTTCTCAGGCTCCAAGGATGGCGTCTCCGGGATTGTGTTTATGGAAATAGTGAAGATCTTAGATTTGCCTCCAGAGAGGAATAGTAAGCAGCCTCATCGCCCCAATTTATTTTTATTGTTTTTCTTTTTCCGGATACAACAATCCTAATCGGCACCGTACTTCAGTGACACGTACCTCTTTCGACATGGATCCCTTCGTTGTTACTTCTTTGGGCAAGAAAACGCTCAGAACGCGCGTTATACGCCATAATCTAAACCCTGTTTTCGAGGAGAAAATGGTTTTCCAAGTTATGAAACATGAGCAGTCGTATTGTATTTCCTTCACAGTCATTGACAGGGATAAGCTATCCGGGAACGATTTCGTTGCATCGTCCAGTTTCCCCTTACACACACTTACACTGGCAGCACCAGTTGCAGACCCAGAGACGGGTTTATACAATTTACCTGGACCGCCATCGGAACCTTCACCCACACCACCCGCTACTAAATCGCGATTCCGCCTCAATTTGTCTCGATCTTCATCGGCTACTAGTTTGACGAAGCTGGCAAAGCCATCACTGAGGACGAAGAGTTCAGCAACATCGTTATCTAGCCAATCTGGGCAAGAACAACAAAGCACTACCCCTCCCAATGTCCCATCTGAGGCGTGTTCCCAGTTAAACCTTCCAGCATCTGGGAATATGGTAGAAGAGCCCGAAATTCCTGCTGATGAATATGGTCTCAAGACTTACATCATCCCACTTGTTCTTAAAAACAAGGAGCGCTGGGAGGACAAGCATTTCCCTGAACTTCATGTGAAAGCGAAATATATGCCGTACCCGGCCTTGCGCCAGCAGTTTTGGAGAGCAATGCTGAAACAGTATGACGCTGATGATAGCGCGCGCATCAGCAAAGTTGAACTGACGACAATGCTTGGCACTCTGGGTTCGACGCTCAAAGAGTCAACCATAGATGGGTTCTTTAAGCGGTTCGCGGCGGAAAATGAACCTAGCGAAACCGTAGACCTCACATTTGACCAAGCTGTTATATGCCTGGAGGATACTCTTCAGTCCCTGCAGAAAAAATCTTTGAGTGACAAGATGAGAGACAATATTCCTCACCATCCAGGCAAAGAGAGCTCCGAAAGTGCGAATCAATCCAGTAGTGAGGACAACGTACCTGAAATTAGCCTCACACTGCCTTCAAATACTGATCCTGAGCGACCAGCTATACCCACCATTTCTCGTGATGAACCTAGCTCTTCTGGGGACAGCGAATATAACCTCCACCCCGATGACCTTGGCGAGGATGGAGGTGAGGAACATGTGGTCGAAGTTCGAGAATGCCCAATTTGCCATCAGCCACGACTCGGAAAGAGATCAGACGCCGATATCATAACCCATATTGCTACCTGCGTCAGTCAAGATTGGAGACAGGTTGATAATCTGGTTATGGGTGGTTTTGTAACATCTAGCCAGGCGCAGCGGAAGTGGTATTCGAAAGTTATTACGAAGATATCCTACGGTGGCTATAAACTTGGTGCAAACTCTGCCAACATCCTTGTTCAGGATAGGATCACGGGACAGATTAACGAGGAGCGGATGAGTGTTTACGTTAGACTTGGGATTCGACTACTTTACAAAGGGTTGAAGAGTAGGGAAATGGAGAAGAAACGAAGTAAGTACCCAAACGTATCTTTCGTCCGTTTGGCGCTGCAACAGCGGTTATGCTGACCAAATCGCAGTTCGGAAAATGCTCAAGTCATTGAGTATTAAGCAAGGAAAGAAGTATGATGACCCTGCTTCCGCAGCTCAAATCGTACCTTTCATCAACTTCCACCAGCTGGATATGTCCGAAGTTCTCCTTCCCCTGAACGAATTCAAATCATTCAATGAGTTTTTCTACCGCGCTCTGAAGCCAGGTGCCCGCCCTTGCTCTGCGCCAAATAACCCCAAAATCGTCGTATCGCCAGCGGATTGTCGGTCTGTTGTCTTCGACCGCATCGACGAAGCTACTAAGATTTGGGTCAAGGGAAGGGAGTTCTCCGTGGAACGACTCCTGGGCAAGGCCTACCCGGAGGACGCGAAGCGGTACAAGAACGGCGCCCTGGGAATATTCCGATTGGCCCCACAAGACTACCACCGCTTCCACATCCCCGTCGATGGCATGATGGGGACGCCCAAAACCATCGAGGGTGAATACTACACCGTTAATCCAATGGCGATCCGTTCCGCGCTGGATGTATACGGAGAAAACGTGCGGATCATAGTTCCTATCGATTCGGTTGAGCATGGTCGTGTCATGGTCATTTGCGTCGGAGCAATGATGGTTGGAAGCACTGTTATTACCGCTGAAGGAGGCCAGAAGGTGGCGCGTGGGGACGAGCTGGGTTATTTCAAATTCGGCGGTAGTACGTTATTAGTCTTGTTCGAACCGGGCAAGATAGCCTTCGATTCGGACCTTGTCGGAAATTCACTAGGAGCCCTTGAGACTTTGGTAAGTTTGGCCATTTATCTACCCCATGGGAAAAACAAGCAATGGGAAAGCAAAGAAACGGGAGGGGATGAATCCTCGCCTTATTGTCTTTTTGAAATATGTATTTCGTTTTCTAACTATAACCATTCCCTTAGGTCCGCGTTGGTATGTCAATTGGCCACCACCCTGACGAACCTGAATACACTCCCGACATGCGGAAGAGCGAGGAGAGTATCACGGCGGAGGACCGAGCAGAGGCAATGCGCAGAATCGAAGGGAGCTTGAATGCACCATCTGACGAATAGGCAGAGATGCAATTCGGTAAGCTTCGGGGTTAGAGAATTCTAGATACTAGATATATATGGGTCGATGCGTTTAGATCTTAGACTCCGGAAACTTGGACATTTGGGCCTAGACAGGAAAGCAGGCACGCAAACGGAAAATATAGAAGACGGGAGGCGGAACTTCGAAAGCCATGACTGACTCCATAGATGATTCAACAACATTAGGAAAATGTCCCTATAACATGGAATGATGACGACCCGTGATGACGGTATATTTGTCTACGATATGTTTTTAGTTTTTGTTGATATTATTTCATGTATACTCTTCTCTTTTCTTGTTAATATCAAAGGTTTTTTTTGAAATCTTAATACAAAGCAAAACAAGTTATTTTAAACAGCTCGTCTGCAATTTAATGTCAGGAGAACATTTCTACCGATTGCGATTCGAGCCCCTATGAAGAAATATTTCTGTCCGTTCCCAATAGATCCCATTGCGATTGATATACTCCGTACATGATATTGATAGAGCCTTCAACCCTATACGCTACTCCCTAATTGGACTAGCTTAGATCCACTGTCGAGTGCTGACATAATATTTGACGACGCGCCAAGACCAAAACAACTCCGGGACGATGATCAGGATGATTGATAGGTGTGAAATCGATAAAAGGGAAACGGGCACACACAATACTTATCCATCATAGTGCATTAACGCCTGACCCCGTTATACGATACCTCGGGAATGCGCAAATCCTTTACGTTCGTGACGGCCGATTACTTGTGTTGTGCCTCTGTGTGGAAGGGAACGAACAGCCAATTCACGGACAGGAGGGAATAAGGATACTGAGGGGGAGAACGAACGAAGCACACGGACGACACAGACGATACTCCACATTTCGCTACGATTATAGGACCTTGCCGGTTGGGATATAAGAAGGGTATTTTCATTGTTCGGGCCGCCTGGGGAAATGCTGCGAGACGGATTGGGTGTCGCTAAGAGTAGATTCGGATAACGCATTTCGTGTGAATTTGCGATTGGAACTTTATCGCGCGGACACTATAGGAAGGGACTGGAAAGCAAGGACGAGAAATTTACGATCGCGGGTTGGCGGCTACGACTTTTCACGGCTCAGTGGGCGCGTAATCTTTTATCATCTAACGAACTGTTGGTTGTTGCGGGCGACATAGGGAGAGTCCAAAAAACGGAAGCACCTACACAGAAATCCAGCGCGTCGCATGTACATATAACGAAACCGCCGGTGGATAGAAGCAATCCGAAACCCGTCACATATCTCCGCGTGTTTCACTCGCCCTCTCACACTGAGCGAGCCGGCGTCACTCAAACTCGCGACAACTACGACAGCAACCGAGGGAAAACTTGTCTGCGCTGATCAGCTGGACATGACAGCCACTTTCACAACTACTGCAGCCACAATCAGTACACGAAGCACGACAAATCATATCATAGATTTTGGAGATAGCAGGCCAAGCAGGTACGACCAGGGGACGACGCGTAGTCGCTCTCCGCTGACGACTATCGATCCGGTGATGTCGCAGGCGCGCGGGCGGCTGCCAAATGGGAATGGAACGAAGAGGAGCGTGAAAGGAGGGCCTGAGAAGGGTGCGAATGGATGGGGCGGGAAGAGAAAGGCTGGTGAGTGGCTCTTTTCGCTTTGCTGTTTCAGTCGCTGGAAGAGGGATGGGATGATTTTTGCACTGGTTGCCAAGGTCTGAGGGCACCTTGTGGGTTATCAATGCTAATTTTCACTTTCGCTTTCTCTACCATACAGCTGAATATGACGAGGATGTTGAAGGGTTCCAGTTCACTCGCGCAACTGCCACGAAGAAATCGAAGCCCGCTGCAATCGATGAGAACTCAGTCCCACAACCGCTAAGGGATGATGATACACAACAACAAGAACAAGTTGTCCGGAAGCAGAAGGGGAGAGGGAGACCTCCCAAATCCACAGACGCATCGCGCCATGTAACATTTGAGACTCCGAATGGAAAGCTCCCCACTCGGCCACTTCGACGAACGTCTAAACGGCTGGCTGAAGAGGAGCCAACCGCAATAGTAACGGAGAAGTCATCAAAATCCAGGCAGAAATCGCATGATGTCGAACCAGCAGCGATCACAATTACAAAAAAGCGGGGGTCAAGTAAGACCAAAGATCCACAAATGGCGCCTCCAACGGAGGAGACGGAAGGGCAAGGTACTACGCCATTGGCAGATACGAACACGCAGAAGATTGCACTTCCCTTGGCGGATACGCCTGTCATTCGCAAAAATAAGGAAATGCGGATGGAGAAGAGCCAAAAGGGCCAGAGGCGGAGTAGTCTTGGGAGAAGAGGGAGGAGGGCGAGTTTGTTGATTGAATCCGGGGTGTCGAATGGTGTGTTTTTTGTGCTTTTATATACGATTTTGCTTATTCCCTTTTCCTATCCGCCGTGGTTATTCTGTAGCTAGGAAAAGTTGCTGATACAGTCATGTTTCTACCGATAGCGTTACCGCATGACCAAGTCGATACGGCGCACTTCTACAAACACATCGAGTGTGAGGGGTTGTCGGAGCCGAAGAGAATGCGACAGTTACTAACGTGGTGCGCGACTCGGGCGTTGGGGGAAAAGCCGACCGGGTCCAGGTCCGGGGATGAAAGCGCGAGATTAGCTGGTATGTTTTTCAAGTTGAGAACGGGCATCATTTGATGCAACGATTTGAAGTGTTACTAACTGCATTCCCTCATGTAGCGCGGGTAATACAAGAGGAACTGCTCGAAGATTTTGCGAATCGTCCAGAGCTTTCGGACTGGTTTAGCCGGCAAGAATCGGAACCCGCGGCTGTTGTGGTAAAGAAACCAAACCCGAGAAATATACAGAACGCGGGGAGGATTAAAGAATTGGAGGCACAGATACACAAGTATGCAGTTCAATGCAGTTCAATGCAGTTCATTTTTTTATGCATACAACCAAAGCAAATACTAACTCTATACGGCAGACTTCAACTAGAACGACAATCACTCACATCCCTACTCCGTCCCCCGTCCATTCCAAGAATAAGACCTCCATCTTCGACATCCGCACAATCCTCCGATACCCAACAACCATCCACATCCACTCCACAACTAGATGCGATAAACCCCGACCTCCTCGACCCTTCACAACTAGCTATCCTGACTTCTCTAAACCCATCAAACATTACTTCCACCTCTACCGATAAATCTACACCAACCCAACAAGCAGACCCATCCTATACTTCCATATCCAACATAACGTCCCGCCTCTCCCGCCTAACAACTTCTTTAATACCAACACTCGACTCCTTCGCCTCGGGAATCCACGACGTAGAACTCTTCCGCCGCGCAGCGGATGACGTGGCGGGGCAGGTTCTTGCGATCTGTGCGCGTCGATTGGAAGAGCGCGATCGGTTACGGCCAAGAGGAGTTGGCGGGGAGGAGCTGGGAGTTAGCAGTAATGGTCGTACGATGAGAACGAGAAGGAGAAAGGGGAAGCAGAAAGTTGGAGAGTCGGGGGCGTACGAGGAGGAGGGAGAGGGCGAAGAGGGAGGTGCAGATTCAGATGGTGATGGAGCGGATGATTTTAGAATAGAGAAGGAAGACTTGGCGATTGTGTTGGGTGCGTTGAGCCGGTTGGAGAGCAGATAGTTAGAGTGTTGCCCTTTTTCTTTTCTTTTTTTTACTTCTTTTTCTGTTTTCCCCCGCGGGTTGATGATGATAGCATAGCGTCCTTGGAACATGTAAATTGGCCCAGCTAGACGAGCCCTATACCTTGCTGTTAACTTCATTTATTTTTAGGGTTTTCAAAAAATCCCGTTAGTTCATGGCATTCAAACACGTACGTGCCACTACACTTCTGTTGCAATTTCTATACATTTTGATAAAGTTCTGATTGTGAATTATTATCTATTTGTCTGTTCTGTTGAATCGGGTTATACATACTTATTTGCTAACCCAGAAATTTAAGACTACTAATTGAAGAAGATGTACAGTACTCCGTAATGACTATAGTATTTTTAGCTCTGTTTTGTTGAGCAAGCGTCCTCCATCAGCGATGGATTATATAGATTTGAATAACCGGCTACAAGTATATGTCATATTCAGGGGTTCGGGTAAACCTTGTTCATCTATTTGGGTTATTCCAAGGTTAGCAAGCTAGTAGCCAATATTGGATATATTGCATAGTTATACAATAGGATGAACGCCGCTCTAGGAGCTTGTGTAACTACAGTATGTGCTCTAAATTTAGATCAATGAACTCATTCAATCGTCATCCAGTTCTTATCGTTTTTCGTTTCCCTCTTCTATGTAGCTCCATGTAAACGCCACAACCCTCACTTCTTATTTGGTGAGTATCCATCCAATTCTAAAAACGCTTATCAAGTCCGTTCTATAAAATACACGATAAGATAGTGTAAAATAAGGAATCTAGACCCATCATTCCGAAGTATAGTCCTTAAAGTTCGCATTTTCTGCATCCCGATCCAACATATATGAAAATCGTTCTTTATTCGCCTTCACATATTGCGGTGCGTCATAACCCGATTGTACACGCTCATACAACTGGCCCTCACGATCGAACAGGTCCAGCCCATTCCGAACCCTTCGCACGATTTCCTGCGGCTCCCGGAACTCCGGCTTGTTGTACTCTGTGTGGGAAAAGCTCTCCAGCTTCTTCGCCATCTCAGCCACTGTTGAAAAGCAGGAGCTGCAGTGCCAGCTGGCATTCCACAGATCAAGTGCGCCGCCACCCATCCGTAGGTCTTCTGGTTTGATTGTTTTCTCTGGCCCTTGGTAGAATGTCGCTTGGGGATGGTGCCATTCATCGCCGACATGTTGCCATTGGAAGGAGTAGTAGAAGAAACGGCTGCGGAGGGTGACACGCTCCGGAAAGGCGCAGTTTCTGAGAACGTTCAGGGTAGATGGCCGGGGAATTTCGTCGACGTCTGATACCAGGATAACATCATTGAGTAAAGGCTCCGCATCACCGACTAAACTGGGAAAGACAGAATCGAAGAGTCCGTTGCGAAGGAAAGCTTCACGCTCCCAGGTGCTGTTGGATCCTAAGCTGGAGATATCGAGATTGTGGTAAAGTATTTGAGATTGGAAAGGAGCGAAGCGGGTAAAGTTCTCCTTGAAATGGAGAGGCTTGGGTTTCTGAGTAAATGTATGCGCCGATTCGACTATAACGAAGTAGTCGACATGGTGTTTGAGCTCATTCATACGAACTTCAAGCCAGTCTAGCTCGGTGCTGACCAACATGAGGTCGTAGATCTTGCGATGTTGTGCTCGCTCCGGGAAGATTGATAGGTCGTACGTGCTGCACAGCGTTTGGGCTTTGGCAGTGGATAGGAAGCCATTGTTTGGAGCGCTCCTGGAATGAAATCGTAGGTGCCGGTATGGCGTGCGGTTGACAAGATCATACGTCAAGACCAGTAACACTGATATGAGTAGGCCCCGCCATATTCTATTCGGTTGCTTAGACATTCGTACGCCTCAGTTTGCTGTGGTTCTGAAGTTATAAAACGAATCCAGCATGCTAGGAGAAGTAGCACCGTGTGCTTCATAGTCTACCGGAGTTGTAAATCCTTGAAGATGGCCCCAAGGGAATGACTTGGACACAACAAGGCATAATATATTTTCAAATTATGAATAAACCGGATAATGCACGTTTCTCTACCTCCGTCGTTTCCAAGATTGACCAACAGCGGATGCCCAACAGGAGGACATAGGAGGGGCTCACTCCCTTAGCTGTGATCAAGGCATAATTATCCCCTTTGCAGAGATCTCTTTCAAGGCTGCCTATTATTTAACATCTTATTGCCAATCTGGACCATCAATTGGTCAAGGGTCCCGGACCGCGGGATTTCAGGTTAGAACAAAGCTGATATAGAGGCGGAAAAAGAAAATATAGATCGAATAGTTAGTTTCCCCAAATCTCAAGCCAGTCATCCGCGGCACGCCCCATAACATACACACTGGCTACATCGAAAAAAGAAATAACAGGAAAGGGAAAAGAGAGAATGTAAGAGAAGTTACCTAATAGGTTATTTGTTCTTTTCTCATTTGTTATTCATCAACTGTGTGCCTGACGAGGAGATGTGCTGATCGTTGAATTTCCTTGTATTGGACAAATATCAACAGAAACTTGAGCGGGAGTTGGAGTCGAAACAGTCTCGACTACATCGGAACAAATGTTGATATGGACGCCAGCCACCTTTCGACCTGCTGCAGAGTGGGATTGCTGAGGTCAGGATATTGAAATCTGTCATCTAGTGAACATGGATATTTCCCTCATTCCTCATTGATTGATCTTCGAAGTGGTGCAGATGGTCCTCCTGGTTGATGTGCCCTTCCTTCACTAAGCAAATATATACCCACTCCATCTGTACAAGACAATATGGGCGTCAATGCTGTGTCGCTTTGTCGATGGACTTTTAAACGAGGCCCCTTCGTCTATTTAATAATTTTCGTGGTGACCATCTGCGTCTACCTCAATGTGAAATCCATAGCAGTCGGATTCTCTGAGTGGAATTCTCAAGTGGACATGAAGGCCCTGCGGCCTGTTACCACAATCACATCATGTCCTTCTTTGAAACCCAATCTTATTCTGAGCGCCGTGGATGGAGCGAAAATGTTGGACCAGATATTCATCTTTATGCAGTCGCTGGAGCTGGCAGTCGGCCACGATGTGCCAGACCACTCTGCCTGCCTCCCAGTCAAAGTCCTCGTGAAAATCATCACTCCTCCCGACGTCGCTCGAACCCCCTCAGACGGTTTCAAAGCTCTGCTTGAAAGGTACCCCTCTCTGGAATTCGTCGGGGTGCTACCCGAAACGGATGCACCTATTGTCATGAGGCGGTTTCAGGGGTTCGCCAATTTCGTTGGGGGCGTGCCGACTGCTTGGGACAAGATACTCGTTTGCGACCTCGACGTGGCATTCCAGCGCAACCCATTTAACATGGAGATGGGAAGCGGTACTGAACTGCTCTACTTCGCAGAGTGGCGCGGCTTGAAAATTGGTCAATGTAAAGTGCATGTTGGTTGGTTCGATGCGTGCGCTCGTTCCTATATGTCGCAAAACCAAGCGGAGTCTTACAAGTCCCTGGATCGCCTGTGTGCCGGGTCGACATACGGTACTGCAATGGCAATGGCAGTGTATTTGCGGACCATGGCAGCGGAGCTGATGTGGTCAAAGTATGAATGCAATGATCAGGCTATCCACATCCATATATTCTATTCAAAGTTACTCGACACCAAGTTGACTCAAGCGGGGCTCGGACACGCATCCATGGTGCCGAATGAAGAGGCGCTCTTTGGCACGGTCGGCACAACACCGATTGTGAATATCAATGAGTGGGGCGAGGCATTGAACGAGAGGGGAGACGTTCAATATGCCGTGCATCAGTACAAGACACACCGTCGCCTGTCGGAGATTATTTGGAAACGATACGGCTGGATAACGGAGGTCACAGGGAAAGCCGTGCATTCCGTTCCAGATTTGATAGAGGATACAGAATGGAGTAAAGAAATGTCGACTGGAAGCGGAAAGCTGGCCCGTTTCAAACTAGGGAGTGCTACTTCTGAGTTATGTGCAGGTGAGGGGACAATGTGTTCGTGTAAATATGAGGATTGCCAGATGGATTATGGGGAGTTTGAACCTTGAATGTCACCGCAAGTATGTCAAAACAATAATGAATGGTTGCTCGTATAATTTATCTATTAATCAGTCCCCAGTCAATAAACATTAAATTCCATGTACCACTCACGCTTTCCAAAACTGATCACCAAGACACTGTATAACCTCCCAAAAAAATTAAGTACATGTACACAGATGGTTAAATAGCAGCTGACGTTATATCAACATTATAATCCCTCAAGTGGGAGGGGGGGTGGCAATAGAATCATACAACATAAACATTCTCATCCATCCCTGGGCATCTATTTCACGACTTCGTCCTCTCTGCCCTTTTCCGGTTGAGAACCTTTCGCATTCCTCCCATGCATCACAAACGAGTACAGCATGATCCCTAATATTGCGAAAAGGATACCAAACTTGCTTTCAAAACCCACTACCTTTTCGCTCGTGGCCCAGCCAAGTCCAACGATGACGCAAGTTTTTAGGTGGCCAGTCACGGTACTACTGACCGGGCCTGCATGGTCGATAATGAAGAAGAGAGAGAGGTTGACGATACAGGCGCAAGCTCCACTGATCACAAGTAACATCCATTGTCGAGGGACCACGTCACCCCAAACAGGAAATGTATCTGTGAGAACGCTGAAGATGAAGAGAAGCAATGCGCCGAAGGGGACCTGATTATAAAGTAACTGCATACTATCCATCTTCAGCTTTTTGTGATACTGTGCAACCCAAAGGGTGTATATCGCGCTGATAGTGACGCCAGCAAATGAGAAGGCCACGCCAAGCGCTGAGGTAGTTTCTACAGTGGCTTTCTTAGATTTTGAGGAGGAGTCATAGTATGATACTATCCCGACTCCGATACAGGTAGGGATAAGGGCGAGGCATGCCCTGAAAGGGATTTTCGAGCCGTAGAAGCAAAAATCGATGATGGCAGTAAGAGGAGTGAGTAGAATCCGAACGACCTGGTAGAATATGATCGTGGAAAAGGCAAGCGACAAGTTTAGGAAGACAACGTTGGCGCACATAATCAATGTGAGAGGGAGCACGGAGACGATACTCGCCCGTACTGGGACGAATAAGCGCACTTTCGGGCGAGAAGTTAAGTATAACATCGCCGATGTGATGAAAAAGTGGAAGGCGACAAAGCCCAGAGGGCATCTCCCTAGGGACGGGTCGGTGAAGATTAATTTATTAACATAGACCTATATTTCGCTGTTAGTCATTATCTGTTCTCTTAATATCGCATGGGCTCTAAGTAACGAAGGGGGACGGGCATACAATCGCCGTTGTCGCCAACACATTCACCGTTATCCACGCAACAAGAGGCCAATTTTGACCTTTGCTTGCTTTCGGTGACGGGGTAACCGCCGCTTCCTCAATATCTATCTCCTTCATCTTGAATCGCCGATGTGTTACTTCCGCCGTCTACAGTCCACAGCCTGCGGTTTATGTTGCCCTGCGACTGGGTAGTTTTGATCTGTTTGAGCCCGGGGGCTGTCACATAGGCGTGTGCCTAAGAGCTCCCGTATAAGCCCTTTCCTTCTAGTTAGGACATTTGACTGGCATCAAACTAGCAAGATTGGAGCGGTTCCGAGGCGGTAGGAGGTGGTCACCTTAGAGGCCAGCGATTGAATCAACGCGGGATAACCCAAATCGTCTTTGCCATGAACGGACTCCACGCGTGCGGGAACAAAACATGGCTGTCAATAATAATAGAAGCAAGCAGTGGCTGAAAAAAGCTCCTTTCTTGGCCTGCGGGCCGCGTTAGGGTAGAAGGAGTTTAGTCTCCATCCACATGTTCCCATGCGGGCTAGTCCAGGGGATTGCATCCACATCCACATGCGAATTGTGCAGCAAATATCTAGTTTTGAACGATGCAACTTCTATCCTGTTTTCCGTATAGAACTGGCGCTCCTAGCATCACCATAGGCCATGGATCGATAAACAACAGAAAAATGGCTTACGCCTACTCAAGACTATTCCGTACAGCACTGAGTCTAGATTCGTTTTCAAGAATTAATTGAGAGCGCCACTGGGAGCAGATCCCTCAAGGCCTCCCAGCACAAATGTGCGCCGACGCAAGTAAATACCAGGGAGCGCGAGCTGCTCCTTGAGTCCTTACTGGACGTTCCCACGGGCCAATAACTGCCCACTTCTAGACTACTTCTCATGCGTTTAGAAGATGCATAGGAACTCATATGGCCTCTAGGAGCCTTAGAGATGAGCCTTCCTCAGCCAATATGATGTGGTCCCGTCAGGTTAGTCGATATCGATTATCTCGCCGTTACTCTCCACCTCGAAGATGGAGAACTGCTGTGCGATTATTGTTTCTTTTATGCGCAATCACTTTGTGCTTTATGACTTTGACTTCCCTTGCACCCGAGCTATACATAAAAGAGCGACGAAGCGAATACAATACCCCGCCGATGACCGGAAACCCAAATCTCAAAGAAAACAAAGTCCTTCAGGATTCCCAGCCAGCGATGATGATTCCGGAAGCAGATATACTACCTGAGCTAGATCCTGTAGAGAAACATGATTTGGTTATGGATCCGCCGCCAGGAATACGAGAAGGCCATAGTAGGCGTATTACTACTTCACACCTCCAAACAAAAAAAGATGGAAACGTTGCTCATATTAGAGCTGGGCTTGAGTACATCCTGTCGATAATGCCGGATGAAATCCATATTAGGGAATTGTTGAAACCGATCGAGGGGACTGGGAAGGAGAAACTGCGAGAAGTCGGGCTGAGAACGAGAGCATATAACCGCTATTTCCAAGCCTGGGAAAATCTACATATTCTTGCAGAGGGTGGCATCATGTATGTGCGCGATGATATTATACAGTATCTACGAACTAACCCAAAAGCGCTGCCATCATCATCAACTTTCGCTGAGACCGTTCATCTGTATGAATCGTATCGCTCCTTTTCACAACGTTTGGCGACACATCTCTTCCCATGGACTTCCCCTGTTTTCCCCGGCCACATGCATCTCCATGTGAACTTTCAAAAAGGAGGTCGAGGGATTGTTTCCACAGCGGGAAATAAGCAAGCACCTTACCTACTTGTATCGATTAAATCTTTTCGACGACTTGGTTGCAATTTACCCATTGAGATCATGTATCTAGGTGATGGCGATCTGGGCGAAGATTATCGTGCCCAACTGGAAATGCTCCCAGGGGTTATTACAAGAGACCTTAGCCAGATGGTAAATGATGAGGGATGGGAGCTCAAGGGCTGGGCAGCCAAACCCTTCTCTATGCTACTCTCGAGTTTCCGGGAGGTCCTTTTCGTCGACGCCGATGCACTTTTCCTACAGAATCCGGAAGAACTCTTCGAAGAAAAAGCATATACAGAAACAGGCGCTTTATTCTTCAAAGACCGGCGTATCATGCCAGAATCGAAAAAGGAGTGGCTGCAACAAATTCTTCCCAGGCCCATATCTAGGAACGCCATGGCGACCAGATTTTGGACAGGCGAGAGCGGCCATATGCAAGAGTCCGGGGTTGTAGTGATCGACAAGTGGAGACATTTTATGGCAATGTTGCTTGTATGCAGGATGAACGGCTCTGATCGAGACGGGAATAAAGACGAGAATAAAATTGGTGTGTACGATATGGTTTATGGTAAGTTGCCTCCATTCCCTTAATCAACAATTTCAATCTGCTGATTCCACGTTAGGTGATAAAGAAACATTTTGGATTGGTTGGGAACTAGTTGGAGACACTCAATATGCATTTTATGGTGGAGCTACAGGCATTATTGGAAAGATTGAGGATCGTGGTTCAAAGGCTAAGGACGAGGAGACCCCGCCCAAAGATGAAATTACCCTCCAGCAGGACTCCAAAAACGGGAGACGGGCATCGTTAGAAGGAAATGAGCAAAAGCCAGAAAACTACACAATCTGCGGCCCCCAGCTACTACACTTGGATACCAATGGCATGCCGCTGTGGTTCAATGGATGGCTTCTAAGCAACAAATACGCCGATAGCAAGAAGCGGAAGCCAGCCGAGTTCGAGGCATACATGGTGGAGCCAGCTATTCCCGGGGAAGTTGATGCGTGGAAGCTTACTGAGAGCAACATTTGTTGCTTGACAGCCGATCGTACTTTTCCTGTAGATGACTCTGACAGGGAGACTGTGAAGATGCTCATTGATTTAGCCAAGGAAGTGGATGCTGTTAGCAAGCGCTAGAGAAACTTCATCCCACCCTGTGCCAATTGATAGCCGTGCTAGTCAAAATAAATCCGAACTTGGCAGCCAATGCTTTTCGGACCATCTATCCTCGCCTGGAGTACGATGACCCTCGATTAGGACTGAATGACAAGTCACTTAATCGTAGTGTATGCCAATGAGCAACAACTCCGGCGAGAAACACATGCCCTAACGATGGATTGAGCATTTATCATAGGTCCAAATGCTTAGTTCCTTCAAAACGGGTGCGCCTAGCTAACTTTTGCCAGGCAGGATGAACAAGCCGAGTGCTAATCCGGCGTATCTAAGATCTAAATGTCTATGACACGAATATCAACCTTCGGGAGCATTTATTGTTCCACGACGTCGGAGTGCTAGCAGGGATTGGACGTAAAATAAAGTTTTGTCCTGCGTCAATCTAGAGGGATATGTACTGTGCAGATGGTCAGATCTGGATAAATCTGACATGAAACCAAGAAAAACCTCCAAAAGTGCAGAGATTGCCGCATAAACAGCCGCGTTGACAACTTAAAAAAAACAAGACCAGATTTTTCAAATACTCCAAAAATCAAGATTCACAACCCCAAGCTCGTTGTTGGATATGGCATAGAGACGGCCTCGGGACGGAACAAGACGGCAAAGACACCAGTACCGTGGATTGGACTGAGAGCCCCATTTCAGACAATGTTTCTTATGGTACAGATAGCTGCATTCAAGTTGGCATCGAGCAACCGGAGCGTGTGAAAGCGAAGAGATTCCTGCTTTCGTGGATGTCGAAGAGGTTGGTCGATGGTGTTGACTGACCAACAGGCCTGGGCAGCTGACTAAGCACACGACGCAGCCTCTTTCTTGACAACCAAGCAGGTTCATGTTCAAGTTCATCATCCACACACTCCGTCGACAAGGTCTCCAGATACAGTGGTTCCTGACGGCCACATTCTCCAGATCTATTATCATGAACAAGACATGCAGGGTTATGATCCGATATTCGGGTCTGGTCTCAATCCTCCAGTTTCGTGCCTATACCCTGGGCATTCTATCAACCATTCTCCACAGACAAAGACATGTCTTTCAGGGTCTTCTCTTCTTCTAGGCTTTCATCCATACAATCGTTGATTGTATGACGCTTTTGAATGCCTAATGATTGATATCATTATAGATATCGTTAAAGATGGCGAATATATGTTGAATCGACATATATATTGCTGAGCCTCCTAGCTATCTACTTCCTATCTCTTCGGCTTCTATCTTAAGAGAAACAACACATGAGCTGAGCTACATATCTACTTGTATTAAGACTTCCACATTCATTACCACAGATTGGATTTTCATTCCACCAGTTAACCTGTGTCTCTCCATTGCAGCAATGGGGCGCGTTCTGTTACTTCCATTCCTTCTGCTTGGTGAGCTGCTCATTTGCGATGAAAACCAGGGGAGCTATAATACAGCATTTACTAAGTATTACTTGTAGGTGTCATTACATCGACCTACGCAGGAGGACAGGATGGCTATGCTGTTTGCGTAATCTGGTGTGCGTCTAAATTCAGCCATTCTGTGGCTGAATGTATCATGCTTGCAGGGCATGGAAGAGGACCTTGCTATGAGTGCGGCCCCTTCAGGACCTCTGACAACTGGCAATTTCGGAACGGCAAGTGCGTTAAAATTGGTGACGGCAAGGAACATTGCGAATATGATACGGTAAGGCAACTGACCTACTGTCGACTTCACGCTCATTTTAATCGCCATTAACTTTTTGTCTAGGGGTTGGGCTATTGCGTCCCTAGACGCCCGAATCCAAAGAGCACCAAGTCAAGGCCAACGACATTTAGAACGTCAACTAGGCGTTATCGTACGGATAAGAATGCGTATCCTACCGAGGAGTATCCTACTAACCCATACCCAACGAACGCATACCCAACAAAGGATTATCCTACTAAGAAGTACCCAACAGACACATACCCGACAGAGGAGTATCCTACCAACCCATACCCAACTGGCACTCGCCCAACAAAGGATTATCCTACTGAGAAGTATCCAGCAGACACATACCCGACAGAGGAGTATCCTACTAACCCATACCCAATGAATGCATACCCAACAAAGGATTATCCTACTGAGAAGTATCCAACAGACACATACCCGACAGAGGAGTATCCTACCAACCCATACCCAACTGGCACTCACCCAACAAAGGATTATCCTACTGAGAAGTATCCAACAGACACATACCCGACAGAGGAGTATCCTACCAACCCATACTCAACTGGCACTCACCCAACAAAGGATTATCCTACTGAGAAGTATCCAGCAGACACATACCCGACAGAGGAGTATCCTACCAGGGAGCATCCTACCAATCCATACCCAACTGGCACTCACCCAACTAAGGATTATCCTACTGAGAAGTATCCAACAGACACTTACCCGACAGAGGAGCATCCTACCAACCCTGGCACTCACCCAACTAAGGATTATCCTACTGAGAAGTATCCAGCAGACACATACCCGACAGAGGAGTATCCTACCAGGAAGTATCCTACTAACCCATACCCAACTGGTGCTTACCTGACAGAGGATTATCCTACTGAGGAGTACCCTACTGACTTATATCCCACCAAGGGGTATTCAATTAAGGGATATCCTACTAATCCATACCCAATTGATGCTTACCCAACAGAGGATTATCCTACTGAGGAGTACCCAACTGACCTATATCCCACCAAGGAGTATCCTACTAACCCATACCCAACTGGCGCTTACCCGACAGAGGATTATCCTACAGAAGAGTACCCAACTGACCTATATCCCACCGAGGAGTATCCGATTAAGGGATATCCTACGAAGGTTCAGACCAAAACACGAATTAAAACTCGTACTGAAACGCGCACTAGAACTCGCACCACTAGAACTCGCACCACTAGAACTCGCACCACTAGAACTCGCACCATAACTCGCACTCGCACTGCTACCACCACCACCACTGCAACCACAAGCCCAGTCACCACCACTACGAGCCCGGTCACCACTACCACTACGAGCCCGGTCACCACTACCACTACAACCAGCCCTGTGACAACTACAACCACCACCACAACTACACCGGTGACCACCACTACCACCACACCAGTAACCACCACCACCACCACTACCAGCCCTGCCACCACCACTACACCGGCGACCACCACTACCACCACACCAGTAACCACCACCACCACACCGGCGACCACCACCACCACCACTACCAGCCCTGCCACCACCACTACACCGGCGACCACCACTACCACCACACCAGTAACCACCACCACCACACCGGTGACCACCACCACTACTCCAGGAACCACTACCACTACACCAGCGACCACCACCACCACTACACAAATGACTACCACTACCACAACACCTGCCGTCATGTGACTGCCGTCACCGTCTGTGCAGTCATTGTCATTCCTTGATTGAAATATTTCTTTTGTCATTAGTTATTCTCTTCTATTCAGCTCCACTTAAAAACACAAGAAGAGCTTTATTATTTCAAAAAACGGATTTTCCTTAGAGAGAGAGAGTTAAAAGAATGAGTTGCCTTGGTTTGTGTTTTAAAAAAAATAATTCACTGCTATTTATTTCCTACTACTACTTAATACACTTTATTCTTTATTGCAGTTTTAATTAATTTAGGCTTTTTTCCCCCCCTTTTTCTTTTTCTTGAAATCATCTATTATGCCTTTATCTGGTCTCTTACTCCCCCCTCCCTCCTCTCTCTCAATAAACTATATATTCAGACATATCACTCGTGCAAATCTTAATGATTCTCAAAATAAAACTTGCACCTAATGCTAGCTACATTCTGCTAATCAAAGGGATTCTGTGATGCATAACATTTGGCTAGTTACATCCGGGGAATGCGCTTTTGCCTTTCGAGATACGAGGCCAGAAGCAGTGATCAATCGTTCGACCAAGCCGTTTAGCCAAATGTAATTTGTTCAGCTCCTCCTTGTCCGTGGGCGCCCATTTGGCGAGAGAGAAGCGAACAGGCCAGGATATCATGGCTCACCCAGGGGTGATTGTGGTTGCAGGCTAGTACGTACATACATTACATACAATATAGACCGATTCAGCTTAAGAAAAATTATGGGGTGATGAGGATCATCGCATCTCGGGCCTCTCTTTCCTTTAATTTTTTATGAAGATTGATTTTTCAACAGGGGAGCCAGTGATAATGGGCACGCAACGCGGTAGATTGGGATGGAGGGGTGGGAAAGATGGCCTTATATCCTACTCCTGTGCTACGTCTGTGGAATTATGTGAAAAGTATATTTATTATTTGCTACAACAAGCCGCCGTACTAAGTGTTTAACTTTTTCAAAATGAACGATTTATTGAGATAGCGGGTATGAAAGTGGAAGAAAATAATATGACCAGTATAGCACATGCACTTATTACCACATATCTTGATCTACACTATGACATTGATAAAGAAATTAGACGAGCTCGTAGCTCCCAATCCCGCGAAGGAAGAAAACAAGAGGAAAAAACTTGGAGGAATACGAAATACATGGGACGAGAAAGCAAATATAATCTAATCAACCCTCCTCTCCTCCCGCAGGCCCCAAACCTCCTCCATAGTAGATTTCCCCTTCGTCTCCGGGAGCCACGATGCCAAAAACGAACCCAACACCACAGCCAAAGCCGTGAACACCCAATAGATCCTCCCTTTCCCTCCCATCGCCACATTAAGCGGCGGGAAGAACTGCGCTACAACAAAAGTAGCAGTCCAGTTGGCGCCCAGGGCCCAGCTCTGGGCTGCACCAACTGCCTCGGGCCCAACGAGTTCCGACGCAAGGATAAATGGAACGGGTCCAAGCCCGACTGCAAAGCTGGCTACGAATAGGAGCGTCGCGATGGCGGAGAGAATTTGGAAATTGAACGCGATGCCCAGCGCGAGGAGCATGGAGTTGAGGCCCATGCCTGTGATGCTGAGGAGGAGGCATGTTTTGCGGCCTAGTTTATCGGCCAGTGGGGCGCAGAGGAGGGTAACTATGAGATTGAGAGCGGAGATCACGACGGCGAGCAGCGGGGCGGTGGTTGGGAGGATGTCAGATAGGATGGAGACGCTGTACATGACTATACTATTGATGCCGGTGAATTGTTGGGTGACCATGACGGCGATGACTGCGATGATTGCAGGGCGGTATGTTGGGCTTGCGACGACCCCTAGCATGGAGACGGGGGGGCGCTTGGGAGGAAGATTCCCGGCTGGTGGTGTGAGGAGAGATTCTTCCTCTGATGTTCGGGTATCAGTCTCGCCAGGTGGGACTCGCCAGGCTTTTACTTCTGGTTCAATATCATTATTCTTTCCGCGGATGCGCTGAAGGATTCGTCGCGCATGGATAGCACGTTGATGTTCAGCCAGCCAGATGGGGCTCTCAGGAACAAAGAACAATCCAAGCAGTTCCAGAGCACCAATCGCACCAGCAACCGCAAGGATAATACGCCATAGGCTATCTCTGCTTAGGAAGTACCCCAGAGATTGGGAAAGTAATATTCCAACATTGGTCATGACCTGTGTAAAGGCGCCGAAGAACCCTCGTTGGCTCACATGCACCACTTCCGCTATATATATAGGCCCGACAACGATCGCGGCGCCTGCTCCAATGCCTGAGATTAACCGTCCCGCACTCAGCGATTCGATTCCGGTGGCAAGGGTTTCGGCAATGGGGCCTAGAACAAAGAATATCGTAGTCGCGCGGAGAGCGAGGAGCCTGCCGTATTTGGTTGCGAAGGGGCCAGCAATAAGAGCTCCTAGAAGACCGCCTAGGGTATAACTTGACGTAACGATGCCGAATTGAAACTCATTCATCGGGATACATTGGGGTAGCCCCGAAGTTGTTGTTTGCCCTTTTAAAGTAATACTTTTCTTCAAACAGGTGATGACGTCTTTGGGAGCATTGAGCTCAGCCTTTGAAGTGGAAAAGAAAGGGTTGGTTTTCCCGTTAGCAAGCTGTGTTGACTGGAAAACCAACTTATAGAACTCGAGACTGTGGGATAATCCCATGTAAATACGCAGTAGAGAGGCATTTCCTTACTAGATGGTAGCCAAATTGAAGGGGGCCCAAGGTGGTGATGAATATGATGAACAGCAGATATGGCGTCACAGGCGATTCGGATGCCGACGACGTCGTGAGCGTCATCATTGCGGACTTGAGCCTTTGAGGGCAGGCAAGATTCGAGAAATCCTCCGATAATACTGGCAGCATTCGGCTGAATCTGTTACTCGGGGGGTTCTCGACATATAGGATTCACAAGTATCTCAGTATCCGGAAACAGGGAGATAGAGTTGCACCTTGGCAGCCGCACGCAGCAAGCCACACAGCCTAGTTAGGGCTAGGTTAGAGCTCACCGTGTACATTTCAACCACATCTTACATGTAACTACAGTATATAGATCTGATGTAAAGAGTTAACTACTGACTGCATCACTGCTTCAATAATCAGATCAATCAAGGTGGTAGGTGGTGCCAAGAGCTGCACTTTGTTTCTCGTGGTGCCAATATAGGCTTCTCTGGAGTTGAATAGCTGGCTTTCTGAAGATGCCAGCAGTGCTTGATATGTTTGGACTCCAGCATTGAAATGAAATATACCCGCAGCAGGCACGTTTAAGACGACTACTCCGTAAGAATTTTGGGAAGCAAGTGAGCTCATTATAAAAGCATCATAGTCTAAGTTCCGGACTACTCCTTGTTACTGGTAGAGATATTTGTAGTAGAAGCAAGCCGAATATCTATTCAATATGCCCTATCGAGAAATACTTCATTCAATAGAGGCATGCCAGGGCAGAACGAGTTAAACCACCTACTATGCCATGCAGCTAGAGCGCTGCATAATGAAAAATATTTTCTGACTGAACATAGTTATATAAAAATACCACTTTTCGAGAAATTAATGAAGCAGGATCTAGCCCCGACGTTGTTATTATTTGTTCTTTTGCCGCTCGATGAAATGTGCGAAGTATCCCGCAACACTATTCTTCACCTCAAGAAGTTTTGATTTCTCTATTGGACCTCTGTTCTTTAACAGGCTTCAAACCTATCGGACTAAAATATCGACTCCAGCAACCGAGCCGCACGAGAAATCTCATGACTTAAATTTGGTCATTGATGGATAATCACTCAAAAAATTGTACCATCGCTTTTAACAACGATCGGACTCGATTTGGTGGTTGGGCGACGCTGTGCTGCTATTTCACGACCCGATTTCCACGTCCCCGCCTCAAGGAGCTGCGCCATAGTGAGATGGACACCGTTCGTACGAGATAGCACCATGCTGTACAGCCTATCAATCAACACTAAGGTCATAGCCCGCCATTCGACGATAACATCATCTCCTGCTTCGAACTGTGGCAGTTCGCTCCCAGATGCTTTCAACCCTCGATCAAGCGCTTCTTTCTTAAGAGATAGAACGCCCAAGTCAACAAACAAGCCACCGTTGCGGTATTCAGCCAATGCGGTAAGTGCCTCGGCGTTGGTCCATTGCAGGCCAAGCACGCGCTGGAACGGGACCATTAGCGAGTAAGTGAGCCACTGGGTAAGTTTGTGAAATGGTTGAATGTATTCGGAGCGATTGCCATCATTAGAGCCCCTTTGTTTCTGCAGAACGCCCAATGGCCATGCGTCACCAATAGGATGTCCGTTAACCGTTGTACGGCCTTCGGGCCAGACGGGGATCAGGAGGTTTTGAAGAATGTCCCAAAATGCTAGAATATCAAGCTCTGAAGACTTTCCGGCAGATTTCACCATATAGTCTACATAATGCATTCAACACGGTTTCCTTGCAGCAATTTCGAGTGTGTGGATGGAATGTGCATACCAACAAGATTGCCTGGGCGGCCTTGAATCCCAAAGACTTCAGAATGAGAGAGCAGTGATTTTCCTAAGCTTCTGAGCAAGGCTGCGCGGGAATCAACTCCTAGCATCGGATTGCCGCCCGAGACCTGAAACCCTTCCGCTAGCACCTCGGTGGTTAGCTGCTCCAGCCCCTTCCCTGCGAGAAATATCAAAATTAGTACGTCAACATTTTCAACGAGGCCATCAGTGACTTACCGTCAACCCGAGGAGCCTTTCCCGCCTTATCGGCAGCAAAAGCCAGCGAGTTGAACATATGCAAGGACGCAACTGCGAGGCCTTCGCTCCGCTCATACGTCCGGTTCGTCCCCGGCTCGATGTACCGCCACTGGTCACCGGCCCCAGCATCCAGGAGAACAGACACAAAGAATAAGTCGATAAGCCGACGCGTTATTTCATAATCATCACAGTTATCTTTCTTCCAATCTTGCATGATATTCGCGACGCGAGGTATATTGCCAACATCGAAGTGTTGCCAGCGCCCATGCGGGGGAATTTCATGGAATTTATCCGGGCCAAAATCCCGCTGGACGGATATTGTCAGCGTAAGCCGCCCACCAACCCACGCCTTGAGCTGAACGATAGTTTGGTGGGTTTTCCGGACATACCTTGATAATGGAACTCACAAAGTCTGCGACTGCGTCCATTCGATCTTCATGTAGGTCGAAGTGGTTTAACTTCCCGGCTCTTGCGGCATCCTCCACGATTTTTGCACGCTCCCGAATGGCGCGTAGCGATAGAAGATACTTGACTTTTGAATCCATGTCAAACTATTTATTAAGGATTAAATATATGTATAGTGAGTGATCGTTTGGAATAGAACATATCGCCCACCATGTTACCCGCGCGCGCGGGGCTCATTTGGGAATAATCACATGATACCGCCAGTCCTACTCGAACTCGAATGATGATCTCATTGCCTCATTTGTATTGTATTTAATAGTTTTCAAAACGATGAGAGTGTTATAGTTATGGCCTGGAACTTATGTTTCTCTCTATCGATGATATCAAAAATCTCATTTTGCAGTACATTAACGTTTCAATTTGAAGGGATTGCAGCATTTCAAACCGATTGCTCACTGTCCCTGCTCCTTCTCCAATGCCGCCTGGTCAACGGGCGGTGCAATGCCATTAGCCTTCTATCAGAGAGCACGGAAAGAGGAGAGAAGACAAGATTTTTTCTGGCGCAGTGGCCTTTTATTATATTATCTGGCGAGAAAAAGCAAATAGCGTTAACCATTGCTCTGCCTGAACCAGCAACTCTTTTTCTATCCTACGTTTGATGACCAAGTGTTATAATAATAACCAAGCAGTAGGGGGTTAAGGTTGAATATATACTGCCTTCAAGATGCTAATTATATGAGCTCCCGGTTCGCCTCTGCCGTAATATTTTCGGATCTTGTCCCTCTGTTCGTGGATTCGAGTACATTAGCATTATCCTGCCTTAATAATCTGAATGTGATTTCCACTGTGAACTGCCCGGTGGGTATTTGAAAAGATGGCATTGAACCGTTTCGTCTCCACTCAATTAACCAACGGATTGTACGCGTACATCGCATCAAGAATAGAACCAAATGGGTGATCCTAGATGTGTAACAGTTATCAGCACAGATTCGTCGCAGGTGACATCGGATAGATGTTTTACCCCAATCCCAACCCGAAGCTTAGGCCAATTCCAGCCACTATTTGGATCATTCTCGTGTTGCTGTCATCGCAGTCCCATTCACACCATGAGTAGTTTTCTATCAAGCCCGTGATGGTACAGCCAAAGGAGTAGAAAACAACAATGATGTCGATAACTAAGTTAAAAACCAGTGGCATCGCTCTCCCCCGGCGCAGATACAAGCAGACTAAATTGAAGAAGCTGATCAAAGCCGTGCATATGCCCTAATGAGAAGGCGATGGACAGAAGTAAGCATTTCGATGTCACATATTATTTCCTAACATGACTTTTTGAGAGAGCTAATATAGTTACCAGTATCATCATCCAAGCGCAACTTTCTCTGACTGTCCAGTCTATATGAGAGTCACGCCAGAAGGCGTGGATCCCTAGTAAAACGGTAAATGTGAAGGCGAAAGCCAACACCGAGAGAGCGAGAGAAAGCCATGTTAGAGCCAATGTCATGTGAAAGGCTTCCGCAGTCGAGTTGCGCATCAACGGAATGTTGGTTTGTGTGTTTGCATCTGGAGACTCAGCATTGGCATCGACGAGAAGCGGCGTATTTTCCGAGTTATGTTCCATCTTGAATTCGAGCAGTCAGATTATCAAATAGGGTTTGGTTTGGGGACTTGAAGCGCTCTCTCTCTAAAATTTCCCCGATCCAGGTCGGCTGGCTGATAAGTATTAACTGCTGGGAAAATTCTGAATCAGATTCATCCCCTTCGAGGAGCGGATGTTCCATGCTATATCTAGACGAGATAGCGAACTCGGTGAGAACACGTTGAACATCTCGAATTCGACAGATTGGCAACTTCTTATCGTCTCCTCCCCAAAAGGACTACCTTTGAGTGATCTCCCGTGGTGGTTAGGCTATTCTTAGTTAAACCGCAAAACCACCCCCAAGGGAAGTTTGAGCTGAGCGCTAGTTAAAATGACCAAGTAAGCTCGAAATGTCTTAATATAGTATCCCCCAAACTTAGGGAACTAATATGTTTGGTGCTTAGTTTGGAGTGGGCTTACGATGCGTAGAATCAGCAGCGTTAATCTGCTAATGACACTTTTTGAACCTTAAAAAGACTAAGGGCTTTTAATAGTCGCCTCCTGAAACGCTACCGAGTACTACGCTGTATGTATGTCACCGAGATGTGTCCGAAAGCTCCACGAGGGTACGAGCATATGAGGTGTGTCGATAATTGGTCCGCCAAAGCCGCCAGTGAGAATAAATAAAAATATTATTTTTCTGCGAGAATGTCGTTCGGTTCAAGCCAGCTTGGAAAAATCTGAATCCTGCCTATCAACAAGGTAGAAATAAGCCAGCCAAGGGTACCGCAATCCCTTGGTTTCGTAGCCCGCATAAAGCCTAAAAAGGATTCCAAAAAAATGGGAGTAAGAACACGTAGCCTGTAGCTTGACGGCGGGCTACATCACCCACCCCGTCCCCATTTTCAAGAGGAGAAGCTATATACTAGTTTGCTGTCAAGGGGCTGGATGGATGGATACGCTTTGAGCCCTGGGATGGATGGATGCCCAGACTGGTCACATGACCGGATAGGCAACACCCTTGAGCTGCTCGACGCCAACGCAGCAAACGAACATGGCGATACAAGATCTTCAACAAGACGCATTCGGTTTCCCATCTATCCCATGAACATTAATCATCCCTGATCAACACCCTGCTACTGGGCACCTAGGTATCACCATGCATCTATCCCCGCAGTCGCTGAACCCCGTTGGGGCATGATAAGTACGAGACCCCGCTAAACATTAGCCCCCCGCGGCCGCCCCCCACCCCCCCAAAACAAATCTATCGTGGCGCGGGAGTTTCGGCCAGATCTCAGACCACTGACACGCCCTAGGTCCGGTCCGTTACCAATCCGCAATGAGCCTCAGTAACCCGCCGCACTCCGCCGGCGGAGGTTCGTTGTCTGATGCGGCGTCTGCAAGATCGACCCACGCTTCCAGATCTTCGGCCGGTGCGTTGAATAATAATAACAATGGCAATCCCTCACTGGGCTTGAAGAGGAGTGTGCAAGCAGCTTTTGATGGTAATTGATATTATTCTCTTTTACGCCTTATATGCCCGGCTCCTCACCGAAATCATCCCTCTCAAGTTCACCTGCCTCACCTGTTGCCTCCACTTTGCCCTCGATCCACTTATTCTCTATTTGCTTGGTTGCGCAATTCTCCCCAGTGGAACGCGGTCGATTTCCAGCTGCCGGTTCATGCCCTTTCAAATTTCAGCCTCGAAGTTAAATTTTAGGTTTGGGCCTTTTAAGGAGACACCAGCTTCTTGCTTCTTACAAAGTTCAACTTGGTGCCCTATTATATTTCTGAATATTTCTTTCTTCAGTCTTGCATAACTCCTTATATGGACTTCCGTGTCTCTCGCATTTTATTCTATCCGCCAAATTTTTCCCTGTTATTAACCCAATTTCTGCCTTCCCGAAATGTCAAAGCGCAGTTTTCACGATATAAGCTCCTTGAGAGCCAGCGTATTACGAGGTAACCTTACTTTATTTCTGGTTTCCTCTCCTCTTGACGTTGATGTCGAGGTCATTCTGTTTTTCATTTTTAAACTGTGTCCTTTTGCTCTTAGGGCTTGTTGGCTTACCCTGGCTTCTTTGACCCGACCCACTATTTCCATTTAAGTTCCATGTTGGTTCCGCTCTGTGTCAAAGCTCAATCGGCAAACCGGAGGCATATCGAGCAGCGCTGTTGGTTTGTGTCATTCGAGTTTCCTGTTAAAATTGATACTTACTAGAATATCATGCGCAGATACGCTGGAGCCAAAAAAGTCGCCTGGGGTTGGTTATGCTAGCAAAGTTCACATTCGGGAGAAGTACCACATCGTCGGATTCATCAGCAGTGGCACCTATGGACGAGTTTACAAGGCCATCGGTAGAAATGGTCAGAAGCGGGAGTTTGCCATTAAAAAGTTTGTACACGCAATTCCGTGACTTACGAATGTTTACCGAGGCTGACAACCATAGGTTCAAACCCGACAAGGAAGGGGAAATAATACAGTATACGGGCCTATCTCAGTCAGCGATTCGAGAAATGGCACTATGTTCTGAGTTATCGCATGCGAATGTTGTTCATCTAGAAGAGATAATTCTCGAAGACAAATGTATCTTCATGGTCTTTGAATATACAGAACACGATCTCCTACAGATTATCCACCACCACACACAACCTCAACGACATCCCATACCTGCTCCTATGGTAAAATCGATATTATTCCAACTTCTGAACGGGCTGCTGTATCTCCATAGTAATTGGGTTTTGCACCGAGATCTTAAACCTGCAAATATTCTAGTTACATCGACTGGCGCGGTCCGTATTGGCGATCTCGGTCTTGCGCGTCTATTTTACAAACCTCTCAATTCCCTCTTCTCCGGCGACAAAGTTGTTGTGACAATCTGGTACCGGGCGCCTGAATTATTACTTGGGAGCCGACATTATACGCCTGCTATCGACCTCTGGGCAGTTGGCTGCATATTTGCGGAATTACTCTCACTGCGCCCTATATTTAAAGGAGAAGAAGCCAAGATGGACAGCAAAAAAACGGTACCCTTTCAGCGTAATCAAATGCTCAAGATCATTGAAATTCTGGGAATACCAAGCAAGGAAGCCTGGCCCGGTCTTACCTCAATGCCAGAGTACGCGCAGCTTCAGACATTAGTTTTATCACGTGGCGGCGGCCACCTGAGCAAGCTATCAAACTTGGAGGCGTGGTATCATGCGTGTGTCAAGGCCGCGGGATATCCATCATCTCCATCCGGGTCTCCTGGAAGGGAAGGGTTTGACCTTCTTTCCCGCCTTTTAGAATACGATCCCAAGAAGCGCCTAACCGCCGAAGAGGCGCTGAAACATCCATATTTCTCGATTGGTACCCCCGTGACCGCGAATTGCTTTGAGGGTTTCGCAGGGAAATATCCGAACCGACGAGTTAGCCAGGATGACAATGATATCCGGACAAGCAGTTTGCCGGGTACGAAAAGGAGTGGGCTCCCGGATGATACCTTGACTTCCAGAGCAGCAAAACGACATAAAGAAGGATAAATGCATGGGAACACACAACTCCAATTCGGTTCATATTAGGTGTTATAATTTTATGGTTGGGCGTAGTTGGTGGCACATACCTTGGGCTTGCTTTACTGTTATCTTTGATGGATTTCTTCCAGTTTTGGGGCTTGGTATTTTCGATGCGCAATGATCTGATCTTGCACATGCATTCTTGACACCAAAGAATAACTACTTCTTTCCTAAATCTAAAGATGCCATGTAGCTGGGTTCTGTCATCCGTTCACACCTCCTACAAAGGGAATCGAAGCACAACAACAGAATGATCTGGGGTTGAGTAGTGCAGTACACGTAACAGACCCGGTCTCTATGCAAGAACCATCAAGATAAAAGCTTTGAGTAGACTATTGTAGGCCGTACCCTGGGATTTCAACCCGGAACCCAATTCTCAATTCCCAATTCTGCCCTGCCCAAGCAACGCATCAGTGCTAGAGCATCATCGTAATCATGAAGTGCTGTGACATATCTGAATAAAGCCTCCGACACCTCGTGCGTGGTCGCTCCTCTACCGCTCATTCACCTCAGGCGAGTTCTAGAGCTTTGACTGGTTTTTCGTTTTTTGCATCTGCTTGTCCACTCTGCAGCGCCAAGTAGACGGCTGGGCCCAGTATCATATACTTGATTCGTCGTGCGGAATGGGCCGTGGAATACTAGTGCTTCTGTTATGCTTGTCTCCATGTGAGAAATCGCCACAGAGGTTGATCCTGGCGGTGACGCATCGCTTGTGGCTGAGAAGACTGGCTGGTTCGGTTTTCTTTGCCGGAAACAGGGCGGCGAAAATTGATCTTTGTTCCTTGTTGGAAACAGTCATTGATCATTATTTATTGGAACTGGAAGTTCCCTTCACTTCATGACTGTATGTATGTATGTCATTCACCCTGAGGAAGCCGCCATAAAAAGAGTTGTAGCTTCTCCCCTGCGTTGTTCAAATCTAACTTCATAGCCGCCCCATCCTGAGACTACCCAGCGAATGACAGCTTGTGCGTAGATATTCGTCCACAGCATTCTGAAATTAGATTCGAAGTTAAAAATACTTGCGTTTTCCTGTTCGGCGGCAAATGAAAACTATTCAAAAGGACCTTAGCCAGGAACTCCGCTCAGCCTTTCTGGTTCAGCGGCTCAACTCCCGCCATCGTCGAACTCAAGTTCAACTCTGCCAAAACAGTTAACTATTTAATCCATCTTCCACCTCGCACCGCTGACATCTGCAACATATCCATCTCTTCAACAGACCGGTCATAGTCCAAACCAACCAGAGACCTAAAGACAGCCCCCAAACCTCGTACAGCGTACCGTCCGACCTATCATCGCCCTACAGACAACTACCAGATAAGAGAAATCACGAAAAAAAAACCATGCCTTTCTTCTACTCAAAGCGCATCGGGGGCAAGCACATTTCCACCGGCGTCACCGTCGACCGCCACGGCGTACGCAGGGCTCCATGGACCTTCAGAATCGGCCGCTGCCTGTGCTTTAAGTGAGCGCTCGGCGATTCGGGCCTGTTTTTATTTTGCTTTTGGTGGATGGGCTGCGGGCTGCGAGGCTATTTCTTGAGTTTCCTATGCCATGTTCATAGCGAGGTGGTTGGACCGGAAATGGGATCTTTGAGGGCCTGTGAGCATATGCTTTTGCAGGGAAGGGAAGGGAGGGGAAATGGCAGTTTTGATATGATGGCTCCCTCCGGCATATTTGATGATACCCCCATATTGGGATGAATGAGCATGTCTATTTTTTATTTTTTATTTTTTATTTTTTATTTTATTTATTTCCCTTGTCTCGAAGCAGCTTCCCTTACGCCGCCCGGTAGTTACGGTGCGGAAATGTTGTTCAAATCGCGCGTTTTCGTTTGTGCTTGTTGTTTCTTTTTTTTTTTATTACCCTCTACGGCCTAGGGTTTTCTATACGGCTATGATGCCATATGAATTTGACTTTTTACTCTTATCTTTCTCCTTCATGCCATTGTGGGTGCGGGATGAGCAATAATGATGTTTTTTGAGTCTTCGTAACGTCATGTTTGTCAGGTGATCATCCTCTCATACCTAGGTACGGATTTATGAGGGAGGAATTGACTGGGGAGGACCTCGAGCTTCAGCTGGACATATCTCAGAAGCTTAGGCGAAGATTTGAATTTGCATACACCCTCAGTTACCGTTTAAAATATATTATATTGTTAAAAAAACACTCCACCTTGAGAGATGTGTTCATAAAATAATCCAATGATGGAATGTATAGCCCAACTAGGAAAAGAAAAAAAGGCCGTCCCACAGCACACCCTGCCGAAATTGTAATAAAACCCGCAAGCCTGAGATAGCAAAAGCCAACGCCCCCTGAACCTTCAAAATGTTGGTCCATAAATCATGTCCGTCGGATGTGTTGTACCTGGAAAAAAACCTTGCTCCGCCCAGAAGATAGGAAATACAAAATTAGAAAGATTTTGCAGATGTTCCATTAATCGAGTCAGTAACCTATACAGAGTACGTTAGAATCTCTCACCCAAGTCAAATGTATAGTTAACTCACCACTCTGCTCCCTCCGATTACTACCCCCACCATTCTCACCATCTCCGTCATTGGACAACAGAGAAGCTGACGCCGCACCCCCTGCCTCTTTAATCGCATGGTCATCTCCTCTGAGTCTTTCAAAATATGCCTTAATATCCTCAGCCCCAACCGCCTGTCCACTCTCAGCGAATGGCTTCAGAAAAGCCTTCACCTTGTCCTTCAAGTGGTTATATACCATTACTCCCTCAATTGCACGCACACGGTCCATGTTGCTTAGCGCTGCTTCTCCGCGATCAAGAAGACTTCCTGTGTGATTGCTACCATTGCCGTTGGCGTCGTCTCCTGCCTCGGAGAGTGGAGGTTCGTATGTCTCCTCTTCCTCGCGGAGCTGAGGATGAGGGACTAGGTTGGGGAAACAGGATGGGCAGTGACACAAGTAGTCGCGGAAATCTTCTTTGAGGAAGAGGGAGAATGTGCCTGTGGGGGCATTCGCTGGGAGTGACTCGTGTTTGTGTTTAGTAGGTTCCGTGGCTTTCACTTGTGGGTCTGAGGTCGACGTCGTTGATGTCTCCTCTTTCTGCCTCTTTGTCTTGCGCTCGTCGTCTGAATTATCCTCAAGTTCGTGCTTCTTTGAATTTGTTGACGATGTATCCTCGCCGGGCTCTCTGGTTGTTTCTGCTGTGGCATTTCCGTTTGAAACATTTTGTACAGACGCTCCTTTTCTGTACACTGCTGGTAAAAATCCGGGCGTTCCAGCATATCTCTTTAGCCAGGGGTTAGCATCTACACATTTGTAGCAAATGAAGGTCTCAAAATCATCCTCATCGGGAAAACCTGGAGGTAGGGGTGGTTCCTCCTCTGCTTCTTCATCGGTAGGGGCGGGCGCTGCGATTTCACCATTTCCATTCTGCTGCTGCTGCTGAGGTTCCTTGTCATCGGTTTCCGCTCGAGGCTCCTCTTTCACACCCTCTGCCCAATTACGTGGAAGACTCAGGAGACACTCAGGATGGTACCAATCTTCACCGCAACCTCCGTTTTCAACAGTTCCCAGGCCAAGGCACTGGAACATCGTTCCCTTCTCCTGGTGTGGGTCATACGATTCCTCGCATCCACAGAAGATATTCCGAAAGTTGCCATTATACTTGTTGCCCGGCGCGGGTTTCTCCGAATGGACGCCCTTGGTTCCTGTGCTGGAAAGTCGTAGGAAGCAGGGTGATGTGGATGGGAACCGGGTCGTTCCACAATCGCATACAAAATTACGCTTGCTGAATAGCTCGACGAGTGTGTGCTCGCCATGGCAAGAGATGGAGCATGAGTAGCAAACGCCCGCGGAGTTGTATGGCTCGTTAGGGTCTGAGGGTGGGGGATTGCAGGTCAAGCAGGAGAAGAGACTCTGACGGAGTGCACCCAAAGGCTGTGTGCAACAGTCAAAGGACTGAATGTATATCATTAGCTGGGTTGAACGTGACATAATGAAGTAGACGGGCTACTTGCATATGGTAGAGCTTCTCGCGCATCAGCCTCGAGGCGTAGCTGGCTATCGATAAAGCTGGAGGAAACGAAGGGTCAGAGACGAATAATCCTTTTTCCACCGAAAAGAAAGAGTGAATCTCCGGAGGCTGTTCACTTACTCTGACGCTGTTTGCGAGTCATTGGAGACCAAACTATCCCTTCGCTGTCTCTTGGATCCTTCCGTCTCGGGCGCGGTCGCGATGGTTGCAGGCTGGGAACTGGGTGCATCCATGGTTTATACCGTTACAAGACCCAAAAGCAACTAATAGATGCTGCTATAGAAAAGATTAAAGGGATACTGATTTTTGCCTCATCAAATACGATGGATGGAGTGAATCACTACCTTGCGTTGGGTCGTGTCGATGCGATCTGCGCGACTCGGATTCCGTGTTTCGATTAAAAAATGTTTGCTCTGTTTGTATTCATGCATGAACTCTTCGCCGCCTTTCCTCTTTCGGCCTTAATTGAAACGCGTGCGATACGCGTTGATTTTCGCGTTTCTCCCTTTGTACGCGATTTCCTCCAACCTTGTCGTCGCCGGTCTTGTGTTCACCTCATCACAACGTTCTGTAGACAACACCACTTGTTTTGCGGGTATTGCATGTTTCAATCCTCATAGACAACACACATGAGATATACAGAGTAGCAATTCCATTAAAGTCGAAACTTGGCTATGAGGTATATAATTTTCCATGCTTGAGAAATCCCGTTCCAGCGTCCGAAAGTCGTCGTTAACAACTCGTTTAGTTCCCCTTTACATCCAAGCAGCTCAGCTGCAAATCGTGGCCTCGGAAACCTTACTAGGCGGAAGCGATCGCGTGAGCCAGATGATGATAACTCTTCAGCGCCCCCTCCCTCTAGCCGTAAGTCGGAGGAACTTTATACAACGTCGAAGCAACGCACACTAACAAAGAAAATAGCACCACCTTCCTCCCCCCCAATTCTGCCTCTTGATGACACTGTCGGCAATGACTTGGACGAAGAGGCTGAATTTATAGGGGATATCGATGACATTGATGAGATGGCTGAAGATGAAGATGGGATTGATCTTTTCGCCGACACTTTTGAACGTGACTACAGACCACGGGGCCCTGAGGCATACGAAGGAGACGATATCGACGATGCTGAGGACCACGAAGAACTGGATCTGGCTACTAGACGCCAACTTGAAGCGAGATTAAATAGGCGTGATCGAGAACTAGCTAGACGACGGCGCGTGCCTGCAGCATTCTTACAGGACGATGATGACGACGGAAATGTCGATCTTACTAGACAGCCTCGTAGACGACGACATCACTACGACGAGGATGTCGACGAGATGGACATGGATATTATGGACGAGGAAATGACGCTTGAAGCGTTGGCTGAGATTAAAGCGGCCAACGTCACCGAATGGGTTACTCAACCCTCTGCCCACCGGTCTATTTATCGCGAATTCAAGGCATTCTTAACTGAATTTACGGATAAGGATGGTACTTCGGTTTACGGAACTCGCATTCGAAACTTGGGAGAAGTCAATGCAGAATCCCTCGAGGTCTCATATGCCCATTTATGTGACTCTAAAGCTATTTTAGCCTACTTCCTCGCACATGCTCCTGCTGAGGTTTTGAAGATATTTGATCAAGCTGCGATGGAGGTAACACTACTTCATTATCCAGACTATCATCGGATTCACAACGACATCCATGTTCGTATTACCAACCTCCCGTTCAGATATACTCTTCGACAACTACGTCAAAGCCACCTCAATTGCCTTGTTGGTGTCAGTGGAGTTGTCACCCGAAGAACTGGGGTATTCCCACAGCTTAAATACGTCATGTTCAACTGTACCAAATGCGGCATGACTTTAGGACCGTTTCAGCAAGAGTCAAACGCAGAGGTCAAGATTTCTTTCTGTCAGAACTGTCAGGGTCGGGGTCCTTTCACACTAAACTCGGAGAAAACTGAATACCGCAACTACCAAAAGTTGACTTTACAGGAGTCCCCCGGAACAGTCCCCGCTGGTCGACTACCGCGACACAGAGAAGTTATTCTTCTTGCGGATCTCATTGACTCCGCGAAGCCAGGGGATGAAGTGGAAATTATTGGCATTTATCGCAATCACTATGATGGACAGCTGAATAACAAAAATGGCTTCCCAGTATTTGCAACCATCTTGGAGGCTAATCACCTCGTCAAATCCCACGACCAACTCGCGGGTTTCCATTTGACTGAGGACGACGAGCGTCAGATCCGAGCGTTGTCGAGAGACCCACAGATCGTGGATAGGCTCGTGACATCCATTGCGCCAAGCATTTATGGACATGAAGATGTTAAAACAGCTGTAGCGCTCTCTCTTTTCGGTGGCGTCAGCAAAGAGGCACAAGGAAAGATGTCTATCCGTGGTGATATTAACGTACTTCTCCTTGGTGATCCTGGTACAGCCAAGTCTCAGGTATTGAAATATGTTGAAAAGACCGCACACAGGGCTGTTTTTGCTACAGGGCAAGGTGCCAGTGCTGTCGGTCTCACAGCCAGCGTGCGTCGCGACCCCCTGACCAGTGAATGGACACTGGAAGGTGGAGCACTGGTGTTGGCTGACCGAGGTACATGTCTTATCGATGAGTTTGACAAGATGAATGATCAGGACCGTACCTCCATCCACGAAGCTATGGAGCAGCAAACAATTTCGATATCCAAGGCCGGTATTGTCACGACACTCCAAGCTCGTTGCGCAATCGTCGCTGCTGCCAACCCCATTGGAGGCAGATATAATGGTGCCATTCCATTCTCCCATAACGTCGAGCTGACAGAGCCTATCCTTTCTCGTTTTGACATCCTCTGTGTCGTTCGCGACACAGTTAACCCAGACGAAGACGCGCGGTTGGCGAAATTCGTCGTCGATTCACATTCGAGAGCCAACCGTCCTAGACCTCAGACTGACGAGTACGGAAATCCCGTTCCACGAGAAGCTGCCGATGAAGATCAGGATGAAGAAATGGACGGGTCCAATGCAGCAACTTCAGACGCTGGGGCTGTAGAGCAAATTCCCCAGGAGCTTCTCCGGAAGTACATTCTCTATGCGCGGGAACGATGCAGACCGAAATTGTACCAAATTGATCAGGACAAAGTTGCACGCCTCTTTGCGGACATGAGAAGAGAAAGCTTAGCTACGGGAGCATACCCGATCACGGTAGGCTTTGCTTTCTGACTCCCTCCCCCAGCCGTGGCTACCCCATGGGTTGTTGCACCACCCAGTGACAATGGAACATGGATACTAACCACGCCGCAAATAGGTCCGTCATCTTGAAGCCATAATGCGTATTGCCGAAGCATTCTGCAAAATGCGGTTATCGGACTACTGCAGCAGCCAAGACATCGACCGCGCCATTGCCGTGACAGTAGACTCATTCATCAGCAGCCAGAAAGTCAGCTGCAAAAAGGCTCTTTCGAGAGCATTTGCGAAGTACGTTTGTACTCACATCCCGTGTCGCATCATACCTACTGCCCCTTGAGTGTACTAACATCTTCTTTCTCCAGATATACCCTTGCCAGGCCGACCACCCAGAGACGGCGGGGAGCAGGAGCCGGTGCAGCTTCATCGAGCTTGGGCTCGAGTAATGGTATGGGAAGGAGAGGTCGCTGAATTGGGGATTTGCTAGAACGTGAATACAACATCTTCTGTCTGTTGTTTTCATGGCTCTCTTTGACTAATTAAGGATCATGGATTTCGTTTTCTTTCTTCTTCATTTTCCGGACAGGGAAATATGCATGTCTGTATGTCTGTGTACTTTTCTTCATGGCGTTGTCTGGTTGTGGCTCGAGATACAAATATGATACGTAATTTACCATTCTTTCGTCTTGCAAGATAAACATGAATCCTTTCTCTGATAGTAACTACTTCATTCCTCCTGTTCGTTATATCCGGGTCTATTCCCCTTTCGCCATTGGCGGTTACCCAGATCCAGTAACTGCGTATAATTGGTAGTTATTCGCATCTCAACCGCTTACGAAACCAGGTACACGCTTTTACACCATCCGTCATTAGCTTTTTGCCGCCCGATCCTGAGCCAGATTTACCATACTCCGTAGGAAAACCCAAGCTGGAGTGGGCCAGAAGTGGTTATTCCTTCCCCATTGGGCATAGCCAGAGCGATGACTAATATCACCTTTCGGCCCGTTCGGAGTCCCGAGGTCGGTAACTACGTGCTGATTCCTCACTCGGCAAAAGACACGGCAGAAAGAATCTATCCAGCATGGACATATATTACCACGTTTTTAACAGAAGCAAAAACTGAATGTGGCCCCGAAAATACAAAATTCATGCCCATAAATTCCTTCCCGGAGCTGAAACCTTGCCGTGATCGAACTGCGGTGAACCCACCTGGGTTTAGACCTGTTCATTTTTCGCCTCTAACGCCTCCACCCCGCGCTTGAGTAGTTAGTTACCGAGCTAACAACCAAGCGGAAATGGGAAAAATGGGGTCTGCTTCGAATTCTCGCTGCAGCTAGAAGAGACATGACGTCCTGTTCGCCAGTTTTGACACCTTAAAGGAATCTAGGTGGGGTGCGGACTATTTCACTGGCATGGCGTTTTTCTCACCGTGCCAGTGCTTGGTTTGTTCGTCTGTCACTCGATATCGATATAGACAAATTTCCCTCGAGATTCTGCATGCAGAGGGCTTTGTCCAACGGGGGACGAGTTTCATCATAAATATTTCCGCTAAACAACGTTGATTTGACATTGCCGTCGCATCTTAATCCGTTGCATTGTTGCTGTCGGGTATGGAGTGCTCATATGGGACGACGAATATTTAGCACTTATTTTTATTATTTATTTATTTTATTTTTTCCATGTTGAGTATTTTTTTAAACTCATTGCCACATCAGATCACATACGCATTTTTATCTCCATTTAATGTTTCAATATTTGTTATATTGCTGATATACAGATTACCCTATTTCGCAATAGTCATGACAACATTGGATACCAGCGCTGACATTCCTCACGGCAACTCGACAACAGTTGAGCCGGGCGTCGCATGGCATCCCAAGAGCAAGAAATTCGGATGGAAGCTTTGGAACAAGCAGAATGCGCAAGCTGTTGGCGCCAAGGATGAAGCTCCCAAACCTCCTGCTGCTATAGAATCCAATGTCCGAATGCCTATTCCTGATGGACAACACCAACCTGCACAGGCCGAGCTGCTGTCAGAGCGTGATATTGAGCGGTTGGGACGGGAGCGTCCAGCTGTCTTCAAAAATGCTTGGACTGAGACAGCGTTCGTGTTTTCAATTTCCATGTCCCAGGTCCTTGCGGTAAGAGCTGGCCCCTGTTTTATTCTCTCTTTCCTACTTTTAAGCTTTGAATTCTTCAGCATGTGCGTGTGCTGGCTGTGGCTTGCAGAACTCCCTGTCCTGGAATCCCTACTAAACTCCCCGTCCACATATATTAGGAATATTTCATCTCCGGCTTCAACGTAGTGTTGCCATCTCTGGTTAAGGAGTTGAATATTACTGAGTCGTCCGCTATCTGGCCTGCAAGTGCGTTCTCACTTGTAGTAGCCGCGACGTTGCTGATATTTGGTCGAATTGCTGATATGATTGGCGGCTACCCAGTCTACGTCTTTGGCATGGCATGGCTATTTGTCTGGTCTGTAGTTGCCGGATTCTCTAAAAACCGCTTGATGTTGATCTTCTGCCGCACACTGCAAGGAATCGGCCCAGCTGCATACCTTCCGTCGAGCATGATGCTACTTGCAAAAGTTTACAGACCGGGCCCAAGAAAGAATATGGTATTTAGCATTTACGGCACGTGTGCAGTTATTGGATTTTTCATTGGGATCTTTTGCTCCGGCGTCTCGGCGCAGTTCCTTTCATGGGGGTGGTATTTTTGGATCGGTGCGATTCTTGCAGCTATCACAGCCGTTTCCTCGTTCTTGACCATCCCGTCCGATACGGCTGAGGCACGGAAACAAGGTATCAAGATGGATTATATGGGTGCGGCGCTTATCGTTCCTGGCTTGACATTGACTGTCTTCGCCATTACGGATAGCGCGCATGCTCCTGACGGCTGGCGGACACCCTATGTGTACGTCTGTTTCATCATCGGTAGTATTCTTCTCGGACTAGCTGTTTATGTCGAGGGATGGGTTGCTAAGTCGCCACTGTTACCATTTGATATTTTCGATGCTCCGTACATGAAGCCATTGGTCGTTTCTCTCCTATTTTTCTACGGGTGTTTAGGCGTTTACCTCCTTTACGGAACCCTATAGTAAGTGCATACAGTCATTTCCCCTTTTATGTTGCATTACCTCTAATCATCACGTCTATTTAGCATGGTCAATATCATGGGAGCAAGCCCTATGCAGGTAGTCGCCTGGTGCGTCCCCATGGTCGTCGGCGGATTTATCTTCCCCATCCTCTGCGCGCTCTCCTCCACATCATCTCAGGAACAATGTTGCTTATAATCTCCGGCATCGGGTGGGTCGGAACCGGCGTTCTCTTCGCTGTCATGCCTGAGGGAACGTCATACTGGGCCTTTGTGTTCCCCTCCATGGTCGGCGCTACGCTAGGTATCGATATCACCTTCAACATCACGAATATCTTCATAACGACAAGTCAGCCCGCCAAGCGGCAGGGGCTGGCTGGCGCTGTGATTAATTCAGTGCTACACTTGAGCATTGCGTTTCTTCTTGGGTTGGCGGATATAGCGCAGGTGCACACGGCGCACTGGGGCAAATTAGAGAGTTATAGAGTTGTGTTTTGGTTTCAGGTTGGATGCGCGGTTGCGTCGTTGTTAATTATGATCTTTTTTGTGAGGGTTAATGCTGCGAAGAGTGAGATGACGGCGGATGAACGGCAGCAGTTGATGCAGGGGGAGCAGTCGGATTCGCAAAGTTGAACCCGGTTAAAATAGATTTACGAGTTGATGCATATAAAAACTCAGCTTATAGAATTTCTTTATTGGTTCGAGGATTTATTTGGGCTAGTATGATCAAAGGAAGCTTTTTTATCTTAGCTATATAGCGATTGCATTTTAGAGCTGGACTATAACATGACCCGTCTACCATCCACGATATGGCTTATCATTTGGATATGTTGCTAGCTTCCATTAGCGTTCTCCCTCCAGTTACTACGGTTGCCATCTTCTTCAAGCTTTCCAGTTGGGCAGTGCTCCCTACGGCATAACCACGAGTTGAGTGGGAGTTAAACAGGAGCCATGACCAAAAGCCCTTCGCCCAAGCCTTGGTAAGCTATGATTGGCTCGAGACCTAGGTGGTCATTCCAAAGGCGGTTATGCATGTATTGGTACTAAAAGCCCTCACTCAAAGGGGTTGAAATGCAATTTCTTTACTCCGCCATTGCTCGATACGGTACTGTAATGATTCAAGTAGGAAAATACAAATAGAAGGTAAATGTTTTGACGAACGCAAACAAATGATTACTATAGGTGTAATAATGCGACATTCAAGAAGAAGAAAGAATAATGACACTCAGTATGAATCCTGATACATAAAAGGACCAGCCCATTGCCCGTATGAAACTCCCGCAAATGACTGAAACAATGCGAACGGAAAGATGATACTAGGTCTACCACCGCGTTACACCAACGTCCTAACGTAAAGATGTAAAGCAAGTCGTTAAACCAATCATCGTAGGGACGGTGCGGATTGATTTCTATATTTTCACCCACAGCCCGCCTCCATCGTACGTCCACTTTCCTTTCAAATTCGACCCGATTCTAGAAACTAGATTATCCCTCAGAGCTTCAAGATCAAAATCAAAACACTTAAACTCAACAAGCTTGCCCTGCACGCCCAGGTATCTGACTGAGTGCGAAATTAGGGAATAGCTTGTATCCAGCTCCATCCACGGGTCGTTGGGATCCAGGGTTCCTGCCCGCTGCTCATCCTCGAAGATGGTGCTGGTAGGTTGCGGTGCAAGCTGGAAGCTCAAATGACGTAAGTTCGACATGTTACGTATAACCTTCAAGACCAGATTTGTGTGATTGTAGAAAGGGAACACAGCGATATAATGGAATGAGGTCAGGCGCGAGATTGCCCCAACGGGGTAGGGGAGCTCCTTGGATTGGAGAGGATCGACAGAACCCCAGTGTTCCATGATTGAAGGGACACGGAGAAGATAATATTCGTAATTGCTATATGCCCTCAGAGAAGAGCCTTCGTTGAATAGGATTTCCGTCCACGGTCGAGCGTTGAAGAGGGTTCCATCGGGCCCTGGTTTCGGAGAATAGGCCCGCCGCTGAGCTGGCTCTGGTTGGTGGAACTGCATAGTTTGAAGTGGCAAATCGAAGGCCCAGGAATGCACGCTTTCCAGGCGGCAGAGAGCCATGTGCGCGAACATATAGGGAGGTGCTATGACAGTGAGATGGCGAGGATCAACCTCTTCTAGCAACCGCACCCACCACAGCGGTTTCTCGCTGCCGGGGAATATCGAACGCACAGACACCAAGACTGATCGTACATGGGGGGCAAGCTCATGTCTTCGTAGGAAGTCGAGGAAGCGTTCCTGGTCCCGTAGCTCGTGGTGGGTGTGGGTGAAGAGGAAAGGGCGCGCGAGGGCTCGAAAGCGGGACGAGGTTCGCGAAACATTTTTTAGATCTATAGTTGTGGACGATGTGATGTTGTGCGCTGGAATTTGACGCAGCTTCCCTGCAGACGGAGGAGGGCCTGAGGAGAGATAGGAGAGCACATGGTTGAGAAGTTCATTGGGCAGGGTTTCGATCGAAGAGGTAGCGGTGTTTGCGGACGTTAAGGACCTGTTGGCCATGTGGATGCAAATATTAGAGTGGTAACCTGTTTGCGTTAGCGATTCATTTTATTGGCGTAAGGTAAAAGTACCCAGGGAGAAACATGGGGATTTCAAGGCTTGTTCGTGTGGAGGAGTTTCGTGATACGAGGAGTCGCGTGCGGCTCAACCTTGGGGAAACAATTAAGGTTTGGCCTGGGTCGGCTACAGCGGATGTACTCCGTGGTTCCAGTGCAGTAAGTTACCGCGTCTGTGCGGCTTTTGCGGGGAAGAAGTTATCTCAGGCTGGAACCCGACAACGTTTCACGTTATACAAGTTCCTAACTTTCCGTTCCCACACAGCGGATGGTGCCCGCCGGGATAGTTACATGGTAGAAATCTCTCACCATGGTATTAGTTGAGCCGTTGCACAATGACAACTACATACACCCACTCCGAGTTATGAGGATAACCCGAGGCGAAAGGGATTAAGGGGAACCAGGAGCAGCAGAAACGGTGGAGCTGAATGGTATCGGATTTACGGATATTTAGACGTGGGAATGCAGTATGATTCTCCAGGGAAGGAGAACCTGCTCCAGAAGCTCTTACTTTTTTACTTTTTGAATGAATGCAACTGATTGATTTACTTCCTCTTGGGGCTGAGGCGAGAATCGCCGATGCATGTTTCCCAGATCCAGCTTTCCGTGGAGGATCTCCAGTTTGCGGAGGCAAAATGTATGCTGGGGACCGGAGACCCTGCTTATGATATCTCCTAGACCCTCTTCTCGACTCTTTCGTTCTTGCCATTGTCTATCTGTCTGGGTGACTATCGAATTATCACCACGAAACGGAAAAAGAAGAAATAGAGAAGGAGAATGGAGGTGAGAAACAAAAGAAAAAAGAAGAAGAAAAAAAGAGATAGACAGAAGGCGGGAGGCCAGAAACCCAAGGAAGCAGAGGAGGGGGACTCTGAACCTTATGAAGAGTCCACCATATCGAGCTACGCTACCCTGCGGCAACTCGATATCAACATATAAAGGCAGGAAGTTTTCGGCCATCCTGTTCGTGAGTGAAGCTCGGCTCAGAAGTCCATCTTGAATAAATTAAAAACCCCAATTTTCAAACAAGTTGGCAGCTGATCTCAAACAGGAAGATGCACTTCTCCGTCCCCTCTCTCGGCCTCGGCCTCGCCCTCAGCCTCGCCATGTGCGTTGTTGCTGACGGTGTCTCCCATAAACGTGACGTGGATGTCTCCAATAAGCATAAACATGACCACGGCCATAAACCTAGAGGGAAAGTGAGTGATGCTGCCCTCTCCCATTGCCAATTCTTCCAGTCACCTTTTATGTTAAAGCATGCATTGACGATACCCTTCCGCTTCAATGAAGGATGGCGACGTGTACGACCTTTTGAAAACCTTAAACACAGACCCACTGGGCTTCGGCCACCTCGGTGACGATGGCGTTTACCGCATGTACAACAGAAATGGCACCGTCATCGACTATTTACTTCTTAGCAGCGATGAAATTGAGGAACTGATCGAGAACTCTCCCCTTAAGGAACAGGACAAGAATCATATGAGGAACCTCTTGGGTGGCGTGAATAGTACAAATGTCGATCTGCAACAGATCTGGTTCCCTGCTTTCAATCTTCGTCCACATAAGTTGAAATATCCAGACTCCTTGCAGCGCCGGGGTCAACGTCCGCCCACGTCGCCTGTTCCAGGTGGGCTAAAAGAGCCGCCGCCGCGTAGTCGATGTACAGACATTACCTGTTTTGATTCTGACCCTTGCTGGGAGGTTAGATGCATGCTTTGTAGTTTTTGGGATGACTTGCCAATGGGCAACTGTGTTTGAGCTTTTAACAAGGATAATATGTATATAGCTGAGTAAATGCCTACAGCTTACAGAACTGTAATAGAGGGATCCTGCAGCGCCAAGTCGCATGAAATATTTAGTACGCACGGCCTTCCTATATAGGCATAGATGCCACGATGCGGCGCTGCTGTGGCATAGGCCTTGTAAATATTGTATTCATCTAATTGAAAACCTCTTGTATGCCGGGTAATGGATATAATAATAATCCATCACTGTAATAAGCAGCTGCAGCTGCCACTGCCACTGCTGCCGCCACTGCCGCTGCCGCCGCTTGTACAGTTATTTTGAACTCCAATAATAATAATAAAAAGTGAGGTCTTTGATATCAGCCGCCTGTTCCATACACCCATTTTGATTTCAATCTTGAAAATATAAGAGCTTGATGACAATAATGGTGATGGTATGACAATTGTGAATGCAAATCAGGGGGATAGATAATCTGAATAAGATAGAGAAAGGCATATGTGTAGATGAAGTTGATAATCAATCTGCCTTACAACAATATGAGATATGAGACTAACTTGATGTGAGAATTTAGACTGACCGTGTGACCATGTCTGAGACCAGGACCAGAATATTTGATGATCTTATTATCAATTTGATTGATCTCATTACACAGTTTTAAGATTAGATAGTAGTTTCATACTGTCTCAGTGAGACTTACTGTCTACTCTTATCACATTTTTTAAATGAAATCATGATTTTTACTTCTTAATTTAGATTCTTTTTATTACTTTAAATAACTTTAAATCTCATTTAAGTATTATCTTAAAAGTATTACTTTTTAAAAAATTAAAAGTAGTCTAAAAAAAATCTTAAAATGTCTAAAAATAGTAACTTTATATCAAGAATAAAACTAAATAAAATTAAATAAAATCACTTTTATATTTTTTCTAAGTTATAATCTTATTTTGAGATCTGATGAATAATTACTTTGTATGTTTTTTTAATAATTAGTCTCAGCAGAATTCATGTCAAGAAATCTATAAAATTAGATTAAATAAGATTAAATATGAAATTCATAGTCTCAGTAGTCAGTCTATATGAGATATATAGACTGACTGTGTAACCGTGTCTGAGATCAGAATTAAACTTTATAATTATTATATTATCTAAAAGTAGACTGACTGTGTGATTATGTCTGAGATTATAATCAGAATATTTAATAATCTTATTATCAATTTAACTGATTTCATTACACTGTTTTAATATTAGATAGTAGTTTTATACTATCTTAGTAAGACTTACTGTCTACTCTTATCACATTTTTCAAATAAGACTATGATTTTCACTTCTCAATTTAAATTATTTCTATTGCTTTAAATGACTTTAAATCTCATTTGAGTATTATCAAAAAGTGTTACTTTTTAAAAAATTAAAAATAGTCTAAAAAAAACCTTAAAATGTTTAAAAATAGTAACTTTATGCTAAGAATGAGACTAAATGAGATTAAATAAGATTACTTTCTTATTTTTTCTAAGTCATAATCTTATTTTGAGATCTGATATATAGTTACTTTATATGTTTTTTTAATAATTAGTCTCAGCAGAATTCATATTAAGAAATGTATGAGATCAGATTAAATAAGATTAAATATAAAATTTATAGTCTTAGTGACTAGTCTATCTAAAAGTATTACTTCTAATCATAATTTATATTTATTACATTAATTTCAAATCACTTTATTTTAAATATTAAAGATCTTAGATTTACTTTTAAAATAAAAATTTAGTTTTAAATAAAGAATATATTTAAATTCTTAATTATATTTTTATTCTGATCTTATTCTGAAGAATGATATTAAATAAGATTATGAAATTATTTCTCACTTATATAATATTCTACATATAGTACTTATTTGTTGAAAATTCAATAGAGAATATTATTAAATATTATTACTTTTCTGAATATAAATTGTAATTCATATTATTTTAATTCTGAAAAAAATAAAAAATAAAATAAATAAAAACAAAAACAAAAAACAAAATAAAAATGAGAAAAAATCATAATAGAAAAAGGAAAAAAAATAAAAAAAATAAAAAAAATAAAAAAATAAAAAAATAGAAAAAATCAGAATGACAGAGCTGTAGTATTTTTAAAATACTTACTTTTCAAAGTTTTTATAATATTTATTATTAACTGTATATCTCTCACAGTGAGAGTAATACAGCTGTAATAAGTTATTATCTTAATATTATTTAATAAATAATCAGTATATATCTGTATAAATATCAATAATTAGAAAATATACACTTAAAAAGTGTAATTAGAGTGAACTCTGCTATTACTTGAATTATATTAAGAGTAGAATACTGAAATTAATAATTCATTTCATTGATTTCACAGATAAGATATATAAAGATAATCTTAAGAAATATAAAATTCTCTGACTTTTAATAAAAATAGATCTTACAGAAAGACTCTATTTTCATAATATCAGAGACTGAGTATTATTAAAAAGTATTACTTTTATATAATATATATACACTTACTTCAGTAATTCACTCTTTATATATATAAGTAAGAGTTGCAGCTTTCTCATATTATATAACTCTTATTAAGATACTGCTACTAGTATATAACTTACACAGCTTCTTAATTCAGTATATATTAGACTGACTATGTAACTGTGTCTGAGATCAGAACTAGATTTTTTAATAGTCTTATTATCAATTTAACTGATCTCATTACACAGTTTTAATATTAAATAGTAGTCTTATACTGTCTCAGTGAGACTTACTGTCTACTGCTCTGATGGCTGAATAGTTAATGTGGTCACTCAGTAGCATCTTGATATGGGAAATCAAGGCGCGTGAGTTCAAAACCCGCAGAAGATACATTAAATCTAGAACTCAAGCATCTCAGGTTTCTAATAAATACAGAGGTGTACAAATCACTTCAATAAATCACTCTATATTTCTGAGCTGAGAAGTTATTATTGTATGTATTTAATTATCACTTCTTTGTATTTTTCTATGTTCTTATTATCTTGATGTGATCTTAACACCTGTATTTTCTTCTGTATAATTAACACTTAATCTGTATTTAATATTATATAAGAACTCATTATAAGCTCTGCTTGTATATAAGTATAATAAAAGAATAATAATAATAATAATAAACTTACTGTCTACTCTTGTCATATTTTTCAAATAGAATCATGATTTTCACTTCTTAATTTAAATTATTTTTATTACTTTAAATGACTTTAAATCTCATTTGAGTATTATTAAAAAGCATTACTTTTTAAAAAATTAAAAATAGTCTAAAAAACACCTTAAAATGTCTAAAAATAGTAACTTTATGTCAAGAATGAGACTAAATGAGATTAAATGAAATTACTTTCTTATTTTTTTTAAGTCATGGTTTTATTTTAAGATCTGATATATAGTCACTTTACATGTTTTTTTAATAACTAGTCTCAGTGAGATTCATACTAAGAAATGTATGAGACTATTATTATTATTATTATTATTATTATTCTTTTATTATACTTATATATAAGTGAAGCTTATAATGAGTTCTTGTGTGATGTTAAATACAGGTTAAGTATTAATTATACAGGAGGAAATACAGGTGTTGAGATCATATCAAGATAATAAGAATATAGAAAATACAAAGAAGTGACAATTAAATACATATAATAATAACTTCTCAGCTCAGAAACATAGAGTAATTTATTGAAGTGATTTATACATCTCTGTATTTATTAGAAACCTGAGATGCTTGAGTTCTGAATTTAATGTATTTTCTGCAGGTTTCAAACTCACATGCCTTGATTTCCCACATCAAGATGCTACTGAGTGACCGCATTAACTATTCAGTCACTGAGGCATGTATAGACTGACCGTGTGACTGTGTCTGAAACCAGGACCAGATTTTTTAATAGTCTCATTACCAATTCAACTGCTCTCATTACACAGTTTTAACATTAGATAGTAGTCTCATACTGTCTCAGTGAGACTTACTGTCTACTCTTATCACATTTTTCAAATGAGATCATGATTTTCACTTCTCAATTTAAATTATTTTTATTGCTTTAAATGACTTTAAATCTTATTTGAGTATTACCAAAAAGTGTTACTTTTTAAAAAATTAAAAATAGTTTAAAAAAAACCTTAAAATGTCTAAAAATAGTAACTTTATGTCAAGAATGAAACTAAATGAAATCAAATGAGATCACTTTCTCATTTTTTTCAAGTCATGGTTTCATTTTAAAATCTGATATATAGTCACTTTACATGTTTTTTTGATAGTCAGTCCCAGCGGGATTCACGCTAAGAAATGTATGAGACCAGATCAAATAAGATTAAATGTGAAATTCATGATTCTGACAGCCAGTCTAGACATGTATGAGACTAGATTAAATAGAATTAAACATGAAATTCATAGTCTCAGCAGTCAGTCTAGTATGTACTATGTGTATACAGCTTAGACTGACTGTGTAACTGTGTCTGAGACCAGGATTAAACTTTATAGTTATTATATTGTCTAAAAGTATTACTTCTAATTATAATTTATATTCATTACATTAATTTCAAATCATGTTATTTTAAATATTAAAGATCTCAGATTTACTTTTCGAATAAAAATCTAGTCTCAGATAAAGAATATATTTAAATTCTTAGTTATATTTTCATTCTGATCTCATTATTGAAAATAATATTAAATAAGATTATAAAATCATTTCTCACTTATATAATATTATAATATAGTACTCATTTATTGAATATTTAATAGAAAGTATTATTAAATATTATTACTTTTCTAAATATAGATTGTAATTAATATTATTTTAATTAAAAAAAAATAAAAAATGTAAAAAAAAATAAAAAAAAAAAATAAAACAACAATAAGAAAAAATCACAATAAAAAAAAAAAGAGAAAGAAAAAAAAAGAAAAGAAAAATAAAAAAATAAAAAATAAAAATAAAAAAAAATCAAGATTGCAGAGCTGTAGTATTCTTAAAATACTCACTCTTCAGAGTCTTTATAATATTTATTATTAACTATATATTTCTTACAGTGAGAGTAATATAACTGTAATAAGTTATTATCTTAATATTATCTAATAAATAATCAGTATATATCAGTATAAATATGAATAATTAGAAAATATACACTTAAAAAGTGTAATTAGAATGAACTCTGCTATCACTTAAATAATATTAAGAATAGAATTGTAAGAAATCCCGCTTCTCATGAATTCTTTATCTCTATTCCTATCTCTCATGTAATTAATAGGGCTAGCGGCCCTTGGCTACACACAACTATATAGACTGAAGTTCATGAATACTATTCATAACTTAGCTTGAATACTATTATACATTTGATCTCTATATTTTATCTTTCTACTGTGA